GGATCCTCCGGCGTCATCTTGCGAACGAGGCCGCCACTCCGGTGGACGAGGCGAGTTCAGCTACACCTGGGCAGACACGCGCCGTGACGGACTTGTTTCCCAGGATCACGGCTTTACGTACAGGACACAGTCTCGTATTCGCACCCACTGCACTGATCGGGAGGTCTCGGGATGCGGGGGGATCCGCTGATGGCTTTTGCCGGAACGCGAGTGAGCCGACTACCATTCAAATACGTTCTCGGCTCACAAGAGATGGGGGGAGGACGGTGATGGCTAGGCAGAACGCGTAGATGTGGCTCACATAGTTGCGTGGGGGATATGGCTCGCCGTGGGATCCGTCACGAAGTAAAAGAACGCTGTGCATACATAGTTTATTACGCCCCGGCTAAGCTATTCAGGGCTCGCATGATTATCTACATATTCTCCACCTGCGTTTATATCCTTGTCTCCCAGAAGCCCATACAAGTCTTGCCCGTCTCCGCGTATGTCATATTCAGTTTTACATGCCGATGCTGCGGTTGCTCGTGGGGTTAGTAACAGGCCATCTTGAGGGTGTCTCCCAAAGTGTTCGGCGTCCTATCGTCGGCGGCCGAAGCTAGTCCTGCTGTCGATGACACGAGGGTGCGTGGGGGATGTCGTCGGTTAGTGTGTTGATGTAGGTGGTGTGTGGTTTCGCTGCTGGCTGATCTGTGCATCCAGTCTCTCCGTACTCATGGCGAACTTAATCGTCTGTTTGACAACATCTACGCTCGGCGACCAATCCTTGGGGTCGGACGCGCTCTTTCCTCCAAGAAAGTACGATAGATTCCCTCTATGCGACTCCGTCTGTTGAAGCATCTGACTTCGTTGTGCCGTCCACTGTGTGCAACGGAAGAGAAAATGTTCTACCGTTTCTGCCGCTTGCCCGCAGGCGCAGTGCGCCGAGGCAGTTGCACCGATCTGGTGCAGGTACCAGTTCAGTCTTGCCATTCCGGTGCGTAGTTGCGCCAGGGTACTGGCTTCTTTCCAGGCCAGTCCGTCATACAGCTTGCGTGTATGCTTTCCTGGTAAAGCCACATCGATCTTCTTCGAATATGCTCCTACGTTGTCGGGCAAGGCTCTGTACTTCTGTCGCACGCTCTGTAAAGCGATCCTAAGTGCCGTCGAGTAGGCTCTGGCCGGCCGTTTCTGTGGTGTCTTGTTTACTTGGGTACTTTCCTTTGCTGCTGCTTTGGCCGCTTGCGCCAGGTCTGACTCTATAGATGATGGAAGCCAGAAGAGAGTGACCCTATTGCCTCGTCTCTGCAGAGCTTGCACGCTGGCATATAGTTGTCGGATCTCTTGTTGGCCTGACTGCTGCCGCGGGTTGCGCATCACCGACACTGCCGCTTTGTTGCGGGTGAAGACGTGGATGGCCCGGTACTCGAGTCTCTCTGGAAGAGACTTGACCGCTTTTGCCAGTGCCGCTAGCTCTGCTACATAGGGTTCTGCTCCGTTCTCTGACCGAACGTACGCGAGGCCATCACGATGCCACCGCCCCCTCTGAAAGATGCGGGCAGCGTCGTCGCCGTTCCAAAGCCCACAACCTCGTTCCTTGCTGAGCTCCCTGTCGCTATCCTCACTGCCCATCCAGACCGGATTGCCTCAGAGGCTTTGACCGCGTCGTCGTCGACTACTGTATCAATACGACGTTCCCATGGGCGATCGAATACCCTTCGATAGTCTCCAGCTTGTCAAGGGGTAGGTCGCGATAGGCCTCCGCCATCAACTGGAAGGGTGATGGAAACCGTCTAAAGGCCACCGCCCGCAGACGTCGAAGCGGATGGGTCTTGGGAAGGCTTCGCAGCCGAGCCAGAATGTCGTTGATTTTCTGTCGTACCTCTCTTGCGCCGATTGTATGCTTGCCTCCGCTTCAGCGACCGCCGTGGCCACCGTGTTGAAGGCTCCCACGATCGCTTGGGCGCCAATCCTCTGCACTCGGTTGATCACCCTCATCTGCGCTGCTCGACACCTATATCTCCAGACGTTCGACGCGTAGTCCATCGTCGGTGCTACGGCCGCGACGAAAAGCTGTCTGGCCGTGCCGGAGACAGGCCTTTGAGCCGCTGAGCCCCAGCACGGCCTCCAGCCCTTTTGTCGTCGCGTCTGCGATGTGCTTTTCGAAACGAAGTTTCGTGTCCATCTCACTCCCAATACTTTGACGTGGTCCTTTGCTCGGACAGTGTCCCTTTGATGACGAAGCTGGTTGAGTCCGCCGGCAGCCTCCAGTTGCGCGTGAAGTGGATGATGGCCGTCTTGTCCGTCTCGAACGTCGCCCCGCTTCGTCGTTCCCACTCAGTGCTCTGTAATGATGTTCTGGATGCCTTCCGGTTTTCTTCTCGCGATCGGCCGGTAACCCATGCCGTGTAGTCGTCGACGAAGGCCAGCGCGCCCCCGTTCTCGTCGATTTGGTGCTGTACGAGGTCGGCGTTGAAGAAGAGGAAGAGCACGGGCGAAAGCGGCGAACCCTGAGGCAGTCCGGCTTGTGGTAGCGGACGAGCCCCGGACTCGCGACCGTTAACCAGGATGCTTGCCGTTCTGTGGGAGCAGAAAGCGTCCACCCATCTCACCAGCTTGTCCGGGATCCCCCGCGCTCTGAGTCTTTGAAGTAGTCTCTCTTTGTACACACCATTGTATGCTCCCTTGACATCGAAGCTGACCAGACTGACCACCTTTCTCTTTCTCCACGCTCTGTAGATGTACTCCTGCAGCAGTACCAGCGCCTGCTCTGCCGACCTCTGCTTGCGAGCGCCAAAGTGGCTCGTGGGAAGGAGGCCGAACGTCTCGACAGCGTGCGAGATACGTTCTGCCAGGACCGACTCCAGCACTTTTCCGAGGTAGAGAGAAGCGAGATCGGTCGCCAGGCCTTTGCATACCGTAGTCGCTTTTGTTTGGCTTCTTCAGCGGGATGATCTTTGCAGAACGCTGTGCACTTCTAACGCGGTTGATAGGAATAGACGCGCGGGTTGAGTGCGTGCGCGCAAGAGCCTGTTTGCCTGGATATGGTGATCCACTATTACGGTTTTTGTACGATTGGTGACTGCGGCGCTCCACAGCCCCGCGCCCGTCTCCCCGCACCCATCGGTTCTTCCATATTTGGTCGACCAGACTCCCCGCTCGTGCTGTGCAAGCAAAAGAGGCCTCTGAGTAGTCCCGCCCCTCGGGAACCTGAACGGATGGGACACACTGCGCTGTTGCCTTGCGCTCTCGCCATCTGATGGTAGCTTATGTTGGGCAGGAGACACCCTGCCAGGTCTTGCTGCGCGGACGGTGCCCCGCAGCCAGGGTCCACATTGCGGCTGTCTCGCTCTGCCATCACGGCTCTTTCGATGCGACGAGCGCCGTTATGCGCTCGCCCACGCGAAGCAAGTCGCACTCGTCCCGGCTCGGCACATCGCCCTGCGGCTGTTTGTAGCCTTCGAACCAAGTATGCTCCAGCGGGAACATAGAACTCGCTTTGCCTCGGCCATATCTGGCACCTCGCGCAGCCAGCTCAAGCTGACATGCTCCCTCCAACAAGTACATAGCAGCCATATACGTTGACAGACCAACTCGTTGCAGATAGCTCTGCGTTATTGTACATACTAGAGTCATGTGCGCTTCGTCACGATGTGAAGCGGCTTTGCCACATCTTCACGTCCACATTTGGCTGCTCAGCAGATCGGGGTGAACGCTGCCGTTCTGAGCGGCCTATCCAACTCGACTGTTGTCGAGCAAAGCGCTGACGACGTGGGTCTGACTGAAATGTACAGCATGTAACGGTTGCTCCAGAGAGTGGTCCGCGGTCATTGTCCAGTATCAGTCATGATTGTTCTGGCCTTCGTGGTCGAGCACGAATTGACGGCATCGCCAAACCTGCTACGAGCGGCCCAAGAAAACGGTGGCCTTCACCACCGTCAGACAACCCCCAGTCGCCTAAGAGAACACCATGAGGTGTGCCGGCACTTTCGGCCGGTGCATTGTATCCTGCAGATGCCCAACCCTGAATGCCTCGCACGGGCCCATCTCATGTTCTGACCGTTGCAGCCAAATACACAGCTGTCACTGTTGCACAAGTCATCCAATGAACTCCGCTTATGGATCCGCTTCAACAGATCCACCTAGACTTGTTCTCGAGGTATTAAATGAGTCGAAACCAGCATTCACCACCGCTTTTGTCTCTTGACTAGCGTCAGCGAAGTCTGACGCGATGGCTCACATCACGACTGATACTCCATACGTGCTCCGCGTTCTTCACCACGTCTTCAACCACGTCAATCAATACGAAGCCCGTCCGCCACCAGTCAGAGACTTCCAAGATGAGCTTTCATTGTTGATCGGAGCTGTACGACTGATTTTCTGCACCCCTGGGATCGACGTCACGACTGGCGATTTGGCGGAGTCTCTGGACCGCTGTGCTTCCATTCTCCAGTCTGTTAGCACAGCCCTTTCCAGTTTCGCTACTGAACAGACGTACGGCTTGCTACCCCAATTCAGCTCTTGGCATGTCTTCCGCTACAAGACGTTGAGCATCGCCGACTGTCTCTACCTCGTGCGCGGATTCAAGTCGGCCTTCCTCCTTGCCCTTGCGAAAGCCGCTCCGTACGTTTCGGGACAAATAAGTTTGCGAGTATGTCGAAAGCTGACTTGTTGAGTGCGCGCGCAGCGACATCGCCACGCTGGTTGGTCTTAAGTGCAAAAGCGACTATGATGCTGCTCGCAGAGACGTCGACTATTTGGGCCAGACTCTAGACTTGCTTGCAAACCAGCAAGAACCCCAAAGGTAGGTTCTCCCTCCCTTTCTACCACGCAAGGCGCTTTGCCATTATTCACATTTATCCAGCAGGAAGCATCTTGTGCCAGCGATGGGTCCGGCAGCACTGTCGCGTGTTTTGCAACCAACCAGCAAGCATGGAGCGACGAATAGCGCAGGCGCACCACGGCAACTCTGTGTAGGAAATGCGATTGCCAGCCAGAACACATGGGGACTGGACGTCGAGATTGTTCCTACGACACACGCCCGACACCGCACCAAATGGCTGGCTGAGATCGACGCGGAAATAGCAGTCGTTTGTAACGTCGATGGCAACCCTTGGAAATGGGAGGGGGCTGGCAAGGACTTTCCGGCCGCATGGAGGGGTTTCGTTGCGGACAACAAAGTCTCTCAAGAGGCCATCGACAGGTTGTCGGTACACGCGGTGGCGCCGCCTCCATCGAAAGAAGAGGCGCGGGTCATCAAAGACGGTCAGCTCTGGATGGCATCCATTGATGCGAATGCCGTCTCCCAAGTGGCTGTAGCATTCGGCTTCAGGCATGAAGCGCAGGACTCAACACATCAAGAGCCACGGCTATCTGACCTTCAGATCCGACAACGGCGGCTTGCCTGGCTCGATCAATAAGACTGCTTGCAGATTTCGGCTGCTCAATGGAACATGGACTGCGGAAAAGTGTACAAGACTCATCTGCGCGCGACCGTTGCCTCCATTGGCGCGTACTGGCCGGAGCTGAAGCATGTTTTTGACGTCACCGTCAATAGCAGAAGCATTAAAATTGTGTGAGCGGCTAGTCTTGCTGGCTAGGCCTATTGACGTAGCATGTGCTTCGGGAGAATGGTTGGGTTGTGTTCCAATCTCTTTGCGTCCGCCTTCGACGATACCGGCGAACCTAGCCACCTCCTTTCGGATGACTTGCTTCTGCAGGTCCACTGGCGGAATTGTGACGTAGAGGACCTGGAAGAAAATGGCGGACTTGTCTAGCACCCCAGGACACCAGCCGTGTATGCAGGAAAGACCATGGGACTGTCGAAAGCGTCAAGATACTTTATTGTATCTTCTACATGTGGAGAGAGGGGCGGGCAGTATCCAGACTTCAAATTGAGTGAGTTGCGTGTCTGCGCCGTATATCGAGCGAGTTGCTGCGTTCCAGGGTACGGCACCCGATCCAGGATATGGGGGGTCTGCCCGTGTGAAGGCGACCCCTCTTTCTGATCCCGCCATGTCGCCGACAGTATCGTGCCGCGCGCTAAGGAGTAGCTTGCAAGGAGACCTTTACGGGGCACGCCGTTTCGCAGGTCTCAGCGCCACTGTCATCGAAACCACTGTGTCTCCCGCTCGCGATACACAGAAGCTGGCCCGGCACGCGATTTGTCAAAGGGATGAGCAGCGCCTCCGACTGGCGCATCCGGTGCCTCGGCCCCATATTCCACGCGAACGAACACCTCGATAGTGTTGTGGAGCTTCCGCGGAAAGCCATACGCTCCGGATGTGGCTGCCGTTCCACGAAAAGTCTTGGAAGGCGGCCGTTCACAGTGCAATACTCTGGGCACGGTGCGGGAGGGATAGCATGCCTTGGGCGTGTGACATGTGGCGGCGAGGGGCTGACCAAGTCGTCCCAGCTCCTGGCGCTTAATTATCCCCTGTGACGCCGAAGATAGGTCTCGCTCGTAGCGCCCGCTTCAGGCCGAGGCAGGCCTACCCTAGCGATCACCATGGGCAGACGTTGCTATTGGGGGCGCCAGTAAGCGCAGCGCAGGGGGAGGATGACTTACCAGGCTGTGCCCGGGTGCCGCTGCGGGGAACGACACTGATGCTTTGTGGGCAGCACTGCCGCAGCGAGGCGGGTGAGTGCAACGAGCAGAAAGCAGGGTTGTCGGTCGATCCTCAGCGGCGAGGTGATTAGGCAGGCGTTGACATCGTGAGCTTGCCGCAGCGCCTACGGAACCTTGCCTTCCGCACTCTCTGTGCGCCTATCATGATCCCGTCGGTATGCCTACCACTGCCCGAGCCAAACAGCGAAGAAATCCGGAGACAAAAACTGCCGACGCGCCCATTCCTCTCATGGACTTCTCCATAATGTTGCCGTCGCAGTCATCCACCCGGCCTGCGTCGTCATCAAGTTTGGTGGTGCGGCCATATCGCATTGGACATTATGAACGTCGACAATCGTGAGTTTGTCGGCCAGAATCGCCCGCAGAGACTAATACGTTCAAACAGAAGTTCACCAGCCGCCGCCGCCTCCCTATCGACCCCTTGAGACAGCAGCCGTTGTCGCAAAAGCATCTTCCCGACTCGCGGGTGGAGAAAGTCGAGCATTACCCAAGCTACCTGAGGGCCGCTGGAACCTGGCGTGCAGCATCGGCTTGACGAGACCGCAGCTGCAACTACGCAGTGATGGAAAACTCTCCTGGATGCATGTGCCTGAGGATGCAAAGATCAAGGGGTTTGAGAGAGATGGGTTTTTTATCACAAAAGGCGCTGGTCAGATAACAGTGGCCTTTCAGGACACCGAGTGGACGTGCAGTTCGTCAAGCACTGCGGGCATGCTTCTGTCAGATCCTCATCGCCAAGTGCGTCTGATGCGGCTGGCGCAGGATTTGGTTGTCTACGAGCAAGCCAACGTCAATAAAGAGCCGGGCCTTCGTCGACCTTTGATGGCCACGGAAGGTCAGTCGGAGCCGCTCACGGTCGAGATAGGATCTTCCGGAATTCTGACGATCACTGGTGCGGCCGTGTACCAGGTCGACGGCGATGGGGACGATGTCGTGATGGTAACGTCTCACCAGTACCGAGACGGCCGAGACAATACTGTGGGAGAGGCTATACAGGATTTATCATTATGGGATAGGAAGGAAGGGAAATTCAGATGGACACACAGTTGCGAAAAACTAGGACGAATATGGGGCTTTACAGAAACCTTCATCCTAATGAAGGTGGGAAACGTTCATTTACACCGTCGGAATGACGGTAAGACCCACGGTACCTTCCTATGGCCATCGATCAAAAACTTTATCGAGTTCACCCCGCATCACGACCATGGACCGGTCATGAGCACAAATGGATTGCTCTTGCGCAAGCCATGCAGTAAAGCTATTTTCATTTGGCAGGTGCGAGACAAGCGCGTTCATTTTCGCATCTGGGAATCGACAGCAGACATTCAAGGACATCTGGCGCTGCGTGGCAGCCTTGACCAGCTTGAGCTGGTTCTCGTCGGTCAGCAAGCCAGATGGACTCAGTACGAGGTAACGGAACCAATTTACAAATGGAGCCCTCTTCGGAGGTTCATGATGGAGATGTTTTGAGGATTGGTCGGTGGAGACATCGAGCACGCCCCATACAAACATGAGCCCGATGTGCTTGAAGGTCTCGACCGTGTGGGCATTAGAAGGTCCATTTCAAGTTTAGTCTGATAGTTTGATCGAGGGCCATCTGTACGATGCGACAAACGAGATGGAAATGTTTCCTGTTGATTACATGGTTCCGTACACGCCTGCATCATCGACGTAACAACCATCTGTCTTCGGTTCGACGTGCTCTGACTCCATGATAAATCACGAGAGAAAGGTGGGGTGGATCGCAAGGTAAGGATAGGTCGTGTCCACGAATAAACCAGGTCCGACCTCCTGTGATTGCACCATACGGTTTTTCCTCTTCTCATTTTCTCCTCAATTTCTTTTTCTTAAAAAACTTGGTCATTCCTTTCTTCTCTGAAAATAAATCAACTTGATCACAAATCATTCAAATGAGCAGACTCTGGCCCAGCCAACCGCCAATGGTTACACAGTGTAGTGCAATGACGCAAACGATACACGAAGGAACTGCGCAGCCCTCATCCTGCAAGAGCGTCGTGGTTTGTTCAAACCGAGCCCACTTCGGTCAGTTCTTTGTGCGAAATCGATTCTACAACATCTACGTCTGCAGCTCCACCATCGTTTTGCTATCATCGCAACGACCAATCCACATGCGCCAGTGTACCCTGAGCAGTCACAGCGCCTGTATTTCTGGCACGACCACGGATACGGGCATCGTTCAAGCAATCGAAAAATACCATGGCAGCGGTGCATTTGGTACGGACAAGCTATTTCGACTGATCCAGTTGACATCGACAACACTCACGAATATCCTTCTACGAGAAGAACGCGTACAACTGTATTTGTCAGCGGATGGTCCTCTTTTCGCGCAGACCATTACAGTCACATCTGGTTCGTTCCTGTTCATGGGGGAAATGACCCTGGCGACCGTGGCGGCGGTAGCCGCGATCTTCCAGCTGCCACGTCCTGGGAGGCAGGGCGTTTTCCTGATCACGGAGAGGCCATGATAGACCCCCTCCCCGATACGCCCGTGTAAACTCGAGATTGCCCAGCTTGCGATAAGTCCGTGTGTGCTGGCATAAGGGTTGTAATGTTGCGATCGATGGCCGGTACATGCGTGCGAGAAACATCTTCGTCCCTGGCTCCCGCACGACCTTGAATGCCATCTAGGCTTCGCTTGCGCGCTCTGCCGAACTGTCTGAAGCCGCCGAAACTCAGTCTGCCGATGGTGTTGGCACGCAGTCATGCACACATAGATCCCACCCCCCAGACAACCTTTCAGCAAGGCCGAAAGAGGCAAGAGTGAAACCGGGCCACCAGCGGATACCGTGACGAATAGAACGCGGAAGGCCCGGAAGGCATTGTTTGAGGGCAATGTGGCAGGACGATTTGCTGTAGAACAAGGAGTCCCGGCCTTTGATCATCATGGAGAGGACGTGAGGACAGAGATGGGGATGCTCGATGTGTTTAGGCTCGACAGCCTGGGCTTCAATTTCGTATAGCATGGCTGAGCAGGATTTGTCTAATCTCTGCGTGGAAGCCCACCATGGCAGCGTGTGTGGCGTTGCCAAACCACCCGGCTGCCGATTGTACATCGGCTCCTCTGTCGAGCAACATCCGTACTATCTCGAGGCTACCTCTATAAGAAGCTGCTTGAAGAGGATCACCATAAAACTCGTGGTGGGCATTGATGTCTGCCCCCTTTTCAAGGAGAATTTTCGCAATATCGCCATACCCTTCCCAACACGCTATTTGGAGAGCACTGCGAGAACCACTATTCACATTGATCTCGGCTCCCGCCTTTAACAGCGTTTCGACAATCTCTGCATGTCCTCCAAATGATGCAGCTGCGAGCGGGCTGCCGTAGGAACCGCCCCCAGCATTCGGATTGGCGTTTTTGTCCAGCAGAAGTTGTACGATTTCCCGACGTCCTGTGAGTGAAGCGGCTTGAAGGGCGCTTCCGTAATGCCCGCCAGTTGTGTCGATGTCAGCTCCTTTGTCGAGGACTTTACGTGCCAAGAGTCCATGTCCTTCGGCGCATGCAGCTTGGAGTGCGGTGTTGTAGTGTCCGCCGGCCGCGTTGACTCTGGCACCGTCGCCGAGCAACATCTGGGCGATACTTTCATGACCTTCTGCACATGCAGCCTGCAAGGCGTTGCCGTACCATCCACCTTGGTCGTTGACATCTGCGCCGTCCAGGATGAGTCTCTGAGCAATGCAGTAGAACCCCTCGGCGCATGCCATCTGAAGAGCATTGCCATAACAATCGGCTCGGTCTTTGGCAAACAGCGTATCCGAGAAGTCCAAAGCGCCATTCGTGCATTTGGTACAAACTGCCGTGACACCATCCAGGGCCGGTACCTTTTCCTTGAGGGATATCTTGTATGCCGAATCTTCTATGCAAGATGCAGTCATGGCTAATTGGTATTAATTCGGTTGCAGGTGGTGGAAAGGTCCATAGGTGACTGGACCGTCATGGGAAATTTTTCAAGCTCAGCTCGGCATGGACGCACGTGATGATGCACGTGCTATGAGTCGCTGATGGCCAAACCAACCGGAACCCAAGTCTGTGCCGCCGACATGGGCCCTGATGCGTCGTGTGGCTAAGCGTGTGCATACTGTACGTGCAATATCGAGAGGGAAAGAGCTGACCGCCCCCGTAACAGGCACTAGTCTAGGCTGACAAGCTGCAGCAAAAAATGAAATGAGCGACGACAGCACTGCAACTTCAACACGATAAAGCGCAGCCGCCAGACGTACCACTGGCTTCACCACTCGCCTATCTCCGTTGGTCGACGATTCAGGGGCCTGATGGCGTAAAGTGCGTAGGCTACTAAGTGCTTGGCCGCCACCTCGTCTGAAGAGCACGCTACTTCGGCCACCCTGCGCCCGATGTACTGATAATTGGGCGGCGCCCAGAATATGCCCCGCCTGCATTGGCCAGGCGTTCCAACGCCAACCTTACAGGGGCGTTGCCGGACAAACATCAGGTATCGCCTTTTCCCCTGCTTTGCCCCCACTGCACCTGGGGCTAGCATTATTAGGGGGGCTTCCATGGCATAGCTCAGACAGACTCGAGCTTCTGTCGACCAGATGCGGCTTCGCCTGTGCCCAGCGAGGTCAGTATAGCTGAAAGGACCTGGATTGGAATAGGTACCATGGAATGTCGCCTTGAAAGCAAGTCCAGACGTGGTTTGCAGACAGCAAGTCGCCTCATATCTCCAACTATTCAAGGACCCATCCGTCATTTTACGCAGCCAAGGAGCGAATGGTGAGCGCATTTGTCGGCCTCCTGTATCGAAAGTGATGTCGAGCCCTACCATTCGTTTCCAGAAAGGGAAGAACCGGCGTGATCGATAGGACCGCAGGTGCCTTTCTCCAAAGCGAGTGCCGATTGTTGGTTGAACGGTGGATTGACAGTATATGTGTTGTCTCAGAAGTAACACTCAGGCCGGAAGCCGGGAGTGCAGATAGCTGTATTGGCTGGGACCCGGACGGCAAGGGTCTGCACAGTCGGTCCTCATACGTTGTCGCGCCGTGACAAAGATTCGACGACACACGCAGAGCATTCGCTGATCGAGAGGATGACGACTCGATTCCATTTCTGACAGTAATCCAAGCTGTCGTCCGACAAAAGGCGGTGACGAGGGCAGTATCGATTTCCAGCCACTGAGCGTCTGAGGCACGGCCGAATCGCCCGCTGTCCTTTCGTCGCGCGAAGGCTGTAGGTGTGACGGGCTGTAATTTGGCTCAGGCAATAGCCGAGGTCATCTACCGTCGCCGCAATCAAGTTATACAGCGCTAGGTACTGACAGGCGATACGCCGGCCTTGATATCCCGTGCAGTAGACCAGGGTGAGGCCTTGCCGCATTTTGCAGCTCTATGGGTTGGCGCTTCGGAGAAGAGCACAGTGCTGCTTGGGCGCATACACGAACCGTGCATCCGTCTGGCGATTGTTTTCATGGAGTTTCTCGCCCTGAGACCGACGATCGTGTTGCTGTGGATAACCCCTAAAGCAACGTCAACTCCAGGATGCCCAAAGGGGCTGGGTCTAGCGATGGATGGCTTAACGCTCACCTCTTCTACTGGTATCGGCGCAGCAGTAACATCGTTGCGTTAGAACGGCGTCCGCTGTTCGATTACCGAATCTACCAGATTCTACAGCACTACGTGACCATCAGCCACAGTACTCGAGATACCTGCCTAATAGCAGCGATGGTCACATTTGGACCAGTTATTGCTCTGTGCCGAAGCGTGTGCAATGGTGGCTGTGGTATGTTTTACAGTACATGGTAAAATCAGACTGCAATTTGGCGACAGATCATCGCTAGTTCGGTCTCCCAACACGGCGCTCGTTCCCAGTTGAACCAGGCGCTGGAAGCGGGGCGGCCAGAAGATCTTCCATCTCGGCGATCCGAATCACCAATCAGCTATGGTTTTGAATATGCGGTAGAAGCCGGTCATATTACTTCAGCCAACATTCGTGTCTTTGTCTAGACATCTTGGAACTACATATTCTCCGTCATGTTTCGAGATTTTCCTTAGCTCTTCCCTACTCATAGAGAAGGCACAGAGAGAAGCAGCATTCATCAATCACTCTAAGCGGCATCAATTCCCTCCGGGGTCGCAGGACAACCAAGATCTCTACGATGGCAATGATTGGGATAGTTGTAATCATGTACGTGGGTTTTAAGGGGAATGAACCTTCTGCATTCGTGCTGGGTACGTGTCTCGTGGCGATTGTTGCCACTTCCGCTTCACACCAGTAATTACATGTGTCGATGTCCGTGTCATGGGGATCTCAGGCGAATTGTACGATTTTAAGGGTAACGATTGTCCAATTTTGAAACTTCTACGTCAGAAATAGGAGGTTCTACGGATAGGTTGGCTGTCCGCCACATAAGTGGTATATCCATGCCGAGTCCAAGCTCAAGCAGATTAGTGCTGGCGATTCGATTAACTTGTTCTTGAAGCTTACCTCGTACAAAACCCCGACGATTGCCGACTACACCCAATGCGCCTGCGGGTAAGCGGCAGAATCGGTAGAGCATTTTCTCTTCCGTTGCACACAGTGGACGGCACAACGAACTCGGATGCTTCAACAGACGGAGTCGCATAGAGGGAACCTATCGTATTTTCTCGGAGGAAAAAACGCGTCCGATCCTGATGACTGGTCGCTAAACGTAGATACTGTCATAGAGACGATCAAGTTCGCCATGAGTACGGAGAGACTGGATGCACAGATCAACCAGCAGCGAAACCACACACCACCTACATCAACACACTAACCGGCGACACCCCCATGCACCCTCGTGCCATCGACAGCAGGACTAGCTTCGGCCGCCGACGATAGGACGCCGAACACTTTGGGAGGCACCTTAAGATGGCCTGTTACTAACCCCACGAGCAACCGCAGCATCGGCATGTAAAACCGAAAATGGCACATACAGCGACGGACAAGACTTGTATGGGCTTCTGGGAGGCAAGGATATTAACGAAGGTGGAGAACATGTAGATAATCATGCGAGCCCTGAATAGCTTAGCCGGGGCGTAATAAACTATGTATGTATGTATGTGCGTTGTCCGAACTCAACTTGTATAAGCCCGATATCCGCTAATCGCGGAAATGGAGTGCTGGATTTATGTCTCTGAACCTGGGATGGTTAATCAGCAGATTCAGAGGCTCTGCGGCTGGAGTCAAGCAGCCATGAACAAGGGGCAGGAATTCGTGACCACCTTGTCACCGCCATCTATGGATGTCGGATTATGCAACATGGGTCTAAGCTCTCGGACTTCAGGTGGAGAGGTCGTCAAGAAGGCTGCCACGAAACAGGAACATGCTCAGCCTTCTCGAGCTGCCCAACATGTTCGCGGTCAGTTGAACCTAACTTCCATTTTCTACCCTCGATTTTATGGACGAAGGTGGAAAACATGTAAATATTAATGCGAGCCCTATGTACCTTAACCGGGCCATGATGAACAATGTATACGAAATCCACGAAAATGGATGACAAGAAAATGCAACTTGCGAAACTCATGTAAGAGAGAGAGGCGACGATTCTCGCGTTGAAGTTAGCCAAGAATATGAAGAAGATAGTCGATCAGGTGATAGCCACCTCAGGTCAGTCTTTGCCCCTACTGAAGCTCTCTACCTTTGGTTGCTCACCCTAAATGTAGAGGTCCGAGATGTTGGTCCGAGCATGAAAGTGAGCTTGCTTGTCTCCCAACTGGCTGCAGGAGGCTCTTTGGGCATCTTTCTTGAGCTTGATGGATCGTTTTGGAAGGTAATCGGACGAGAGGGAGGTCGAGTATGCCTGCAAAAAGTGGACGAAGAGCCAACGGGTCCAGCAGCCGGTGAACAGCGCTGAGTATAGTTGTCAGATGCTGCAGAACAGGATGACTACGCGTTCGGTCGCAGGTTTTAGCAATACATGGTCATTTTGCTATCAATCGCGTTTCGTCTGGCCTCTCCTGCCCGGTCACTCGACGGGCCTTTCAGCGGCGCCTACGTGGAGGCAAGTTCAGGTAGTGCAGTCGCTATTGGGGTGGAGTGGAGAGCGAGCATAGGGCATAGACACAAAAAGCCTGGTATCAGTCCATAGAGAGCGGTTGTCATTTCTAAGTGTGGTGAAGCCATACTAACACGTTGCTGATGGAGGAGGAATGGTGGCCCTCCATGCCATTATATTCACCCAAGACAATAGGTTTCATAGCCCAGATAGTGATTCGGCATGTTAGACGACATCGTACGAGACTTGTGGCAGATTAACACCTTAATCGCGTAACAAGCATCAGCTCATGCGATCACGTACATATCCCCTCTAGCTCCCACGAGACGGTGCCACACCTCCACCCATGGGTATCAGGAGGCATTCAAAGAAGCCGAGATCTCGGACGTGGCGACAAAATCGTGCTCTGTACAGTCCAAGGCGAATGTCGCTGCATAATCCATTTGTTATGCTCTTCTTTCAAACGTGCGATAGATCCACCCGTGTCCCAGCATCTCTGGCCTGTGAACGGCGAATGCTGCTGAGTTCACCACCACGGTCTACATTTGTCCGCTCTCTTGAAAGCCGTCAAGACGTAGCTAAACATAGTAAAGGTCAGTGAGCCGGAATGATCATCCACGGATTATAGTGGGTCAAATACCATTTACAGAAGGCATGGTGATCGGGATTCCGGATTTCCTTGGTTGCATCCGCCACCAGGTCCAACATTTCTTGCGGCGGGGCCTCGCGACGAGACGCAAAGCATTTCGCCTGCAGAAACTGTCTGAGGCACCAATGAAAGCGTTTGCCGCTCTCTTGCTCATTTTTCGATTGCTTGTAGGGATTGACCGGCAAATCGATCGCTGCGCATGTAACGTCGAAGCCCTGATGTCGGAGTAAAGCCTCGATTTCCTGTTGATCAGCTTGACGCTTATCGTACTGACGGAACTTCTCTGCCCAGGCTTTGAGAGCCGAATTTCCTGGAAAAGACTTCTGCTCGTCGCCGCAAGGCATAAGATCAACCATTTCGACGATCAAGCGACCACCCGTGTTAAGATTGTTATAGGCAATTTTGGGGAAGTTCTGCCAATCTACGATGCTCTCGACGAATCGCACGTGAATGATGTCGTAGGGACTGTCTTTGCGCCACACCCTTCCGTCATCTCCTGTGACAAGGGTCAAATTTTCCGGTAGTATGTCCCTGCATGACTGTAAGGATGTGGATTTATTGGGCATCCAAATCGGCTTACATTGGCGGGTGCATGTCGATAATGTCGTAACCCACCACTCGACCATGCAAGTGCCTTACGCACCTTTGCACTCGGTCAACTTTGTGACTCGAAAGATGGGAGGACTAGTGACTGACTCTGCAATTTCGATCGACCAAATTCCAGTGCGCATGCCATAATCAAGGATTGCGCAGCTGTAAGGCAAGGAATCTAGGTCAACCTTTGCTCTCTGCTCATTCTTCAGAGTGTGGTGCAGCAGATCGTATGCATCTTTCAGATAGGCCTGAAAAAAAGTTAGTGCGAATCAGAATCAAGTGAGAGAGGTGCATATACGACGTTGAGGCTTGGGTCGGTGTTATCGTCAGATAGGTCATACGGCATCCTTTCGGGGGAGAGCTCAGCATATGTCATCTTCGAATGGGCAACCTTGTTGCTTGTGTTTGGGGCTTTGAGGCAGCTCAGAACCGCCAACCAACTGTTGAGATGCGATGACGACCTTTATAGAACCTCCAACCCATGCCCGGTGGTACCAAAGCCTGATGGTCACGTGATTCAACACCCTGCTCTGAGTTGCCATCATATCCCTGTTGGTTTGCTCGCAAACAGGGCCGCCTGTCACCCTACCTTTCGTGAGTTCTTTTGGCCTTGAAAGTTTCCACACTCGAGGGCGTTCTATCGAACATCGGCTTTGCACTCACCAGCTTGCTACGAGTTGCTTATCAGTCCTAGTTGAGGTGCGCTGGCCTTTATCTTGATAGGCATGAACCTTACGAGCGTTCAAGGATGACCCATAATGGCCAGTCTTCTTCCTGGTCCGTCACTGACACCATTCGACTCAGCCCCTACACAGAAGGTGAATAGAACCTGCGGTAGTAAGCGGGATTTTGCTGTGATAGTTCCTCGCGAAATCGCGTGCTTGAGAAGATCCTGATGGACTAGCCGCTTGGATCCAGCGCTCGTCGAGGCATGGGAATTCAGGACGCCTTGGGCATACCGAAACATGTACTGTAGTCCCGCCTCGAAAGCCATCATGTTGTACTGTGCTGTACTGTGCTGTGCGCAAAGACACTGATATCTTTGAGATGCCTGAGGGCGAAAGCTGGCTGGGAACGCAACTCCTATTTAAGCGGGTGACCATTTTAAGAAGCCCCACTGAACTGCATCAGCCCTGGAGTACGAGGGCGCCCTTCAAGACATGCCTTCTTAGCTTAGCATGCTTACGTGCGCCATAGCCCTCACGAGCTCATCCCAGACCCTTGACGATGCTGCTGTGTTGCCAGCAAGACCGAACCATAGCCGCTTGGGATATTCACGTAGGGTCGTTGTAGTGGGTACGAACTGAGTTTCCTGTCCGCAATGCGCAAGGGATGGTGCGAGTGTGGGTGTCGGGCTGTGAAAACTCTCTCTTGTGATAAGCTCATGGTTCGGATAGGGACTCCGTCAGCTCTCGCACGGGTGGAAAGACTCGAAAGAACGAGTTCTTCAGCGGTGGGGCCCAGGAGTTGAATGAACCACGTGGGATTGTTCCTGCTCGGATTTGGCCAATCTGGTTTGCAGCAACCTCAGGGGAGCGCTCCGCCACTCGGTGGCGGATATGCTCAATTAGCCACCTGCGGAGGGCCCGTTCACCGAGCGCTTGCTATCAGGCCCGCGGGTCCTTATGGAGCTATGGTGCACGTACTCAGTACGTTGCCAAATTTTCGACATGGGATCGATAAGATTTTCGAAGTACGCGAAATCACCGCGACGAGGCTTCGTCATGGAGGGATGTGCGACGTTGGGCGATATCAAACGTTTCATATACCTCAGATGCTTTTCGGAGTGCACTGCGAGGTCTGTTTGCCGGAAGGCGAGCATGATGGCGCTAATGAATCGCTTTCTTTGCTACCAAGCTGTGTGGCTGTCCAAGCGACCTTGTTGTCGATAGAAGAGTACAATGCCTCCCCTCGCCGAGAAGATACCATATCGACGTAAGCCATCCAACGATAGACCAGATAGATATCCCTCTTGCGGAAATGTTCGTTACTGATCTGTGAGATGGCGCGGTCTACGTGCGTCTTGAGGCTACGGGGATTCATGGCTGTGTGGCCGGCAGTGATAATGAGATGTCTCATGTTTTTACAATGATTCCACGTGAGTCTGAGACACTCTTTAGCTGTGGGGATTATGCGTGCTCCCTGCAAGTCCTCCTCGGGCGGCCACGCTGGCGTATGACTGCACGGCGTTCCCCTGATTCATCGGGGTCCAGTGCTTTGATATCATTTCGACCTTTACCACCAGCTCGCTAGTTTGTCAAGCCTCCCTAGCGGCTGTGATGACCGCGCGCGTGGCATTGGGCTTGTAATTTCGACTGTGCTATGCTGCACCGCAATCCTGATGATTTTCGTTTCGCGGGTGGCGTTCTCGATGTCTGTTTTGGTTGCCGCACGTAGGCTCTCGATAGCCTAGTGGGGGTGTCCAAGCTCGGGCAGGTTCTGCATTTTGGCAAGCAAGAGAGGGTAGCAAGGGGCATGGCTCTCATGGCTTGCAAGCTGAGGGATTGGCCATTTGCGATGTCGATAGACCTGACTGCTGTCTGGAGGTGTCTGCTAAGTTGGCTGATGCGTCGGCCATAACTGCTACTCGGGCCTTGGGGTCGCGGTGGGCTTTAGGACGGTCGGTCTTGCTAACGGTGGAATGTTACTCCGCTGACTAATCAGGCTACATACATTGTCATGGTTAACGAGTTCATCCCTTCCCACAGACGTAAGTTTCCATCTTTCCATACTCTTTCATCCTCCTTGTCGCGAAACCTGGAATGATGTCTCATCAAGACAGGCCAAGCTTTCAACACGTACGCATCCATCGGCAATGCGGAGCGTGTGGGTTTCTGTTTGGGATTGGAGACCATCTGGTTGCACGTGAGGGGCCTTCACTCCTTCCATATGTAATGACTTCGGCTGACATGTATCACTACGCAGTGCGCGCTTCCTCAACGCGCATTATCGCCCTTGATGCAGCAACATTTGCCGCAACAGGAACGCCACAAACCCGTGATGCTTATCTCTTTTGTCGGCATCCGCATTGCAAAATCTGCTCGGCGTCTGCAGAGACGGCCACCGTTCACAGGGATTGTTTCAACCTCTACAGCTCGCGAACAGCACTCCCAGACAAACTATACAGATTACTGAAATTTTCACTTGCGAGATATCCGTGGCCTCAAAGCACGCCCCTTCTCCTTTCCCCAGTCGTGAATACCACGCAGGGCATTGCTAATTCCCATCTGCGCAAACTTGCAAAACTCCCCCCCGAACTAACCACAATGATTTGGGGATATCTTGGGCAACACGCCCTACTGCGTCTGTGTTGCGTGCTTGAGACCATCGACTTCGCACACCGCAAAGGCCTTGACACGCCCCTATTGGGACCACTTCGCCAAGTTCAGTTCTGGCAACGCGGAAAACTTCCGATTATAGCCACAGCAGGCCCGTCCAAACCACTTCAGATGACGATTGATTCAAGGGGCATTAGGTGCATAGAGAGATCTGGGTGCTCTACCGCCCAGCTGCGGTCAACATTCGATTTATACACCACTGTTGACGCTGAGAACGACTTGACTATTAGCTTTCAGGTCAGTATGGTTTGCATTCTTAGTGATCGCTTCTTTTCTTACGTCCCTTCTCAGTTCGGTGTCGGCCGGCTTGCAACGCCCCCAAGGCCAGCAACGCTCCAACTTACGGACAAGCCTAATTTGTCACCGAAGGCAGGCTTTCAATTTCCGTCCCCAAAGCACGGTGATCGACTTGCCACTGTTGATCTGGACCACTGCTCAGGAATCACGTTCTTCCTGTTGAAGAGGGACTTGCTGGCGATTCATGCTCATACTCCCACAGCGCCAACCGCAGATGCTACCTTCGCGCAAATTGAGGCAACGGTTCAGCCGTTCTTATCGTGGTTCTACGTGCCAAATCCACCTCGAGATAAGATCTCAGTCTTTGGAGTTCGGATCGGGACGAAACAAGGCGAACCTCAGTTGAACCAACGGACATATCTCGTAAGCCAAACCCCACAGAGCCGATTGGTTTGACTGACAATCAGAAGGTTAGAACCTCTCACAGAGGGGATTTTTACATTGGTCCACCACCAACTGGACCGGGACGAAATTTTGCCGTCCACACCACGTCGCGATCGACTCTTCTGTCTGTTGTGGCGCGAAAGAACTCTGTCGTCATTCGTGGGGTGTTAACAGAAGGCGGACCCTGCTCAGTTGCCGTCCCTCCAGCCCCGGGAAACCCTCCATTCTCAGACGCATGCCATGCACGGGCTACGCTATCATGCGTGAAATCCATCTGGATATTTCGCCATGAAGAATCTCAATCCTGTCGAGGCCTTATCGTTGAGTATCTTGATGGCACGGAAAAGGTTCTGGGGCTGTGTCGCATAGGGGTTGATCTAGCCGAGAGATGTGGGGCTGTCGAACAGCTCTCGTTCAAGGTTGTTCAGCGGCAAGAGCGCCCAAATGACCTAACGGTGATGGTGATGGTGGGAGGTTCTCGCTCGCAGGGAAATGACACTTGCGACGATGGACAATGGACGGTTTGCTCTCATGGGGACACGTTGGAGGTTTGGACGACAGCAACACAGATGGTGATGACTATAACGAAGCTAATTGATAGCGATTCCCCGGATACACGAGTAAACGTACTCTCAGACTAGAAGTAGTCTTTGACATTCATGGAAAAATAGACTGTCCCCGAGTTACCGACATATTTGAAGCCCTTGACCATCGTCTCATCCACCATGCATTGCGCTGGTTCCCATCTGGCTTTTTCAGTGTTGACTTCGGTGCCATCTATTGTCTGGATTTTCGGCCCTTGGCTGCGCCTTCTGACCGCAACAGCGAATTTGACAGTCGACGGGTCCAACTCCTCCAAGCTCACGGCGTCCGACATGCTTTCGTCCGACATGCTGTCGTCCGACACCTCGAATACGGCGTCAGGCGGCTGCAAATTCTGCTTGATGGTATCGAAATAGGCCATGAGAATTGCTTCCGACGTTCGGAAGTCGAGGTAGGACGATTTCTCCCCTATGGCGCCATATTTTGGGCACGCGGGGACCAGGTAGTCGAGCTGAGCGTCGAAAGCCCAGATGCGGACCGCGGGCCCGCAGATGCTGCACGTCCACATTCGTTTGTGTTCGGGGTGATCCACCACCCCAACGATTTCGCCCAGGGTTCGTACTATGCGCCGACGGATGGACAGGGGCTCCTGCGCTGGTGTTGCGGGGGTTGATCCCCCAGAAAGAGCAGTCGAATGGGCACGGCCATGCACACCGGGGAACAGGTGCGGCTGCAGCCGGTTGATAGCCAAAAGACGCCCTTAGGGCATACGTCGCCGTCTGGTCCTGGCTCGACTGGCGACACGCCAGAGAACAGCGCCACACCGGGCGGCAGAAGTCGTGCGGTGAAGACCCACTTTCGAGTGGACCATGCAGTTCGCAGTACACCCAAGGGTGGTGCAGCGCGGCAACCCGTCGAATGCTAGAAAGTCCCCAGTGCTTCGCCCAAGGCGAACGCCTCCAGAGCCACCCGCCTGCGGCATCCGAAGCGTGTCAACTCGTGGAATTGGTCTCCTCAACAGGCATTGCCAGCTTTACGTGATCTTGATTCCGCCTCACGTAGTTCTCAGCAGACCGCACGAATGCAATCGCATGCAATCTTGATCGATCCTTCGCAGCTCATCGTATCAATTGGCAGCCCCCATTTCAGGTCGTGCTTTGGCAGACTGCCGACGACCCGCCTTGTGATGCTCCTCGATTGTTTGCCGTGATCAATACTCTGAACCTGGCTCTAAGGGTGGGTGCTGCCGTAGCAGAAATCACAGGACCAAGTCCATCCTCAGTTGGCTCTGTTGGCTCAAAAATTCGCCACCACGATCCGTCGGGTTCCCTGAAGATGCTTCCCAAAGCCAAGCTCTTGGCAGACATACCTCACGGAAATATCAGCTGTCTGGCGGTGGTACAGATAGACAGCTTCGCGTCGATGATCTATTGCTCGCATGTCGCCTCCGCATGGAAGGGTGCTGGCTGCTGCGCTACGACTGATAATACTCCCGTCAAGGCCTTTCAGTGGGTCAATGATGCAGTACGCCTGCGGCTCATACATCCGGAAGTCGAGCCTGCGCAACTGATCTGGACGTCCCAACGTGTTGTGCGTATGCAGGGTAGGCGTAGATAGCGCACCAACGCGGTGGGAGTGTCAGTGAGATAGGGATTCTACATCCTGCCGATCATGGTAGCGTCGGGTGACGATAGTGGAGTTGCAATCCTGCTGTGATGTTCCGGGCGCTTAGCTGGCGATCAAACGTGATGCGGGCCAGAAAGAGGACAGCGGGGGCGAGAGGGATGTTTGTTGGCGGCAGCGTCTTTAGGGCCAAAACCGTGACTTCGCAAGACTTGAACGTTTGGTTGCGTGTACTCGATGAGTGTGCCGTCCCAACTTCTTTCTAGCCTTGGTCGAACACACCCCATCGGCGGCAGCGTCTTTAGGGCCAAAACCGTGACTTCGCAAGACTTGAACGTTTGGTTGCGTGTACTCGATGAGTGTGCCGTCCCAACTTCTTTCTAGCCTTGGTCGAACACACCCCATCGGCAGGTTTTGTGCGGAGGTATGGCCGTATCGGGGATGGGGATGGGGAATGTTCTGAGATCCATACGGTGCGCCTCACCTAGCAGACCCGATCGCGATATAGTCGGCGAACCGCGTGCTAGACGTGCCACACGCCGTTGCGTTCTGCCTTCTGAGCACGCCGATATGCCCAGGGTTCGCTCGAGAGCCACGATCTTGCGACCGCTAGGACGAGCCCACCGCACCACCCAGTGTAGGAAACGAGGCGCCCTCGTTAAGGGCGCCAGTCATGACTGACGCATTGCAGCGGGGAGTGAATTGAACGGTAGCTACCCTGCACGCATGAGCTCGACAAAGCGTAGCTGCCAGACGTGCCGCCAGACACCAGGCAACTGCAAGGCCGTCGTGTCAAACAGAGTCGCGCATGTGCAGTTTGCCCTCACCCATCATACTGCACGTAAATGCCCGCGATCTGCTCGGCCCAGTTATGAGCGTTGCGACTAGTCAGCGTAGTCGCGAGCACAATTTGCACCCTTGCTGGACATCCGTATATGATAGTAAATTTTCACTCTCGTAGAGCCTGGCATATTTTCGCCTTCATCGTGGCTGCCTGGTCCGCGACGATCTTACACAAATATGCTCTCACTGGTCCAGGCAAGTTGACTTCGCCATCTCTACCCACGTAGTCGCTTACCAGGTCATCCGTCTGTTCCTCGACCACATCGGCAATTAGGTCTCGCACGATGTCCTCTTGCAGCATGTCCCGAATCGTGTGTCTCATCAAGTCCTCCAACTCCTCCAGATCGTATGGCATTTGCTTCTCAATCTCGCCAAGTTTCCCTCCCAGCTCATCGATCTGGACATCGAAATTCCCCAGCTCGTCCTTGACCAGATCTTGTTGATGCTTCAACCCATCACAAATATCTTCCACTTCGCTTTGACGTTTCTCAGAATTCGTATTCTGCTGTTGCAATTGTTCGACCTTTTCTTGTAATCGCTTGATCTCATGCCGTAATTGGTGGTTTTCTTGTTCTTGCATCATCTGCCGGTTTTCTTGCTCAAGAACCCGACGTGATAAGTCATGCAGCAGTATGTAGCTTTCGACATCCGCATTGTCAAGTTCGAGTCTCTCTTTTGCATCAAGTCGTCGCACGTTCGTTGCTGAAGCCGAGGCAGATATCGCGACACGTGAACCCAGTGAAAACGCTCGTTTGGGACTTGGGTGCGGAGACCCATCCTCATCCACCCATTGGCGCACGCGCTTGAGAGCCATCGGCGTGTCGCGAGCCTGTTCGATGTCACCATACTCCGGCGGCGGACAGTCAATAACGGAGTTGTCGACGTTGGCCGTGTCAGCCAGCTTCGCCATGGGTTTCTTCACATCGACTGAGCCCTCGTCATACCGCGGAGGAGAGTTCTGATCACGCGGAACAACGTCGAAGCCCAATGTCGCGCACGAATCGGTCTCTTGCCGAGAGCTACTATCGTGGTTGTTGACGGCTGTATCACGATCGACGGCAGCGTCGTCATCATGGACGGCAAGCATCCGGCCACCGTCGCCACCGTACAGCCTCTGCAGTTGCAGCGCTCGTTGATACGACAGAAATTCTTCATTTGTTGACACCGAACATCGCTGAACAGCTTCAACGCAAACGTTAAGCAATTTCCTGGATAGTCGATTGGCTGGAATGTATAAGGAGAATGACGGAGAGGCCGCGATCGATGCAACAGTGTCAAGGACATGTCGAGATGGGTCGTCGAGAGCCTCGTAGTCGGGAAGATTATGGGGTACAATGCGCTGTACGTGGACGCCATTGCGCAAGACGAATCGAAGGTGAGTTAGGTCGCCCCTGCCGCCCTTGCGGCCCAGCCGACTGCGCACTTCGTCAAGGTGAGGTGAGCCTCCATCCTTCAGTCTGCAGGTCTCATAACGGAACGAGTCGAGATTGTCAGATGCAATTTGCAGATATATGGGAATTTTGTTGTGCTCGCCACCCAGGATGGTAAAAGTGAGACGAAAACATGCTGTTTCTGGTGACAGATACGCGCTGCTGAACTTGACTGCCTGGTCTGCGAATTCGTGCCGCTGTTCGTTTGGATTTTCGTACGCCACAAAACCTTCGACTGGCAGTACTCGCGGACCCATGCTGTATCATGTGCCGTGTTCGTTTGCGATAAATTTCCTAGGTATAGCAGCAGAGAGGAACCTGGGTACTTACTTGGTCACAGCATTGTCTCACCATTCGATTTTGAGTCCTTCGCAGGTCGTCGTGAACAAGATAAGCTCCGACGTGGCCGCGATCTAGCTCGAGGTGCGTTGGGGGCTCTTGGTCAAGTAGTAGGATGACCAGGGCCGCGGGTTACAGATCCAAGTCAGACGCTATACAAAGGCCATGGCTTGGATGGGTTCCGACGGGATCCCGGTCCTACTCGCGCAGAGAGTCAGGCAAGCATTCAAGAGCAGTCGGATGACCAGTTCGTCGGAGACAGATCGATCAAGCGACGGGAGTGTGTGCGTGTCGGAGAGGCCAGACGGGAGTGGATAAGAAGACGTTAACGAGGGTGAAGGGTAATGTAGGGAGTGTGGGTGGGACATACACAATATAAAGGAGAGGCAGAGACAGAAATTGGGGCTGGGGAGTGGGGATACGTAAGCTCGGCGGCTTGTTTTTCCCCTCATGGAAACGCCAGTGGCAATCGCCAGACCAATCCGATTCTGCCTGATTCGATTAACGGGCCCACATTGGATGGTGCGAGGACGTTGAGTAGCTGGCCATCCCAATGAGCAACAAAATATTGGGCGTATCTGTGTTTTAGAATCATGCCATCAAGCCCCGCTGGTTCATATGATTGGGCATGTCTTCCACGCTTAATTGCCCGGATGCAAATCCTGTTGGTCTGCTGTGCACAGGCAGACGCCGGCGACTGATGCTTCTTCCTCATCCTGTCCTGTGCCGTAGTATGAATGGCGTAGCGCCCAAGCTGTCCCTGATCTTCTTCACCATGACCAGGCCATGTTGGGCAGCACAAACACGTGCGGCGACTCGGGCGTGGGCGGATTCCGTGCTCACGTCGTCCGCTCGGTTGGTACGCGCCTTGTGGTGGAATTCTTCTGCGGCCGAAGTTGCCTCTGGCGAACAACAGTGGGTTTCTCGTGTCGCTCTACTGAAGCTCTGCCTCCCGATAGGCCAGGCGGTGGGCAGCCGTGAGACTCTGGTACGCCGTGAGTGGATGTCATGGCAGCCAGACTAGACATAGGTTGTGACTCTCCCAACTACTCGATTTCTTTCGCTTGCGTTACCGCTGATGAGGGTGGATGGCGGTATCACCTTCTGCCGGCATGTATGGAGGATTCGCACACTGCTGCTACACGATTAACCAGCAAGCGAAGTTTGTAGCACGTTGCTGATAGGACCCCATTAATAGATTCAGACGTTTCCGTGTTTCGGTCGGCGCCACGTATCGTACAAGAATTCACCACAGCCTATCGTGCCGTGTGCGTCAAGATGCACACGTTGGCGGTCACTCCTGAGGTGTGGTTTACAAGGCCGAATGACCTCCCAAGGAGACTTGCGGGCCTTGCCGCTGTCTACCGGGCGGCTATAGCCCGAGAGACCAATCCCGATCGGCTGGGTGACTGGACACGGATATTCTGCTTCGCGGCATGACAGGCTCAAGCTCATCGAAAAGATTGCCCCGACCTGCACGCAGTGTTAGCGGGCACGATAGTCGCGACCACGTTTCGTGGCTGCTTCGCACAGTGCCGACCGTTATCCTTACGCCATATGTGTCAGTAGCGATGCTCTGTCCCCAGCCTCCGTTTTCGTCAGCGGGCACCCGGCGACTCTTCTGTACTACATGTTACAGCAATCAACGAGAAGGGCTTCATCCTGTCGACGATTCTTGCATCTCTTTTCGCAAGGACATCAGAATTCTTGACGCTTACTGTACATGGTCCAGTGCTGTACTGTTCGCCATCTAATCAAGTTGGAGTGCATCTAGCAACCATTGGATGAAGGGCGTCGGCTTAGCAGAATCCACAAGACAGATGGCCGTTTCCCACTTAATGGCCACAATGGCCATGGCCAGGTACTGAATCCAAAAAGGCTGTTCGGCAAAATTAGACTCCCCTTGAGGGAACCAATGCTACTGTAATGGAAGCTCTTGGCTGCAAGATTCAGAAAATGGTGCGGTCATTCTTCTGTGGATTATCTCGGAAAATGCAGACTTTGTGCTCCTTCATGAAAGAACACAGTGACCTAGAAGGCAGACCCACGGTGAGGGCCTGCTTATGCTGCTTCTTTCCATGGTGCAGATTTTGGCTTCTGACTACCATCAAGATCGACAAACACCTACAGCAACGTGCAAACAGCATGCCTTGTTCAATCAGCCTCTGTTGAGTCCCGGAGCGCACGGACCTGTTGTCTTGACAGTATGAAGCAATGGGACCTCGCAAAGGGTACTGGGGATCAGAACTGACTACTTCAGAAATGGCTTGCGCCAGGAACGGATGAACACCGTGGCTTCCCCGTTAGGTCATGGCTTTCGTGTCCAAATCGGATGCAGTAGAAATTAAAATCGATTTCCTTTCCTGCGGGCAAAAATTGATCCGCGCACAAATGTTTGTAAGGACAGGGCACACGACAATGCCCTGACGGTACCTGCTTGATGGTCCCCATAGCCGAAGTCAGAAATTGCTTTTACACTGTGTTCATGGAATAGACCCATGTTATCCACAAACAGCGATGGCAAGTGTAGTCTCTACAGTACAGTATGCAACACAGGTCAAAACAAAAACCACAGTAAAGAAGCGATTCTGGCCTTACTGTGGAGGTCATCGACGAATGTACTTGATCAGTATGTATCCTGTCAGCAAACGGGACCACATATGTCTGTGCACAGATCAATTTCTGCCCGCAAAGACGGAAGCCAAAATCGATATCTACTGTACTTATTGTACATATCTCCGGTGATTGTGCATCGCCTTCAAACTTCTAGGCTGTACAATTCTTCCATTTGCTCATTACAATAGCTTCTTGGTGACGGCTCCCCATACAGTCTTTCCACCAAGGCACGACAGCCGCTTCAATCGGCGTGCAAGCTGTGGTAACTTGCAGCCCGTGGTGAGACCCCGGCCCCGCTTCCCGCTTCTACCACTCCCCTGGCCACGAAACTATCTTCCGCGCGAACTTTTGTCTCGTTGGCTGAACGTAAACCCCGGCAGGGTCCAGTGAGGTCCCTGGTCTTCGCAGCAGGGTGCTACATGTCTCACCAATCGGCCTGGGTCAGAGAAGCTACGCGAGAGCTTTCTCCAGTACGTGTACGCCCTGGCCACACGGCAGAATATCGGTGGTAGGAATTGTTCAGATTTCCCAACATTGTACCACGCGCTGTAGCTCGGCAAGGGGTTGCCAAGAACAGACGTGGCAGAGTGTCGAAGCGGGGAATCCGAGGAAGCCCAGAAGATTAGATACGGGGGGTCGGTGAACCATAGCTAGTTCACCGACCTGGCAAATCTCATTACTAAGGTAGTTGGTCAAGAGTTCCCGCGTGCCACTGCTGCGTCGCTGACCGGCACCGCCCGCACAAGGCAGGGGTTGCGTGACATGGCCTGGAGACGCTTGAGATGTTCCGAATAACAATCACCAGCTAACGGCGCTATCACCGAGCAGCCGTGAGTGATGCTGGAAAGTACACTGTGTCAAGGTTGAAGTCAGCCAAGCCCACCATTGCCAGCCCAGCCAGACGTCTCCGCTCTACAATTTTCCCGCTCTCTCCTTGAGGCAGCCAGCTTCCATAAAACGCCTTGTTCCCTTGTGATCGCCGACGCATCTCCTCTACTGGATCGGGTTCGTTCGTGCTCGCCCAACTTCGAAATGTCGACCTACGCGGCCAAGGGCCAATGGGACTATCCACCTCAGGTTGAGCTCTGCTGGTTGTACGCTGCGGCCAATGACAATGTTCATGCTGAAGCACTCCTCGCGTGTCAGGGTTTTGGCTGCACTGTAGCCACAGAGGGCATACCAATACTCTGGGGAATCGACGTATCCATGGCAAACTCGAATGATACGACTACAACTTTCGCAGTGATGTCGTCGACTCCTGACGGACGCCGTTTTCTCAACTTGGCGGCTGCTTTAACCGCCTTTCTCAGCATCGAAGACGGCGCGAAAGCGCTTGCGCTCTTGATGGCAGCATCGGTATCGAATCCTCAACAGAGAGTGCCAAGCTCGGAACACCTAACGATGATTCTCGAAGCTCTCGTCCGGTATCTGCCTCAGGAAAGGAACAAAAACCTTGCGTCACGATACTCAGCAGCCGCGCGGCGCCACTCCGATCCCGAAGCCGTGGGTCTGGCTTCTTGGATCCAGGACTGGATCGCGCGAAACCACGACAACACTCACGACTTCATTGAAGACGACATATTTGCGCTTCGTCGTCAAATTAAGGCATTTCTAGATTGGTGCCAGAGACCCGAGAGGAAACTGCTGAACGACTCGGAATGCAAGGGAGGCAGTGGCGCATCCTGACAATTAGCTTCAGCCTCCAGTCATCACTAGCGATGCTCTTTTATCGCACGGGATCCCACATCCTTGCCGTACCAAATATCGTCGCTTTTGAGTGGAGGTGTTCTGAAGATCAAGCTGAAGGCTGGCGCTCGGTGGTCCGGCTCATCTTGGTGCTCGCGGTGGGTCAAGCCTGTATTCAAGCTGAGGTTATGCGCACTCAAAGACATGATTGTGTCTCCTGCGACGGGATAGGTTGTAGTCAAGACGCGCTCAGCTGGAAGAGTGCCTGACGTACGCTCCGTAGCTTCCCCAAACAAATTCAATTGATGTATTGCCAGTTGCGTTCAACCCCTTCCCGTACTATACCAAGTTTTGATGGGTACACACTGAGTACATGACAAAGTGACTCTCTTGGCTCTTGGTTAATGCTTCAGTCCACTGAAGTCAATGCGGGGGCGCATTGCTTGCTGAAAGCTGATGCTGCTCATGTGTGACAGAAGCCAACAGCTCCACGGCCGTCTTGTCGGCGGATGTGGGCCCCGCTCGGTAAAAGCTAACGGTCGCTCTCGGGGAAGCTCGCTGACAGCCACTTAAAAAGGCGTCGTGAAAGATCACGTCCAAATAACGCTCCGGCCGAGTGCTCCCAGAGCAGATGCTAGCTTCATATGTGGCTGCATCCACGGAAAGAAAAGTATGGATCCCTCGCACCGCGGCCTTTCCACAACCTCGTAGCATATTCTGGGCCTGGTCCAGATCGCACCCACCGGAGGGCAACTACGGCCGTTTGCTCATTCGAAGCTCGCAAGTTTGACGCTTACTATCATAAGCCCCAACCCAGTGCACGACCTATCATGGATCAAGAGCTGAAGCTTTCGAGCTCTACCATCTCCTCCTGTGGTTGGTTGGTAATGTATCCTACAACGACTAATGCAATGCAGAGATATGATAGCCATTGGGTGCCAGGTGTGGCCACCGCCACGTGTTGGAAGTTGCCTGTTGTAAGATCTGGTAGTTGATGGGCCCTCGCGACCACCGACAGGGTGCTTGCCGCCTCCGATGGATGAGCAGGGCGTTTTTTGCAGCCAGCTATCTGCCACACGTTCATCCGTTGAGGGGTGACTTGCCGGCACCCGCTTGCGATCACCGACCACTACCCTCATCGAAACAACCACGTGGCAACATTGACACAGGACTCTAAACATTGGCTAGTCTTACGTGATGGGTGTTGATGTGGCTACACGCCCAGTTGATACTGTCCCTAGCGCCATCGCTGGTAGGGAACAGCCGTTGGCGCCAAGCATCGTGGCTTGGTGCGTAACGAAAGGGCTCTCGAAATGCCCTTCAAAATGTTCTCAAGAGGCAAGATGTTTCCATCAGGGGAGTCAAGCATGCATAGCACTGCATGGTGAGTTGTTCACGTTGCCCAGAGCGCCATGGCCCGAAGACCGGGAGATGTTCCGAGTGATAACGTCAGTGCCCTTCAGTGGAGGGCCAGGTGCCTGGAATACCTGCTGACCAAGACGGCAGAAATCGGGAATAGAACCAGTTCGCTGACCACCAAAATCGGCAAAACTAATATCCATCAACCACTGTCTTACCTGCGCTCCCGCTGATCACTTGCTTTGTCACTGATCAACTTCGGGTCGCGCTATATTGGTCCGAGATACAGGGACATGATCCATGCTTATCGTGAGTGCGCGGATTTGTGACCAAACACAAGGCTCAATACTAACTGATCGCGCAGTGAGTGTCTTTGACCATTCGGAAGCTGCGAATCATCTCATTCAGTCCCTGGTAGCCTAGTCGTGAAAGGGACAGTTCGTTCTCGATATGAACGGCAACAACAATCATAATGCAGCTGTCTTCGCGTCTGCGTCCGCATCAACGGGAGTCGAAGAAACTCAGACCTCCAATCTAATGTCCATGCCTCCGGTGGCCCGTGCGATATACGAAGACTACATGGATAAAATAGAGTCTCTACGGACTGTCATTTCCAAGAAGGGCGACGAAGATGACCTGGATGACGCTTTGAAGCTTGCAGGAGCTCTTAGACAACTGACAGCATACCTGGTGTCCACCATCAAGCAAGAAGTATCCGCAGTATCTAGCGGGGAGGGCAGCGACACTGTTGACGGCCTTCACTGGCTGTAAGCTCAACGAAGTTAACCTGGGGCCATTGCCTAGGAAGGATGATTGGGCTCTTACTAATGCCCAGGGAGGGTAGGTCTTAGTAAGGAATCTAGTAGTGGTAAATAGGCACAGCTGAGCGTGGGAAGGGGGGTTTGACGAGGCTGCCTTTTGGACGGAGAGCACAATCTTGGGAGGTGGCGAAAGGAGGCGCTTTCCCTCGAATAAGGCCTATCAGTATCATGAGTAGGTTCTCATGTAGTTGGTCTTCAACGGTGGTCCTTGATTGATATGCTACTGTAGCCGTGCAACTGTGCTTCTTGACTGCACCTTTCCATCACCAGGGTCTTTTCGCTGGCGAATTAGCCTTGTTACCGCCTGTGCAGTGAATGCGCATAAGCCATAGTCTTCAACTTCTGAGGGAAAGTTTTGCATGCACGGATCTCCGCTCGTAGGGATTCAGCACCATTCCAGATGTCATTGCCGAACTCGGCGACCGTATTCATCCTGCTTGCTGGACTGTCGACTCAAGCCTGACTCAAGAGCACTTCTAGCTATGCTCGCCTGTGAGACCAATGGTCGACTAATAGAAGACAGTGGAACTGAACCATTCTCTGCCCCTCCACGTGGGATATGAAGCGGACGGGAATAGTGCGACCTCTCGTTCGTAACGTCATCACTAGAATTCCGGGCTGCTGTCGTGCTGGTATGCATTCTCCTTTGTAGCAGAGTCGCCGGCCCAAACTCCCTTCTAGCTCGAGCATCGCTGGACACTAAGTTACTTTCACGGATGGCGAAGTTTGCGAGTACACAGAGTTTGCTTTCATGGGCGCATAAATAGAGCCATTTGAAGTAGGTTTGGCCGTTTGGCCGGTCAACTCATTGACTCTGAGCATTGAATTTTGAGCAATGACTACTAACATGAAAGAGATACCAGATACGGTTTCGGAGGTGACATCTCAAGGACGGGAAAGACCAACTTCGCTGAGTGTGAACCCTTTCTTGACTTCGCCCAGCCCTTCTTCAAGCAATTTGGTACATATGTCAACCAGCTGGCAAGGTCGCGAGCTTGATGCATGATAGACAGAGTGACCCCACCGAGGAGTTTGAAAATCCTTGGTCGCTTTCTCAAGCGCGGTGATACTATAGCCTAAGAATGGTGCACACGGTTCAGGGTCCATTAGGTTGTGTTTAGCCATCTCCTTTGCCAGTGCACCAAAGAGGGCGGAAGAACAGCCAAAGTCGCAGCCGGTGAGGCCGCGAAGTAGAGATGTGCCCAGTGTTTCCAGTGTTCCGAGGATACCTGCTATGGCATCCTGCCTTCGGAAGTCGATTTGATCTGCCACAATCAGAAGGGGTATGTACACAGTGCGGCAGGAACACAAACCGATCAAGTCTACTCGGAAAGGTAGTCCAAGAGTCGGGAGAGGCCCTTTGCTCTCTGTGACGGCTGTCTTGGTGATGGTCTGGAAGATGTCGTCTCGACGAAAGACCACGGCCACGAACAACCATAGAAGCAGCTCGCGGTTGCACTGCGACGGCAGTTGTTCTTTGAGGGCGTCGATCCACAGAGTCGAGAAGAATCTAACAGTATTGTAACAGCTGAGGTAGTCAACTAGGACTGCGATCTTGGCCAGCAGTTCCAGGTCAATAAGACGGGGAGTGTCTCCCGTTTTGGCATGGAAAATCTGCAACAAAATGAGGAGAGCGTCAGCGTCCCAGTCCCGTATTTGGGTATGACGACGGCCATCCTGGGAGTGCACCGATGCCTCCGCCCATGGACCGCAGAGTTGGGCCTTGAAGTAGTGTGATGAGAACGTGAGATGTCGGGACGATACGATGAATTCAACACATGAGACCGTAGAAACTGGGCTCTGAACCCGGGTCTGATCGTACGATGACATCGGAGGGTGAGTCTCGGCTTCTGGTGTTTGCGGGTGCACCGAGCCGTTATTTGCAATGGGGGAGTCGGCCGCACTCAAGCTTCGGCTAATTTCATCTTCCGCAAGCGGCAATTCGTCTACTCCGAGGCCGGTGATGGTCGCGATGGTTGGAGACTCAAACTCTTTTTGCTTCTTCTTCTTTTTCTTGTCCTTCTTGATCAATTTCCTCGAGCTGCCTTCTTCTTTGGGTTTTGCATGTAATGCCGAAATCACATTCCACGAGACTGGTGTGAGTCTTGCGTGCTCGCCTCTAGCGCGTGTTTCAGGATGCGTTGCGCTGTCAGGCTGGCTGTACAAAATGGTCAGCTTCGCCATTTGGCCTTATCTCCGAGCACGGGTAGTGCGAATCGTACCACAGGTTAAGTTCCTGAAGCCCGGCGGTGGTGCATTGATCCCACAGGGCAAAAGCTGGATTCGCATTTTCGAGGACAAGCACCACGTCCCCATCAGGATCGAGCGTGTGCGAGCGCTCCATAGGGTCGCGTTGCTCAAAGATGCTGTCGGTAGGCGCGGCGCGTAGAGGCGTAGTCATGGCAGATGCTGGTTCCCAGTTCGGTGATGGATTCAAGCGAGGATTGAACAGCCAGACAGGTGTTGTTCTTAGTTTTCGTTGATGGCGCTGGACTGCCATATAACTCATCACGGCAAACGTGACGGGCAGGCCAGGCGTTGTGTCACTATGCGTATTTTCTCCCGCAAGCTTCCCCTTTCGCAATATTGTGCCGTACGCGCGCGCTTAGATGCAGGTTCCTCTAGCCAAGTTGCGCTGCAGTCTATGCTGGCATCCGTATGCTTCCCGGCCAATCGTGCACTCTTGCTGTGCACTGTATGACCTTCCGCTCGATGAGCTGGCAGTGCCGGGGGCATCGGCTCCGTATATCGAGCTACATTTGGCCGAATCTATTTCGCCTGGGCGCCTTGAGGGGCGAAAGATCGATGCTATCCTAAAGTCAATGATCACCACCTTGTTCATACGGCCCTTGGCTTCACGCCCAATCGGTACACTGATCATTGCTCCCCTGACTGTTTATTTCGCTATCGTCTGGGCTCTCCAGCAACCCCTCCAATCAGATTAGCGTGAAGAGGGGCTCATCTTTAAGCCGTTGATTGGGCAGTGTTTTTGCTGGCTTCGGAATATCAAGTTTCCGACAGCCGCGTCGCCAACCAAAGATGCAGAAGCCCGCAAATCCCCACCCACTACCTGACCGACCACCTAGCATCCGCCATGACTGATCTATCAGAACAGATCAATCGCAATCCCATTGGAAATGGGCTTGATGATGTTCGCAGTACTTTCAAGTCCCTATGCACCAGGGAAAAGACGCCATATTCTACAGATTCAGTAGATCAACTCGGCCAGGAAGGTACGAGCCCTGGCTCTCGCTGCTTAACCCCTCTAAATTATTCACAGATCTTCGGAACCTGACCCTCCTCTCCTGGTTGCCTTGCAAAGCCACGTCCTTTCAATATCTCTACCATCGAAATCGGGCTGCGGCAGTATACAAAGTGATCTCCTCAGACTTATCTCGGACGCAGTCTCCGACAGCTTCGACTTCAATCGCGTCAAACCACTTCTGAAAGCGGCTTGCTCTCATAAACTCGATGATGCCACCATCTGGGATCAAGCATATAGTGCCGTTACAGAAACCACGCCACCCCCCCGAAGGATAGCTTCCTCGCTTCAACAAACACCATGGCTGCAGAGCACGAGCAGTTTCACGAACTCATCCGAACACCGCCGATACGTTGACGATATACTGAAGGAGGAGCTCGGCACTATGTACGTGGGACTTCCCGGATTCCAAGATGCGTATTTTGGAAGATTGGACGGACTAGAAGCTGCATCCAAGGAGGTTTTCGATCAGTGCCTTGATGGCCGCGAGCCTGTATTTCAAAATGGCTGGAGGGAATGGCCTCGGGATCCGAACGAAAAAAGCGTGTTGGAGTGGCTTGCCGACATCGTAAAGACGCTGGCGCTACTTGCAAAAGCCCAGAAGTCCAATACGACACATCAGCGGAGCCTTTTAATACAGCCCAACACGCCGATGCATGGTTCGACGGCGGACCGCAGACTGGATGTTGGGTTTGTCGATGATTTAAAGGGACCTCCATACCACTGGAAGCAAATATTAGTACCCGGAGAACTGAAGAGTAATCCGTCTGCCGACACCGCCTCCAAAGCTTGGATCGACCTTGGGAGATATGCGAGGGAAGTGCTAGCCGCACAGGACACCCGACGCTTTGTGATGGGCTTCACGCTCTGTGGATCTCTCATGAGGGTGTGGGCCTTTGACCGGCTTGGAGCCCTCGCATCAGAGCAGTTTGACATCAACAAAGACGGCCTGCAGTTTGTGTCGGTGGTCCTTGGATTCTTTGGATGGATGAGGAAGGCCTAGGGTTTGATCCAACGGTCATGGTGTCGGACAACGACCGATTTATCAAGATTCAGCGGAACGGTTCTACCGAGCAGATTGTCATTGATGGGGTCATCCTTCGGGCGCGTTGTGTGGCTGGCCGCGCTGTGACTTGCTGGAAAGCCCACCCCAAAGGACATCCAGAAACGCTTCTTGTCATCAAGGATTCATGGCAATATCCCGAGCGCGATGAGGAAGGCGATCTTCTGCGTGAGGTGACGGACAAAGGCATTGTAAATGTGGCCCGGTATTATCACCACGAAACGGTCCGGATCCGTGAGACAGAGGATGACATCTGGAACAACGTTCGACGTGGTCTTGATGTTACGGCAGCGACGAATTACCGGCCGGGACGACAGATACCACCAAGCAAGATGGTAAAAGATGACCCGCGGAAGGGCCGTCCCGGCAGCAGCAAGAAGCGGCCCTCCAGCCAAATCGACTTCGCCTTGCCCCCAAGCAAGCGGTCCTGCTCCATGTCTCCAACAAAGGTGCCAAGTACCCCACCCAATCGGGTTCATCGGCGCATCATTCTCCGGGATTACGGCAAACCCATCTACGAGGCGAGCTCTCGATCAGCATTGCTTGCTGCCCTGGTATGCTGCATTGACGCTCACGAGTCTTTGTCCAAGGCAGGCATTCTCCATAGAGACATATCCATCAACAATCTCATGATCAATGAGGATAGTCGCAACCCATCCTGGCCTGCCTTCTTGATTGATCTTGACCTGGCCATTCGAGAGCCAAGAGAAGGGTCCTCTGATGCCAAGGGAAAGACTGGTACGCGGGCGTTTATGGCAATCGGGGCGCTGCTCGGCGAGCAGCATTCGTTCATGCACGACCTGGAGTCGTTTTTCTGGGTGCTTTTCTGGATATGCATTCATTATGATGCAGATGGCAAAGATGTTGGCCCGACCGGGTTTGATAGGTGGAACTACGAGAGCGATGACACGTTGGCTGAGCTCAAGATGGGTGTAGTTGCTGACGAGCAATACTTTCAGCAAAAGATTACGGAGAGCTTCACTGCACAATACCAGCCACTAGTACCCTGGGTCAAGAAGCTACGAAGGGAAGTATTCCCTAGTGGGCGTAAATGGAACAGTTCAGAGCCTGGGCTATATTCCTCCATGAGGCAGGTTCTTGACGATGCACGGAAGGATCCAGAAGTGCTAGCAAACACGTAATGTTATATGAGATCGTACACTGTGTTGAAATAAGTATGGCACGTTCAGCTAAACTACCGAGGATCGTTTTTTTTATTCCTGCAATTTCCAACAACCGTAGGCCCAGGAGCAACAGGGTCGCAAGCGTAAGCGGCAGAACTCGGGATCAGAATCTGCTGGTCTTGTCCCCGTGATCATCCATGACCACATTTCATACGTGTGACAGCGTCGGATAAAACGTCACCAGATTTCGTCTATCCAGGCATCCCGCCCTCCCGTCCATCCACTTCTCCTCAGCTCCAATGGGCTTAGGGACGACGCTGTCATGCTGTGCTACAAATGACGTTGCTCGAAAGGAGGAAGCCTAACTCAAGATGAATTTTCGAGCTGGCATACGACGTGACGACTGATAGAAGCCGGTATCTCGAGCTTATCACGAGATCGACGTTGCTCACTCTTTCCATTGAGCAGGGCATGCTAGAAGATGTGAGACACCGATGGGTGGAATCCTCAACGACTTGGCATTTATCGATCCTTTAGAAACCAAGTATGTCATCCTATCTTGAGTCTACGGCGGCTAGCTCTAATATCTCCAACCGCACTAGAACCGCTTTATTCAACATAGTCGCTTCCTTTGAGGAGCTTGATCACAACATGGTGTACCGATACTCTTATTTATACCGAATTCGTCCACGAACACAATAACTCGAACACATCTAGCCCATATTCTGTTCCGTAAGTCTATGCTATGCTCCTAAGTGACGATCTATGTTGCTTTATCATTAATCCTTTCTCAAAGTCTTACTGGTGTTGAAGCGTAAGAAGCCGGCATCGCAATAATTTCGTAAGAAGATAGCCACACGATTGTAGTTTGGACACGTTTCGACAACAAGACGACCGCGCAGAGCGCTCCTTGGCGTAGGAGGCGTGACCGACTTGTGGTTGCCGGAAGTATTTGTTGGAGTGAGTCATGGTGCGCAGTCTCGAGCCTCTGTTCTTCACGTCTTGAGTGGCTGCACTACTAGGGAGACTACAGCACGTCGCATGACGTCTCCTTGTCTCCAGTACTGAGTCTCTCAGAGAACCCCGGTCACTTAACGAGGGGCTCTTGTCATCAGGAGCAGTCATGGGCCCCAAGTATTTAGAGCATCAGTCTCGCACGACTGGCTTATCAACTTCCTTCACCTCAATCTTTCTCTCTCCATTTCTCGTTCTACACACCAACCACAACACTTCGCGCAAATCATAGAGTTCTCCATGTCTGCTCGCTTCCAGAAACCCTGGAACATTCGAAGCATCACGGAGTTACACAGAGAGCTCGGATACACTAGTAACAGAGGACGGGCTAAGATTAAGACAGTGTTGGCAGAATTTCGAGACAAGGCTTTATCTGCCAAAGGTCTGAATCTTGAAGACTTCACCAAATGGCATTTATCAGAACACCAGGAGGAGCTGCATAGTATGGCCGGGGTCTTTCTAGACAAGCACGGAGAGCAGCTTTGGCCCTGCGACGAGGACCCGTCTCAAAGCAACAGACTGCGATACCCGAAAGACCAAAATGAGTGAGTTACCTTGTGTCCAGTATCACTGATTCGGAGTCAATGTTCTTGTGTCTAGGATTGAAGACTTAGTCTTCAAAGTATTTTGTCGCCAGAGTTACGGGGCGGAAAAAACCTCCAAATTGCGAGATAAGAGAACGAAGAACATGGGATACTGCGAAGACCTTCAAGATGAAGACTACAGCCATCGGAGTCCAGACTCCTTAGGCCGTAGAGTTGAAGACTGCCCGACTCGTATTGAGAGGGGGCCTTTTGAGACCATATACGTTGCGGCTACAAGCACTGAAGCAACTTCTCATCAGCCAGGTCAGAAAGATTTGATACAAAAGCCTATGAAGCGCTGTGCAATGACTGCTCTTGACTCTGCATGCACAGCGCGCCGTCACCCCCGCCTCACAACGCACCTGGGCTGCGGGCTGTTCTCAGACAACAGAACCAATATCGACTATGAGCAAGAGAGCATTGTGGTCAACGAGAGTTCAATCCGAAGCTCGTCGGCTCAAATGGGTGGTCATGACGAAACGGCAAGCGACGCCCGACCAACGAACACTGAAACTCGATCCCCAACCAATTCTACCTTTGTAGTCGAAGCCGGGAGTTCCGACAATCGCGAATATTTGCCAGGTTTAGGGGCCGAGGAACAAACCACCCAAGATCAGTTGCCAGCCAGAGATGACAGTACCAACTTCGTGCACACAAACGAAGGTTTGGCAGAGACGGGCTCGACAAGGGAGACTGCCGGGACCAGTCTACCAGAGTCGACAGTAGAAGAACAGGCGGGTACGAGGCATGATCCAATCTTGCCTGCCTCGCATGGGTCGAAGCTCGGCGTCAAGGGAACACCGGCTCTGTCCAACGTGAGCAATATCAACCAACTCGTACCTGAGGTTGAGTTCAGCTATGGCGTTGCCTTACAGTACCCAGTGCACCTCAGGATACCGTGGACCCCCAGGGGTCACCTTGCTTTCAAAACCCTTTCTGAATTGGAGATCGAACTCAAGACGGTGCTGGAGGAAGGCTGGACTCGGACGACAGGCAAACAGGACTTCGCTGGCCTCAAGGAGTTCCGAATTGAGTCGTGGCATTTCGATGTGCGTGGCCATGGCGCCATTCTAGAATTCGAAGTCAAGCGTGGGAGAGAAAAACAATTCGAACACATGAAGAGAAAGGTGGATGAGCACATACGACTAGCGATACAGATGTCGCCGGAGTTGAGACCGTCGTTCGACATCGAGATTCACATAGTCACCGGCAGAGACTCGGGGATCAGACAGGCGGGCGGCCGCAGCTTTGATTGATAGCTTTTGTGTGTTAAATGGGGTGTGCTTCCCTAGATAGAGAAACCTATCTTCCGTGACTTCCTTTCAACCTCCAGGCGAATATGGCCCGTTGCACTAGAGTTAGCCTACTCTGTTGCACGAGAGGTAAGGCGCAACAATCGGATAGTAGAAGAATTTACACGTTCTGAAGAACCTCTACAATGTCAATGTTGAAGATTTGGCCCGGACTTCCATAAGCCAAAGCGTCGTCAGTCCACAAAAACCGCTCATATCAAGCCAGCAAGGTACTCTGGAGGCCTGTGTCCTCGTTCCTCACGGCAGGTAGTCCTGATTGCCCCCGTAGTCTTCGCTATGTATGGGTCTCATGTCGACTTGTTTGAGTTCCCACTTCTGTAGGGTAAGGCACATGGCCTGGAAGAAGTCGAAGGAATCACGTTATCTATTGGTAGAGTTGGGTGTCTGGCTTTGGATGAGGGTCTGGATGTTCTGCGTCGACTTGAAGGAATACTGAGGAGCTTTGGGTGTCCCGAGAGAGGTGTAGTAATTGAGTCCGAAGCTCTCGGATGCCTCAGGCTATTTGTTGAGCGATTCATACCGGGTTGGAGCTCTGCAGCTGGGAATGTCGTCTTGAAAGCTTTCGGCTTCTTGGCTGAGTGTCTCTGCTTCGATTTGCTTGGTTCCTTGGCGACAGGCAGTTCAGTGGGGGAAATTGAAGGTGCCCCGCTTACCAAGTTCCGTCCTAGACTGAGAGAAGACAGGAGGTGCGGTGTGGCCGGCAAAGCAAGCAGACCTCCCTGATCTGGCGGGCGCGACTCGGCGGCCCGGTTGTAGCCTGGGCCATGACTGCTTCATTCTGGCAGCCCCTGACAAGGGCGAGGGTGTGAGATTTCTTGATGGCGCTACAGCATTGTTTAACAGCAGCCAAATCAAGGTATGAGATGACATGGTACCTTATGCACCCAAAAGAAAGCTGAACACTCCAATCTCCAATGCAGGGGTCAATTAGAGAAGTTCAACCACTGCAGGGCTTGGACGAAAAGGTCGGTGCCTCCAACTGGCAGAGGTGCCAGCGCTGGGGGTGTCAGGCCACCTTCTCGTCGACGAAAGCCGCTGAACTCCGGCTAGCAAGCTTTCCAACCTCGGAGTAACCCAACTGAGCACAATTCATCATAAATTCTGGTGCTTCGGAAGTTACGGTCGACTCTGAAGTCTCGTTCTTTGCTGTTCCCAAAAAGCCGCCGCACATTTCCTAAGCCCAGGAACGCATCGGTACGAGCGTGTGAAGGAATCCGTCGTACTCGATGGCAAGAATCCCACGTCTCTAGCCGCGACCCGTTGAGCGATTATTTGCATCCATTGATCTGTTCGCCACTGTGACCAGTTCACCGCTCGTCTTAGCAACGGCTCTTTAACGAGTTAAGCTTGCCTCGCTGCAGACCCAATTTTCTCCATAATCAACTGCAAAATTCTAATGATCGTGTGTTTAGAAGTCAACGAAGAAGCCAGGTGGGGGAAGACACCACAAACATAGTCTCCATGCCTGATCTCATTTTCCACGTCCCCCACCACGCCAGAGAGCTCCGATTCGAATGCGAAACCTGTGGCCATCGCTCCAAAAGACGAATTGATCACACTCGTCATATCCAAAACCACACCGGAGAGCGTCCCTTTGCATGCGGAATATGTCACAAACGCTTCAAGCAAAGAGATGATTTACGATCTCATGAAGAAATTCACACTGGAAAGCGTCCCTTCGAATGCGAAACATGTCATAAATGCTTCAGACGAAAAGGTGATTTACGATCCCATGAACCCATCCATACCGAGGTGCGTCCATATAGATGCAAATACTGTGAATTCCGCTCCACTTTTAGAAGAAGTGTCAAGCGCCATGTGAAGACTTTTCATCCCGATCTTCCAGTCGATATTAAGCATATTCACGAGGTACCAGACACCATATATCACCATTCCCAGCAGCTGGCACATACTAACCCAAACTTGCCTGGAAAAGTCTAGCTCGACCCCGATCGATGTCGCCTTGCAGAAAACACTCATCAACTCCAGTTTCATAGACGCCTCTGCGTGGGGTTCTGAAAATGCGATCGCTCAATTTGACCTCTCGATATACCAGGAGGACATTCAGAGGAGCGGTCAAAGAACCACCTCCAGTAATACCTATGGAATTCGCGAGCAGCCGAGTTCCACTTGTACACGCGTTTCTGCACAGCACCAGCACCACCTTCCAAGTATTCATGAAATGGGACTCCTGGAGTACAGAGTGCCTGAGACTGCATGTCCACGCGACCACAATACAAATCCCCTGCAGGGGGTTGCCGTTGGTGAGCCAGAAGGGTTGCAGCACTTTCATTGTGGGAACCTCTTCAGCTAACTGGGCTACTAGGAGCCGGCGCGTATGGGGAACGAGTTACTAGTGGTTAAGGCGAATGAATCGAGGGATTCAATTGGTACTATTTGATCTCAGTAGTCGTGGAGTTGGTGGGTGTTCTGGCCGGTTTGCAAACGGTACAAGCCTACAAGATGAGATAGGCATCCAAAGAAAGTGTACGTTTTTCAAATTGGCATCTTGCCATAAACTTTGTTTCTCAAACTCTTCCGCCACCTTTCGTGGCATTCAATGTATTAACTAAGATGCTGAGCTGAATCGGCTCATGCGAATCGACGTTGTCGGCCACGGTTGAAAGAAACATCGCTCACTCCCAGATCAGGCCAGGGTCACTTCAGAAGAACGCAATTGCCGAGCACGTGAAAAGAATGTAGGCTATGCAAGTGTGTGAAGACCGGTTGAGTTGGATGGAACTGAAGGTAGGAAAGCAATTGGATTGCCTAGTCACCTTAAAGAGTAGTATAAACCTTGAACGGTCTCATTTCATAGGTGTGCTATCTCGATCCGGCTCCGATCTTGCGCTGATGATTCTTCGAGTGCAATGCTTCGAGTGCAGTGTCCTCTCGAGTTTGTGTCACGACGACTGAGTCGTAGTCGACTTGCCAGGATCGGAACCTGTGAGGTAGTTCAGAGCCATTTCTGCGGCGTCCTCCTTTGCATTGTTTAAGTTTTTTCCGTCGTACCAAAACCGAGCCGAGAGCGTGCGACCGTGGACGGTCACCCGGCTAGACCAAGCCGTGCGTCTTCCTGCGAAAGAGTCAGGACCGCTCAAATAGCCAGCGCCGTATGCTTACCTCGCCGATCGGAGACGATTTGGAACACAGGTGGCATGATGTTGGCTCTTTGGCAGGCATCTGTTTGTTGTTCAGACCCGGCGGCGCGGGACAGAGAAAACTCTCGTACCTTCAAGGCGCTCTTGCCAGTTTCCCGCCTGCCTGATGTAGGGGGAGGCAGACATGGCATCAAAAGAAGGAGCGTGTGCTACTCGATACAATGCAAATTACATCCTGAAGGCCGTACGCTCAATACTAATAACAGTGGCGGGCTCGTAAGAAAGACAATGCCAGGAGATACGTCGGGGACCTACGGAGTGATGGCCTGCGCTTTCGGCGCGCGACCCACACTCCGGTGAGTATGACGTCCCAGGACTTTCCTGGCGCGGCGGGGCAAGACGGCCCCACGCCGGTGGTGCGGAAGCCGGGCCAGCGCCGCGGCCGGAACCTGGTCCCTGCGTCTGGGTGAAGGGGTGCGTTACACGAGGGCAATTGGGGCGTGTGCTACATGCCCTCTGTTCTCCTTCGTTCGCAGACAGCGCCAGGGTCGGGGCGTGCGCTGGTTAGCCCGCAGAAGTGGCGGCCGGCGAAAACCCCTGCATCACCGAGCATGGTGCATGTACACTACACAGACACCCGCTCCCTGAAGGAACGCTACGGGATGAACGGATCTGAATCCGTGTGCAGCACCCCAGTCGGAGGGCTGCAACAAGCGGACGCCCTGACACGGCCGCCTGGGCCTGCCTGCCACGTTCGATAAGGTTAGCGTGCACTTCGTAGTTGCGTGGCTACCAGCCGTCTGATGATTGGGTCCACCAACAACGGCTACGCCTGTTTTGACTACAGCGAAGTCGAGTTAATAACGGCACTGACGATGGGTTATTGCGATGCGCAGCGAAACCTCGATGTGCTGTCGTCCTGGCCGTTGGAAGAAGATGCCAGCTTCTATCAGAGGTGGCGCTTCCGTAACACAATCTTGCAGACTTAACGGTAACTCTGCTCGAAGGAGGCGATCAAGACACCTGCAGCTGAAGTGGGCTCAGGACTGTGACCAAACGCCCAGCGAGACCGTTCAATAGCCGAGTCATTGCGCTACAGGGTGTATCTATGCGAACCGCAGGTACCCGGACGAAGGACCAACTTCTCAACCGCAGCTGCCCTGTGGCGACGAGGCTGCAGCAGTCGACGTGGACATGGTAAACATCATTCCATTGACCGCTGTGCTTGAGTGCTCACACCGGTCAAAACGAGAAGCAACTGGCAGATCGTTGTTTTGTTTGCGCCTGGTATCTGAACAAGGGCATGAGGTCGTATTGGCGCATCCACCGACGGGCTGTGGCCGTTCGCAGGGTCATTGTGATTGGTCGCTCCATTGCCCACCATTTACGGAGGCTGAAGATCTAGTGGGACGTGGGAACAAAGCCAATGCTTGCTCAGGAAGAAAGCCAGACACGCCCCCTTTTACTGGGTAATGTACCCATGTTCGTGGCTGGCAGGCATTCGGACCGGGGAGGCGTGCCTACACCCCTGCTCTTCGATTCACTGCGAGAGATCCTGTGGGTGTGCTCTCTCCATCCTTGTCGCCGCATGGTGCAGGGGCATGGGCCACACACAACGCCTTCTCGCCAACAGAGTCTCGTCTGTGTACCTCTTCGAGTCGTGTGAAAGCCATCCCTCGGCCGTGTACCAGCGCGCTGGGGCCCCCATGCGGAGATATGAGCATCTTGGCTGGGCGTGCCTCGTCTGCATTGGGCAGTCAGGTCCGTGTAGGGTGGGGAAATGGAGGTGTTCGAAGAATCATCCCTAGCCATCAAGGGCGAGCATGCCTTGACCGTCGAAAGGTCGAAGCTCTCCGGCGTCTTCAGGCGCCACCATAATGAACCCAGGCAGCCACTTCGAGTGTGAACAGTAACTCCGGGAGGCAACGAATACCGCGATTCTATTGGGCGAAGAGCTGTTGGTTTTCTACTGCGCTGCGCTGAGTGAACACCATGCGCGCGGCAGCCACGCAGTTCTGTTTACTGGCGGATTGTCAGTGGAGAGTCAACGGTTTGGTTTCTGGGCACCAGTTTCAGAACTCTCCCGATCTGACCAATGCAGTGAGTGGAGTCCTCATAATTTCTCTGCTACATTGATTTCTTCGACACCAATGTCATGTCCACGAGCCCGAAAGGAAGTATTTAGCGCACAAGAAAGATCTCCCTCCATCCAAGTCGCCATAGCTTCATCCTCTCATCGCGTTTAAAGAGAAAGCTTTCGGATTCAAATTTTCAGAGATCATTTATTACTCGCACAGCCGCCCAAACGACGCAATCGACCCTCCGTAGTAGGGCAGCATCAATCGAGTCACGAAACGCAATGTGTGCCGATTTCACAGTGATCCTCAACCACGAAATGGAGCCAGGTACGTCAGAGTGGCGTTGACGCTTCTCGATAGAATACTCACACCTGCAGTTTTGTCGGGGCGCCCCATTGGTATAGTAAAGCCAGAGAGAAATCTCCAAGTGAACGTCGGAGACGGTTTCAGTGGTTCTCAAGGACCTCAAGGCATCGTCCACAACAGCAACATGTATACGGCATACAATACATCAGGCGGCCTACCGACGGTTGAGGATAAAGCCCATAGCATGCTGCCTACCGCCCACACTGATTCTCCTCGAGTCGTAAGACGAAAGGAAATGACACGAGTGGCTTCATCGAGCCGATTGATGGCATCGAAGATTCAGAAGAAAGCTCGTCTCCAGCCCCCCAGCGAAACGTTCTCACAGAGGCTGGGAAGTCAGAATAGGTATAGCCCATTCCCGGCCGGATTGGTTGATGACACTGACGGAGTAAAGGGAGACACGATACTGGTCAGTAGAGCCCTCGCCGGCTTGGTGTCGCAGAATATCCGAGCTCGAACTGCGCGTAGTTGAATTGGAAAAGCTAGTCACTGTGATGGCGAAAAGCAACATTGAGTTGCTTGAACGTGCAGTATGGGCCTCAAATAAGAAACACGGCCACTCCAACGATGTTTCCAAGATATCAATATCTCACAGACGCGAAGGATCGCCCGATTGCTTCAGTTCTTGACCGACTTAGGGCCGTCTTCACTCGAGTGCACTCTCTTAGAGCTACGAAGGCGAGCGTCGATCTGATGTCGGCCATATCCTCCAATTATGCCTAACGAAACATCAAGGTTGTCCAATGGACACATCGTTGGTGTTGCCGAATATACGCTGAGCTGTTAATACATGTTTTCGTTCGTCCATAGATTTTGCCGTCTCAACCACTTCCGCATTCACGGCTACTTCCATGAACACATAACCTCAATCCCAAAACACTGCTTCGCCAGACCCATCAAAGAACCAGAGGGCTTGCGTCCTCTTGAATCATTTTCAATCTATCAGTAGACCACTTTTCTCTCTTTGAACCATGCAGAAACTTCATCTACAGCAGCCTGCGGATCACGCCTCCTCCGTACCAGATACCCCTGCAACTCTGCCTGAGAGACTACGCCCTCGGATATGTTCTCTGCAAATTCTGCTGCGAAGTCACGACTCGTGTCGGCGGTCTTGGTATTTGCGGACTCTTCTGTGATGGAAGAGCCTGTGAGGATCAAGGAACGAAAGAGTTGTCTCGCGGTTTCCTGGTTCGCCAACGCAAACGCGACCTCCATATCCACTCTCCCGGGTCTGGTGATAGCGGGGTCAAGTTCGCTGCGATGGTTGGTCGACATGATCAAAACACGTCCCTGTCGGGCCCCAGCGCCATCGAGTATGTTAAGAAGGCCCGAGCGTGTGAGGTCGGTGATCTGATGCGTTCGTTGTAGTTCCTGACGTCGCTCAGGGGGCTGCGGGCGTTTGTGTGTACTCTGAGGAGTTTCGATATCCTCAAGCAATACAATGCATCTCATCGGAAGCTGTCGGAACAGCTTACCAAGAGATTTGTCGTCTACCGTACCAACGCTTATGATATAGATATCAAGTTGAAACTCAGTGGCCAAGGCCACGCAGAAAGATGTCTTCCCAGTCCCTGGGGGCCCATGGAACAGATACCCGCGACGAAACGGAATACTTCGCTCAGAGTAGTACTTGAACTGAGTCGGCTCCAGGAAGTCTTTCAAGTCCTTCACTACGGCCAGTTTCTGCTCTTGGTCCATAGCAATGGTAGACATATCGCGTGACTGCGATGTGACCAACTCCCACTTGGGCTCCTGATCGCCCGAAGCTTCGTATGACGCTACCTTGCCAGGCTTTTGTTCGAAGTAGTCTGCTTTGATCGACCTCAAAAGTTCTTTGATGGCTGTCGGATCTCGCCCGAAACTTTTGATCGTAATCGTTTCTCTTCGCCCTCCCGGCATTGTCCGCGTGATTTGCCGATTTACCCAGAAGAATTTGCTCCTCAAGAAGAAATAACATCTGCCGGGACTTGGAGTGAAGAACAGTGGCTTGTCAGCAGGACCCTCGATATCTCCCATTCGTAAATGGCTCAGCCATGGCGCCTCGTCCAGACCCACTATTTGGTGTCTCTTCGAGAGCCCTTTGCAAGTGCTTGTCCATCGCAGTACCGCCGGGTAAAAGGAGTCGTCATTGCTAACCGATTGAGAAACAACGACCGCATTCCAGATGACCTCAGCTAGTATTGCGACTGCTTGTTTGAAGATGGCAGTTGCATGACTACTTAATGTCTGAACTAAGAGCAATGTCAGGAATTGGTGGGAGTCATGCTCTGACGCCATGATGAATGTGTTGAGTTATTTCACGCCAGCACGAGACACGAGTGCGAGGAGAAGCGTGGACTTTCTATAGTGCTCCGCTGTTGCAGAGTTTCCCACCCATGACCGAAAACAGAAACTGACATCACCTCACCCCATGCTAGAGATCCTACAGCCTGGCCTGAGTCGCTTTGTGTTTGCCGCGCCACAAGTAAGGCTCGGCATGCCTGAGTCGGCTTGAGATCCTGCCGCCGAGGGGCTTCTCTCAGACTTCAATGGCCTGCGAGTGGATTATGCGAGGTGATAATGCGAGGCAACGTCCATAATCTCATGTATATGCTGTGATACGAACGCTATCCTGGCTGCTTCTATATCAAGGTTGTGCGGACGACGGGATGAGCTGGCCTGTTGCCTGATATGTGTTCGCAGTCTGTAATGAGGTTGCCTGGTTGCCTGGTTGCCTGAAACAAGGCTATTATGGCAGCTAGGCCGAGATACTCTTTAACGCAAGGTAACGGTCTGTCATATCTTTATTAAACGTGCTATTAGCGATAGTACAGAACCCTATTCATCCCGGTGGCCCTTTCAGACAATCATAGTTCTCTGAAACTCGCGTTTGGCTCGTCACCGTCAGGCAGAGTACGTATTTACTCTGTGACGCCGTGGTAGAAGCAAAAAATTTGCAGCATTACGCAAAAGCCAAGCCATAGCACCGCTTACGGTACATCCTAAAAGTCTTTCGAACATCTCTACAAGATATTGAATATGAGCTTGCCGAGCTCCTTACGATTTCGAGAAAGACGGACAAAGAATTAAGGCTAGAACCCATGGAGGAGTGACAGAGCGATGCTTGTCATATGCAACATGAGCAGCCCTTCTCGTTCGCATTAGTAGGGAAATTGCGGAGGGGCTCGGAAGATTCCCGTGTCGACCGGAATGCAACGGGGTCCCTTCAGTCTAAGCCACGAATCTTGCAGGATTGTGCAAGTCCAGTACCTTGGCGGGCCAGCTGCGAGCCAGCGACGGGCAAACGCCTCTACATTCATCCAGAGGCAGCAAACCACGCACGCTCGACGAAGTCTTCTGCACAGTTGACTAGATCCGGAAGCTTAGTTCAATACTTCGGCTATGTGAGGAAATCATGAGCTGAGCCTAATTCCTCCTCATTGGTGAACGTCTTGATGCACGCCGCGTTCTTCTGATCTGGAGCATATGGTGACGCATGACGCGATGGATTACTCAACCCTTTTCAAGTCATAGTATTCGTTATTCATCTGTTCTTAATTCCAGTCGCTCTCTTATAATTCTTAGACTTTGGATACATCTGCACCTTTGGCGTTCAATAGCTATCAACATGCTCAATATGTAATCGGCTAGCTGGGCAGAGAAGTTGGTCGTTGGTTGATGAGCTTTTGTTGTCCAAGTATTGGCTCCCGGCAGTGTTACTTTGCCGCTTTCCTGTGCCTCTCCCTGACGTGCCAGCTGTGAAGCGCGTCGAAAACCCATGATAGTGAACTACCAAAAACTGCTCGCACATCCTTCGCTTTGCTGTCTTATTTCGTTGTTGCGAACTTGTGTTGAAACCCGTATGGTGCGGGTCAATCTAGTACCCAAGCCTTTAACCGTGATGAATTGACTTTCTCTGTCAGATCGTCCTTGTACTTGTTGGCTTCCTCATGGATTAGCCGTGAAGAGCACGCCGAAGTGCTATATTTTGTCCGCGCTTCGCCATGGTTTGGTCAAAATCGGCTTTGGGTATCGTAATTTCTTCCTTCGTCTCAATTACCACCACTGTGTCGAAAATCTTGATATAAACCCCTATACGCTCATGGTTCTCTTCAGCAATTTGTGAGTATTTTCGGCCGTAAATCGCCAATTCCGTCTCGGACATTTGTCGGTATTCTCTCAGGGTAGACATAATGAGATGGACTGTATTGCTTTGAGCCTTTGCTGCATTGCGAATCATGCGATCAACAGGGCTTCTTAAGGCTGCCTTATTATACTTTGAGCGGATGGCATTCGGAAGCCCAGCGACCAGACAGCGGGGCTCATTCGCGCAGAAGAAGCACGCGTAATCAAGTCATGATTCGAATCGGTCGCTTTGCATGATCCAGCAGTATCTCCCTTGTCGAGTTGGTCCAACCTTGTGACGTCCTCATTGGGCTTACGGTGGCAATTGCATCGAATTATGCTTCGTTTCTGGTGATGTCGGCCTGTGATTGTCCTAGCGACCCCTGGGAGTGAACGTACGTCAACCACACCTGGATAAGAAGCTTGCACGCTTGTTAGTAATGTAGACGCACGTTGGAGCCGTGACAGGCAGTGAGATACCATGAGCCAGGGTAGGGTAGCATCGCACGCGGCCCACATTTTAGGAAACCACCAATAGACAGACAGAATCTTGTTCTCCCCCTTGGAGGGGTAGCACACGCCCCACATTCAGGAAGGTCACCAATTGCTGATGAGGAAGTGGGTATTTTTTCGTGTGCCTGCCCCTCATCTGAGGAAAGGGCCAGTAGCTGCGTGATGGAAGCGCCTGCCAAAAGGCTGAGCGTTTAACGTCTGATCCGAATTGCCAGTGATCACCTCGCGACCTGGCGTTCCAACTCCCATAAGACTAGCAACATCTGCTCGACTATGGCGCCAAAGAGCTCCCCGTCTTTGCGATTCTCTGATTTTACCGACGTTAAAACCTTCGAAGCAGACGAGCCCCGTCGAAAACGAAGGAAAACATCAACAGAGACTATGGCAAAGCTTGTCAGCAACTTCAATGGCCAACAAGTCACTGACGCCATGTTGAAGGACGCTGCAAAACTTTTCAGCGAGAACTACGGCGTCTGGGGCAATGAAGGGCCTGGGAGTCCTGGTAATCATTCTCCTACCCTTGATCTATCAATATCTTGCTAAAATGTCATAAGGGAGTCGTGTCAAGATGAGCGCAGACCGCCTACGGGTGCAATGTCTTCCCGAGGGATCGAACAACACATATGTCACCATCCATATCGATGGCGTCCTAGCAGGGAATGCTTTTGCTTGCCGCTGGGAGCATGCGGATCGTCGAGTATGCTGGGTCACCCAACTGGTGGTCCACAGCAATTACCGAGAACAAAGTCTCGCAACTACTCTTCTCTTGAACTTGATCGATGACGACGATGAAGTGCTCGGGATTATGAGTTCCCATCCAGCAGCGTGTAAAGCCCTCGCGAAGGCAGTCGGAGGTAATGAACCAGACTCCTCTGGCGAACTTGTTGCTGACTAGTTATGAAGACATCAGATTTTCCGACGTTTCGATGGACTATGCTCGGGACCATGCCGCTGATGTGTTAAAGGCGTCGCCGATTGATTATGTTCGCCAGGCGCAGCTTTGCGGGCGGCTTTTTCACTCCGACGATGCTAGCGGAATGGTGTCGGGCGTGAACTCCAAGTTCTATGTTGATCACACTGAACCCCTCGATGTTCTTGCCTGGTTCCAGGAAAATGGGAACTGGCCTCTTGGTGAACTGCCTGATGGGCACGAATTTTTGTTCCTAGTGGAAAAGTCACGACGGAGGCGCTCACGATCTGCTTCGGCACGGCGTGGGTATGCAGCAACCGGGGAGAACGAGGTATCCTTAGCTACGTCCTGAATAGCTGGGTGTTCCCAGGTCGCCTCGCAAATCTGCATTTCGTAATTTACACTGGATTTCATCAAAAACGTACGTCCCAACTCCGGGCAATAAATACTCAGGCCTTCTTCTGTGGAGAACCTTCTCTGCACATGCGTACATCTTCTGTGCTCCACTCAACTCCCCCGAGCAGTAGCTGAACCAGCTGAGATGCAAGTAAATGATAGCACAAGTGAAAACTTCTTCCTCAGATGGGTTGTACTCTGCGTTGAGACGCAGAGCATTCCTCCAATGAGACTCAGATTGGCCATCAGGGTACGTGCGAGCTAACGCGATGTATAGACGAACGTGTCCAAGTCGATCGACGACATCGAAAGAGTCTATGCCACCATAGAGAATCAATAGTTCCTCCAATGATTTCCTTGCCTCACGAGGTCGACCTTCCCGAAGGTTGATCTCCGACAAAGACAAGAGGAGGCGCCGGCGGCTCTTTGAGTTAGCTACTCCAACCGATTCGAGGGCAGGTTCGAGCAATGACCTGGCTTGAAACAGGTGATAGCGTTGATCATCCTGAGATTTGTAGTCCAACTCGCAATAAAGGTCTGCCAGCGCTGTCTGAATAATGATCTTTTTGGACTTCCGCATACCATAGGTTTTGAAACATTGCTCAAAGCAGATTCTGGCACTTTCGAAGTCGCCTTGACCCCTCATAACGCGACCAACACAGTAAATTTGATCCCAAATCAATTGAACTTGGTCGCCTTGGAGATCCTTTGTGACTTGGATTTCTCGCACAATCTGGGCAGCGTCTGTGTACTTCAGTTGGTAGATAAGGTTGTTTGCTAGGGACAATTGAAGAGGTATGAGAAGGTGGCCTGGTAAATTAGGTGACCGCCGAATAAACGTATATAACTCCTGCTGAGAGCTCTGGGGATCACCAAGAAGTCGTAGGACTATGCTGCGTCGATGCACGACAGATGCCCACGTCGAGACTGGTACCAAGTCCGTGAGCATTTCTGCAGCGGCGTCGAGAAGTTGCATACTGTCGTCAAGGGAGCCAGATTTGGAAATGGTCACCAGAGCCTCGATCGTGTGGGTTGAACAGGGTATCGTGCGTCCAAAATCGTTACAGAGTCGAGCAATTTGGCGAAGAACAACACAGAAAGTAATACATTGGGGCCCATGGCTACGAAGTTAGTTCTTTGAAAGAGAACGCCAGGGTCTTGAACGCACAGCAAAGCTGACACTTGTTCCTTTGGCCAGGCAGTTAATTCCCTGCGACAAAGACCGTGATCTTGTTTTAGACCTAAGTCAATCGAGGCTTTTGTAGCCCCTAGGCCCGTTTGGAGTTTTCCCAAATCTTCAAAGTCAGGGATGGTAATTTCAAGATTGCGAGAGATTTTTGAACTCACCACCGCGGAACCTCCGGTATGAAACATCATCGATAGCATGGATTGGAGCCGCAAGTGATGTTTGGATAAGTTGGAAAGGCAGCTTGGATGCAACTACTGCCGGACTCCCCAGGAAGCTGCTGCAGTGTGCAAGGAGTATGTTGAAACGGCCCTTTGAGAAGCCAAGTACTGAATTTTTCGTATAAGTTGCGGCGCAGAGGACAAGACTGATACCGTTCAAAGCCCGGAGCTCAAGCTTGCGGTTCGTTGCCTCCTGATCATGAGCATGACTTTGCTCGAAAACGAAGCGCAAAAAGTTATTTCTGGACTTTTGTGGGCGGGGATTGTGAAGTGCTGAGCTGAAGTCGCGGGCCATCTCAACCATATCCAAAAATTGAACACCCAGTTCGTGAGCCTCATTGCATAGTTCCGGTTGGTGAAACACGTCTGCCTGAAGCCCATTCAGGCGGAGGGTGATGGAAAGAGTCATGGTGATTGAGTTGGTGCTGGACGGCGAAGTTGTCGCAAGGCACTCCAAGAGGGCAGGCTCTACTCGTCACACTGCCGCAAATTGTGGTCCTAGAGGGGACTCAATCATGTCACATGTTTTGTCGAGATACTGTTGCCTGAGGATGGTTATTAGGTAAAGAAATTATGTAATAGTCTTGAACGCATTTTACCAGTTCGGCTGCATGGCATTTCCGTAGGTTTGCAGGGATCACAACACTTTATGCACTTTCCAATCCGGTATCAACCTATCACTATCGTCCACCCGCCGACTGAAACTGCTGTATTGTCAAGTACAGTGTCGAAACCTTCTACCGCGGTGAGCTATCGATCTCGCGTTGGGCGAATACGCCGCGATTCGCTGCCCACGTCCTGTGGGTTATGTTGTTAAAACCCCTCGCATTCAGTAGTCCTTGGCGCTTTCCTGGCGTAATGTGTGCGCCGCGCGGGGCTAGGGCTGTGCGCTGGGTGGGCCCGCGTCCTCTCGTCTTGTGATAAGCGGCATCAGACGGTGGTTTGGGCAGCGCCACCCCTAACACTGCGGTACACTGTGAACTTGTAGGCGTCCCAACTACAAAGGTCCGGAACAGCCGCAAAAACTTACTCGACACGTTGTTTGGCAATCTCCTTGACTCACATTGCTTGGGCTTACTTCTGCGGGCTTCTTCTTAGTCAATATCGAAGAATTGTCTAAATGTCTCTTGAATTTCTGTTCAGAATCAAAATCTTAGATCAGCTGACTCCAACAGATTTTCCCGATCTAGCCCTGCGGGATCTACGCTTGTAGCGTTTGGTTGGGACCCGACCAAGGGGTCGGACTCGAGTCGCACGGTTCTTGGGAAATCGACTAGTTTGATGATGGCGAGGTGAGCAGCAGTTGTTGATACCCGGATCTCTGCTCTAGTTCTGGAGAACCCTAAATTTCGGTTCGTTCGAGGTCGATTGCGCAATAAAGGTCGTGATTGCACATCGACCTAAGGGTTGCAACTGTCCGAGGCGACAGAGTCACGAACCCCAGTATTGCGGCAGATGACCCGGAGCTAGAGCCGTCAGGTGCCGAAGAGGCCACGGCGAGTGGCCGACCGGACGAACGTTTTGCACTTAGAAGCTCACCTTACAACAGTCCTTGTTGGCAAGGTACGGTGTAGATACTGTGGTCTTTGATGGGCTCTTGGCGGAGCCCGTCGTGTACCGGAACTACCTAGAAGGGATTGCGAATTAGATGTTTGGGTGACACCTACCCGACTGTACGTGTACGGGATCCACATTACCTTTTGCTTTGAGCCTTCGAGGCTTGAACCGCAAATCCCATCATTAGGAACCAACTTGTGGTGGATCGCATCCGGGAAAAGAGCTTGCATGTTCTCTTAGCCGATGGTTTCAGGAGTACTCCTGCCTTTGATCCCATGCCGTCTACAATCATCATCGTCTACATCACTGGTATCGTAACCACCCAATTGCATCCAAAGCCAGAGACTTTGTTATGGGACTGGGCTGAAATGTCTATATTGACTCTGCTGTGAAACTTCTAGAGAAATACGCTGGTGCCCGTCGTGAGGCGACCTAAGACGACACTCTGTTCATCAGGTGATCGGCTAGCTCGGGTGAAATGTGCCGCGACCTATTCTCGACCGTAGAATGACGGGGATGACGGCCGTAAGGAGCGTGAAGTTGACGACAGCTCTGGCGGAGAAGTGGCAGCCAGCACAAACATGACTACCCGTTCATCGATTTTACGCCAGTCCGTCAACAATCGCAACGTTTTCCGCGACGGAAGATCAGATGGCTTCCCTGCCGTTCCTCAGTCTGACTGCCCCTTCGCGGGGCACGCAAGTCCAAGTCATAGTGGGGGTGGCGTCTTTGAGCCACATCGAGGGGGTGGCGCCGATCGCTAGCAGTTGAACACTGACTTCTCGACGTCTAATAGCAGCTTTATGTCTTCGACGTAATCCGTCCATTCGAAACGGTGGTGAAGACTCCGCCAGACCATTATGCTTGCTGACAACAGGAAACTCAATCGACTTGACTTTGAGTTATGAGGCCATGTCTGCAACATCCAGATAGCCGTCGGACATGAAGTTCCAGCCTTGACCGGCGCATCTACGCCCCACCCGAGATGCCGACCGAGCAGCAAGACCCAATTTCCGTTTCGTTTCTTGGTACGCGATTTCTTTTGCAAAAATAGCGATCCCTCAAAGCCTCGCTCTAGCTCTTCAACCTCAACAAGCTTGCGGAGGGCAACACCCATCCTTGACTGAGTGCTACATCGAAACGTCAATTCCCTTTGTAATTGGTCCATTCACGGGTCTTCTGCTGCGCCCCGCTGGGGCGTCGAGCCCGAAACCACATCACTGTGTACTGAATTTCTGGCAAGGTTAAGCCGGAGATGGAAGCTCGGCCAGTAAGGTTAGCATAATTCTTAGTCCGCGATAGACTCAGCACTACTCCTTCGATCCGTCAATGTCATTGCCGAGTCTTACGGATTCACGTCGTCCCGCAGCTGCTCTTCGGCGGTTCTATACCGAGACATACCGAGACCACACGGCTCCTGTCATTATCAAAGCCCAGAGACGACCTGTCACAGTTGAGCTAAATGGCCCCTCGTAACATTGGATGTGATTCTTGGCAGTGACCCTTCGAACGCACAATCACCTGTCCGAATCCACGTCATTGTCGGGAAAATAGGTCGTCTGGCATGTCGCACGGCGCATAGAAGCTTAAACCTATAGAGTGTGGTTCATCCTGCTTCAAACACTTATCCTTACGCTATTAGACTGACGACCTAGCGATTACAGCGTCAACTTTTACGCTGGCAATCGATGTTTTCGCACTTTTTATTGTGCACGTTCAAGGGCCGGCACGTTTGGCCTGACGATCACGTACACCAATTCAAACCCGAAACGTGATTGAGGCTTGATGACGGGTTGTCCCGAAAGCATATCCTAGTCCTCCTCTCCGTGGCAGGAGCATCTCCAAATACTGGCATACAAACCACGAAACATAGCCACTTCCATCGTGGAGATTTGAAAGCTCAACATGGTATCTGCAGTGCTCTAATGTTATTCGGACAATGCCATTGCGTACGCACCTCTTGGCAGAGGGCGCGAGATCAATATTTCACAATAAATTGTATTCGGGCGTTACGTGTCTATCGTCTATGGTTATCATGTTTTCCCTCAAAATCCATGCTAGAGATTATTCGTTTCTTGACATTTGCATGTTTCGAATTTGAGCGGCCGTCCTTACTCCCTCCATATCGAGCTCGTTGATTGAATCTAGGACTCAAACAGGGATCTGAAAGCCCGTCTTCCGAAGGTCCTGGAAAACTCTGCCTGGGTCGTACTCCAACGAAATATTCCTCATGAAGTGGACTGTTTCCTCGCCATAGTGCGAAATTGGCGTCTGATCAAAGCCGCTGTAGTTTAGGAACTCCCAGTCTTCTTGAAGTCCCTTCTCAACAGCAAACTGGTTGATGACACGCTCAAGATCGAGCAAGAGAGGCAAGATCAACTCCTGGTTCTTTGCGGTATCCACGGTGAGTGCTAGGAGCCACATGAGAGCCGAGCCGTCTGCGACCACCCTCCCAAGGCCGAGGACGTTGCCACCTCGTTCGTCGCCATGGGCCACCATCGACTTGGTCACAGGCTGGAATTGAGTGAGAAGCTCGAAGTCGGAGGCCGGAGCTGCGAGCTGCATTCTCTTCGTGTATTCGGGCACGGTACGAAGAACAAAGTCCATAAAAGCGGCGCTGTGTGAGGTCATGCCTGTCCTCCAATTGGCGCTGTGTCATGGTCAGTGACGTCGCCTCTTCGGTGGATTTCGATACGAGACGTACTAGAGTCCTAGGGGAGTTGGTCCGGTGAACTCAGGAACCATCTCTGCGACAGATCCGACGCGAGCTGTGCTTGAAACGTTGGCAATACTGGCAAATTCTCGAAAGGCGGGCGCGGAACTTTTCGCGTCACTGTTTGTTAACACTGCAACGAGGCTCAACCCCTGCTGGCCATACAGCAGAGTCACGATGGCCTGGCTCGCCGGGTCTTCGTCCATGTTGTTGACGAAATTCACGTAAGCGTTGACCACGTCGCCTGTCTTGCTCAGGTCGTAGGTTGTGATCCCGCCCCATATCTGGGTCGAACGGACGACCTCTGTGGAAAGGTCAGCCATCATTGCGCCTCGTTAGGTAGGCTCACGCCACGAAATCATTCGCCACGTACCGACATCAACCCGTGTGACGAAACCAAAGTTTCCCGAGCCCCCCTTGAGAGCTCTCCAGAGGCCAGCGTTCTCGTGTGCGTTTGCATTCACAATGGTACCATTGGCGAGGACAACCTCGAAGTTGACAACATTGTCGCAAGCGAATCCTCTCCTGTTGCTGTGGAAAGAGTACTGTCGAGAGTCAGTCTTCTTCTGTCGGGAAGAAACCGGTCTTTGCTGGGTCCGCGACAGTCTTGCACGCAGAGTGGCAGAGCATACGCACCCCACCGCCCGTAGTAAAACCCCCAACCCCGACGACAGAAGCTCGTCCTCCAACAGCCGTGACACCGAACGGATCCAGAGCGGAGTATACATCGCCCCAGTTCGAGCCTGGGCGGACGGAAGCGATGCCGGTGGTCGGGTCATATTCGGTCGAGTTCATGTAGCCTATCTCATGTGAGCTTTGATGCCAGATCAAGAGGCGATACTCACCGAAATCGACTGTGATGCCATCCTTGAGCCCGTTCGAGCCGCGGAACGCCGAGTGAGCCCCGATTCTCATTCCAAAGGAACAGTTTCGAGCAGATATGATCTGGATGGTCCTGGCGACGTCTTCAGCGGTCTGAGGCAACACCATGCAGCGAGGTGGCTCGGCCGCATTGGCGGAGTAGTATGACTCCAAACGATGGTGGAAATCCTCGTTGCACGGAGTCAAAACCTTTCCAGAAAGTACATCGTCTTTCAGGAGAGCGAGACACTTTTAGTCTAGCGTCAGTATGAGATAACGTGGTGGGTAGATTGCCGACATACACATTTGAATTCAGAGCGTTCAACGGCGGCTGATTCGATGGCGGTAGCCGCTAGGATGAATGCGACCACGAGATAAAAGATTTGCATAGTTGCTCAAGAAATGCGGAAGGAGACCGCGATTGATCGTAGAGGTCAAGAGGGACGGGAACAGAGTCGGGGTTTTATACTCACAGCTTCGCAAATCCGCCCGTATCCAGTCGCAGGCATCTAGCAGAAGTGCTCACGATCGCTCACCGCCTGAACACAGAGGAGGGATGGCCATGTTGAGGATACGAGGTCTGGGACAGCCACTGTAGACGCTGGTGCTGGGCAGCCCCGGCCCTCGCATCTGGAGTGCAATACCATGGCTCTATTGTACAGGAGCGGGGTATTGTTCACGTTGTCAGGCCATTCGGGGTAGACGCTAGCGAAACCGGGCAAGCCGAATGGTGGCATACGTGCAGCGGCCGGCAGGCCTGGGTTCGGGAGTCATGCAATCTACCCTTTCCCGGCCGGCCTGCCCAGATAGGGAGTCTGGCTCCGCCTGGCTACTTTCATATCGCTCAATCAAGGAGAGGACCGATGAGACGTTTCCGAGTAATCATAGATGTGATCTGGCGGTAAATTTGGGTCAAAGACCGTTTGTGACTCAGTAGAGAGACAGGCTTGCACCTGTTTGATGTCTCAAGCCCCTACTGTATTGTCGCCTGATGCTATCAAATATACAGAGATGCGCTCAAGACCTTTTTCTCGTGTACCGGCTCGCTCCAAGCGCTGTCAGCTCTTGCACTACCCGCACCGCTTGATTGACTTCTCGAGGCAATAATTCCCAATTCTACAATGGAATCCTGGGACTCGCGCAATTGAACTTGACTCGAGCTATCCAGGCGTGACTGTGTTGTCCCCGAGGCTCGGTTTGTGAAGGTGGATTGATTCACTATGGGGGAGTCGGGCTTGAGGGCCCTGAAGAATTGGCGCATAGCGGGCACACAAGCGCAGATTAGAAGGAGATTGATTTCAAGGAATCTTTTAACGTCAGCGAGCGTTGCAGGTCGGGATTTTGCATAACGTACGAAGTGATGTTAGCTGGCGCGGCGTCCCACGTTAGGTCCTCGCTTTGTTGGATCTTGCTGAGAAGATACAGCCGAAGGATGGAGGTGACAGTTGTTCTACGATGTACGTCAGTTCCCGTACAGACGTCTCGCGCACGGCGACGTACATTAAGCCGAGGCTGAAAAACCCTGTGAGCCTAAGCTTTCTGCCAAGGCTTGTCTGAAGTCTGAACACGGGGCGAATGGGAAGAATCAGCAACACCAAGTCCATGATGATGTTCGAGGCAGCCGTTGCCAGAAAGAGGGCCACAGCATCGAGTGACAGACTCGGGAGGCGCGAGAGGTATAGCAGCAGGGTGATGGTGACTGTGATCGTTATCAAAACACCTTGTGTGATCCTTGCAGCCTTGTATAACCACTCATCGACATAGAACGTTTCTAGATAGAGGCAGAGTATAGACGCCTTCGCACAGCCGATGGACATCATGAACGCCGGCGCCGCATTGTAACTGAGCTGTGACTGCTTGTCAATCATGGTTGTCTCATCTGAACAGGCCACGGTACACACCTCGACGTATATCCGGAATCGATCGTCTGGAATGGATACTCGCGGGAAGCACATTGTACCCATGGATATCGCGACTACGCCAACTTCGTTAGCATTTTCCATCCCCGGGTCTTGGAGGTACTTGCCGATCATCAGAATTTGCATGGCGGACGAAAACACCTGGCGTGCCGGAATGAGTCCTCGGTCTCATAAACGTGATCTCCTATCTCTTACTTACCCAGGAAAATACCACCAACACTGGGTACAGTACGTCAGTCGTGCTTTTTTGCTGTACGTCCTTCGGCTGCGTGATCACTTACTGTCATCCAGCCTGAGACGGCTATAACGATACCTGCTGTAAAGCCGCAAGAGAAGAAGGAGAGTGGAAACGCCATAGCCAACACCAAACACAACGTAGTGAAGGTAGACCAGGTTCCCGGTTGCCGCTGGAGCGACGGTGTTCGCAGAGGTAAAGCTGGGCTCAGACATGATGTTCGTGTTGTTGACTCAATGTCAATGGATTCTTCAGGTAGTCGACCACTGCCAACGTGGAGAACTCGGGGACCGTCACGTCTTATAAAGCCCGGCAGGAACTGTACGCGGAGGACGGCCGGCTCTACACCCAGTCCGGTGTGATTGAAGTCCTGAGACATCTCCTGACGGGGGAATTAAACTTTACTTTGGTGGCGGCGGCGTTGTTGAAGAATTGGCAATACGAGCATTTCCTGTCCCGAGATCCCTACCACGGATCGGCTCCTTTAATCTTGCCATGCCCCAGGTCAATTAGGAACAGGCGCGGGTATTCGTCAAAAAAGTTGCACCCACTCCTGACATACGTGCATGCTACGGTAGATCTGATAGTTCCTCTAGACTATACTCTTCACCCATGGTAGCACTGGCTGTAATGCTCTCCGCGCGATGCTGCCGCTGGAAAGCACAAATCCAACTGAGCACCACTGGAGTTGAGAGAAGCCTCCACGCCCTGTACATCAGTCTCTCGGGACAATGGCCTGGCTCATGCCCTATCTACATCGGGAACTTATGCGTCCCCGAAACTCCTCGGCGCCTCCAAGAGCATATGCAGTCACCCTTCAGCCATTGAAACCCGTCTTCCCCATCGCGTTGAGCACTTCCAGTCTAGTGTATAATGAGGTGATGAAGTCGGCTGCGGCAGATGTGATTGGCCCGCGAGCGACATCCTGATCCGGTTAGTGGGCGACTGTGCGCTGACTCGTCCGTCTGCCCCGTCTGATCGAGGCCCGGACGTTGCGGCTTGTACCGTCTGGTGTCCCTGGTTGGAAAGGACTCGGTGGGGCCCTGGGGGTTGCCGCAAGTTCAGCGCAACAAAACGGCGCGATACTTCTGGCTCGAAAGACGCCATAGGGTGCAGTTCAGCAGGGGCGTGAGAAAACCGCTCGGTGTCCACAGCCCGTTCGAGCTACGACCATCCATACTCGAGGCACGGACTTTGGGGTTGGCTAGTAACAGCGCCAGTGGCCCTTGCATAAACCTTGAAAGTAATCAGCCCTCCAGGGTCTCAGACCGGACCCCAGCCCGCAGATAGCGAGCTGCATAGGGCACAATATCCGACACGACGATCGGCCACCTTAGCCAACATCATTCAACCAAGAATTTCGGCCACCAAGCGGCGGCGAGACGCGCGCCAAGGACGATGGGTGTCACTCTTAATCCAATCCAGCTCGCTATAGCATTGCAAGGAATACCCGGCTATCGGTGCGGGGAGTGACCCGGAATATACCCTTCACACGCAATTCCCAACACACGTCTTTCCCTCTGAGTCTTTGGACCTACCGTCGCTCATCGCTAGAGAGGAGCTCACTTTTCATTGAGAGGCCAGACTATGCACGGACTGACGCCACCTACATAATCAACCCTTGGTTCAATTGATCGCGTAGATCAAAGAGTCTCAATTTGGCACAGATCACATTGAAGCAGGAACGGTATCCGCCCCGGCCATTGCAACTTGCTAATTGGTCCAGACATCCAGGGCATGCGCCAGCTTCATTACACAACACAGCCAGACAGTCTTCGGGGCTGCCAAGCGCAAGTATGTATGCCCTTTGAGTGTACATCGCGCGAGATAACTGCCTGTACACGCCGTCGGGGTTCTCGAAAGCCATAATCTGTCTGTCACTGCTTTCATTCAGTGATGAGGCTATGTCTTTGTCTTCAACATCGTATTGACCCCGTGAATGGTAGTGCTGATGCTGCTGCTCCGTTGAAAGGCACTTTCGAGCTATAAGCTACCAGGCTATCAGAGACAGGAAAGTGCTCGATTGGTTGGTGAGAAGATGTCCTCCCAGCCTTCAAAACACGCACTGCCACCCTTCGGTCCTGGCCACAACTCTTACTGCTATTTTGAAATATGCCCGCGATGTAAGAGCACATATCGCGTTGGTCATTGGACAGGTCAACAACGTCGCAAACGGAGAGCATCATGCCGGTCACCTCCATGAGTGTCTTCTCATGCTATTCTCTCTAGATAATTCTGTGGTGCGACATGTCAGCCAAATAGGCTACAAGTACCTGAATCACCGACCTTGAGATTTCCTCTCTGCATGAGCTCTTTGTAGCACTGATCTGACTTGCAGACGAATGGCTTCCCGCCGGTACATGTTGCTTTATGTTTCTGAAGGTTGCCGCGCTACACAAACGATGTTCTGCACTTCTCGCACTGGAACGGCTTCTCGCCAGTATGACGGCATACGTGAGTCTGCAACTTTCTGTACGGCCTTCATGAGGGTGTCAGTAGAGGTGGAAAAATTCGTAACATCAGCGCCCGTCGGCTTGTGGAGCGTGATGTCCTTCATGTTGAGCTGATCAGGTGTCCTGAAGTTCCTTTTCTCTGGGATGGCCATGGCACGACTGGCCGCTATCATTGTGCTGAGACTCTCATATCCTGATGTGCATGGACCATGTCATTGTACGTCGGGCAATCGTGCCTTGTCACTGGCGTTCGCAACTTATGCAATGGCGGTGCGCTCGGGTATGAATCTGTTTATGGAACCAGACATGGCTGCACTCTACTACTGCACAGGGGGTCGGATGGCTCATCATGGGGTACCTTTTGACAGCAAGCTCTGATTGATAGTATCCCCAGGCTTTAGGCTACATTGTTTGCCGCGAAAGAGCTATTAGGACGATGTTAAAGTAGTGTGATTGATGATATGAGGTTTCCCGCGGCTTGGAGAAGAAATCAAGTGAGTACATCCAATTTGATTTGATTTGATTGGATTGTATCCTAGTCGGTTTCGGCCGCTTTAGTCAGCAGCTATGCCCGGAAAGCAAGGTTTGGCCAACAGCCGACGCGCCCACGACAAGTCGCGATACCCAACTTCGCCCTGTTGTTGAATCAGGGCCAGCTATCTCCAAATTCCTCGCTGCACTGCCTACTCTCGTGTTGATTCTCTCTGTTGAAGAGCCTCTTCTTGCTGCTTTGTTTTTTCCCGTCATGATTGTTTTGCTTGCCTCAGGATTCCCTCTTTAGCGTCTTCCTGCTTCCGCTCTGTTGGTGGTAACCACTATGTCTGGTTCCGCGTACCTATAGTCTCCCCCTAGTGCTTAGCCTCGTTTGTTTCTCTTGTCTGCATCCTCTTAGACTCGCGTATCTTAGTTGAATCTGTAAATCTATTTGCTGCCTCCTGCCGGGTTTTCATGTGGCTTTGTGTTTCCATTTTGCGACCACTACCGCCGTCCACCGCCTGGAGCCAGGCTCAATGCGCGAAACATAATGCTCCAGCCGCCTCGACTCGTCCAATTACTGAGTATGAGAGCTCGTGCACAGGTTCCGCAGACATTGTCGTACGTTGAAGGGGCGATAATCCTTCTTCATGGAGGGGGCGACAAGCGACCAATCTGTCTGTAATCTGTAGTATTTGCGGTATCGATTGTAGCATGCCTGGTGTCGGGTTCTTTCTCTGTGCAAGAGGTGATACGGTTGTGTCGGGCTCGTCGTCGTTGCTGTCGCGGGACGTTGCAAACTTTGTCGAGGGTGATAGGCGACCCATAACCTATCGGTGGCTGTTGTGTTGATTCGTGTTTGAGCGCGGTCCTTGTGCTTCGCGTGATAACCCGTGACCCGTCGTGCTTTGTGGCTTGCTCTCGAGTTTTCGTGGTCAGAGCCCGCTCGCGGCCACGAGCAGGCTTTTTGGATGCGGAATCAATGCCGAGGATGACATTGTATCCAAAGCGACCTCTGCAAGCGCGAGCGGGCGTATGTCGATCAATATGGTGCTGGTTTCAAAAACTTCGTTCTCGCTGCTGTTGGTATTTTTCCTACATCCAATCGTGTGTCAATTGTAGTTACGCAAGGTACAAGACCAATTGGATAGAAGTGCGGCGACATAGTTATTCCGAGAGAGCGAAGCGGGTCGGATTGCATGTACTTGGCTGACTAAAGCATTCATGTCTTGCTGCACCCCGCTTCGAGGAAACTCATTACTACTCGATTATTGCCCCACGTCAGGCTAGGCACATGAATGATGAAGTGCGACTTCGAACGTGATGGCCCAACTCAAAGCGGCCAAACAAGCAACAACTCATCGACATTGCGGGACAAACGCATCACCTCCAGCGACGCAGGACGATAATCAATTTAGTATTACTGGCCTGCAACCGGCATAAGAAGCGACACCTAAATTGTTGGTATGTCAGCAGGTGGCTGTGGTTACATCACAACCACTGACCTTGGCGTCCTGGCAGCAAGACCGCTGGAGCTCTGTCGACTTCGCCAGGCTGTCTACGGCAAGTCACGACATGGAACTATTTAGCTTCTGCACTTTGTCACATGCTGTCCCAAAGCCACGTCACACCTGCATCGTAATCGGGAGATCTTATGACCTCAAAAGCTCAGCATGGTATCACAGGCAAGGAAAGAGGAGACGGCCACAAACGCTAGCTTTCTTCTAAGTACAGTATTAGCCAGCTTCTCATGCCTTTTGATTGACCAGGTGCCTTTTTCTCCGTCCACGATTCTATAAGTGGCTGAGTAGTGTGGCTGAGGTGCACTTTCAGGAAGCACGTGCACAACTGCCTGAGGGGTCAGTGGACCCCGACTGTACGCTTGGGCATCAAGATCCGGAGCAAACTTCGCCATATCATCCTCGCAATTTCTCGGCTTCAACGTTCACAGCCATGGAAGTTACTGGGATACACCAGCGGAATCATCGTTCATCCTGAGTAAGAACTTCTGTCATTCATTGTTGCTTTACTAACCAACCCTCAGCGTGTTCAATTTTCTAGCCGCACGACCTCTACCAGACGATTTGCAGTATCACGATTTCGAGTCACCGTATTTTCGCACACAATGTCTGGGGTCGTCGGAAGCAAAGCCTTGGAAGGGGAAAAAGAATATTTACCAGCACACCATGAGTTCACGGTCGAAGATCAAAAACTCGTCATTGCAGAAGGGATGATGATTATGCTCTTTAAGGGGAATGAAAGCAAGGCTTTTTGGTACGGGAAGAATACGGGTCCCGACGGAATCTCTGTTTTGAAAGGTTACAGAGTCAGGACATTCAACGCGAATGTGCAATTCCAGCGTTGACAACTATCTTTCCATCTCTGAAGATCGAAACTCCAAATACTGCACGATATCCCACCCTGCCTTGTATCCTACTGTCAGAACAAAGGAGATGTCTGCTTGATCGTTGTCGGGAATCATGGCACAAATAGCACCCGTCCGCATTTCATCCGAGGATAGAGATTCCGCGTCCTTTTGCCTCTCCCAACACCACTGACGGCCGGTGTGTATGCCTTGCAGGAAAGGAGAGGTGCCAGGCAGAACACCTTCAAGCTTGTCGCCCCGGGCCGCCACAAATTGGAAAACCGCTCCTCCTATCACAAGGTCAATACGTTGCCTTCCAATGTCACACCTCTGCCGTAGACTCACTGTTGGGGTTCAAGTTCGGAGCGTTGTCCTCGGGTGTCATCACCGGGCATATCAAACTCTCCGGTTCAAGAACTAACGGACCCGAATGACTGATTACATTCGCAAGCCGTCGCTTCTTGTTGCTTGGTTCCGGCGGTAGTAGACCTAGTATCATCAGAAACTTACTGTAAATATAGATAGGTTATATGAACTTACCTGCCACCATTTGAGCGATAATTGAGGTATCTTGGCGACAAATTCCTCGAAGGACATCGATGAACATCTCCCTTGTTTCTTGAAAAATCGAACACTCCCCTATAGCGCGCGGAAACAACTCGACGAAGACGTCAAAGAGGTCTTGTTCCTTTATATTTGTGATACATGTCTCTGTCAAGGAGTACAAAGCCAAAAGAAGCCAATCGATAGGCCTTTCTGGGTGAGAGGAGCAAAGTTTGACAAGAGGCGACAAAATCTGGCTCACATCGCCGCTTTGCACAAGCTCTTTGGCATTAGTCTCGAAGTAATCGCGTCGCCTTCTTTGAGCATTACGCTTAGTAAGAGTACTTAAAAGTGTTTTGTTTCGCTCTATGCCCCCTCGAAGAGTAGCAAAAGCCGTGGCGGCTTGAAGCCTCTTCTGATGTGTACTGAGGGAGTCATCCAGGCCGAATATTGCTGTATCCTCAGCCACAGAAATCCCCGCTCTTTGAGTCTGTGAGGATCGCGATGATTTAGCCATCAGTAAGACGACGACGCGGGCGGTAAGAAACGTAACGTGCACGGCGCTGAAGATCGCGGCGAGGGAGGTGTGGAGGGCGGCACTGTATGCGGCAGCTAATACGGTGACGAGAACGACAACAACAATAACGAGGACGACAACAAGGACGACAAGGACGACGGCAACGAGCACGACAACGATGACGGCAACGAGGACGATAACAAGGACGACAACGACGACGGCAACGAGGGCGACAACCAGGCTGGCATTTAGTCTCATGCTATTTGCGGCATTTAATGCGGCAGACCGTAGGGTAGGGGAGGGACTTTGTCAGCATAACCCTGAGTGCGGGGCACCAAGCACAAGATTGACGAAACCAATGAGGGCGACAGCAAGGGCGGCAGCGAGGACGACAGCAAGGGCGGCAGCGAGGGCGGCAGCGAGGGCGGCAGCGAGGGCGGCAGTCCGGAGCGTGGCAACTGGCTAGAGGCTGGTCTCAGTTTTCTAGTCCCGATTAGGTATAGCCATCGTTCAATCACATTTACTGCTTGATTCAACCTCAAGCAGGTATCATTTGTTCGTTCCCACAGTTTGGTTATGCCCTTGAAGTAGGCAAGATTATGGGTGCGAGCGAGTAAACACACCGGCTTGGGGATCAACGCATGTAAGGTGAACTGTCATTCTAGGATCTCATGGCATTGTGTCTTGGTATCTCATTTAGCACCATCTCAGTTACCAAGCGAGAATCTCATCTCGAATTGATTCCCACAGAACAATAGGGGTTCGAAATTGAGCCTTTGCATTCGAAAATTCTTTGTAGCTATTCCGAGGCTGCGTACTACGTCCTTCGCGTGAATGAGAAACGAATATATCGACAGTTGACCTAGTTGCAGTATGTACCAGGCTTCTACCGGAGGACCCGGCATTCCAATGCGTTCCGATGGTACGTCAAATAACAATAACTTGGATCCATTCATCCCTACGCCGGAAAGAGTAATGCATTGCTGGATATGGAGGTGCCGGTCTGAATACATGAAACCCAGATATTGTTGCAAACTTCGGAGGCAGCGCCAACATCTTAGTGAGCACTGGCAGTCTGGCCGCATGTCAGGCCAGCCGATGATGAGAACTGCAAGCCGTAGTCAGGACCCATATCCGAGGGTGTATGCATGCTACCGATTTCCATAGATCCGGGCCTTCCCTCCCCTGTCTTTCAGCTACGACGCTTTGAAGCTCGCGAAGGGAGAAAGGGTTGAGCCAATCCCCAATTGGGACGTCAACCGGGCTGCACCAGTTATCACCAGCATGCTGTCAATGGACTTTGAAGCAATAGCAGGTATATGGCCGCAGGATGGGTCTACGTATGAGATCACTGGGAATTAACAAGGAAGGTGAATGATTCTCGCTGTGTTTGAGTAGTATTAGACAGACATCTGCAATGAAATGGTTACTATAAAATGCACTTTGAATTCTTATCACTGCTAATATTCTCGCACAATACGTCCTACTTCATTCGTGATTTCGTGTAGCTCATTCTGGACCACATAGATCTCGATTCATTCCAAGATCGAAATGCAACCAAAGAAGGTATGTCCAAACATAAGGAATGCCTACGAGACTTTCTAAATCTCTACTCCGCCAGTCTCGCTTTATCAAACTCGCAATGTCAAACAACCGAAATCCTCCTCCACCTCCGCCTCCTTCTCCGCCTCCACCAGCTGCTCCACAGGAAACCACATCCATGACCGAAGTTGGCAGCGTGACGGAGATAGTTCGACTCTGATCATGTCGATTTCAGGTTTCGAAGATCAGTGAGTTTCGTTAAGGTCGACCGAGTTCGGCTCGTTCTATTACTGAATTCACAATTATTGTTAGAGCTTGGGTTCCAGCAGATATTGCTCTGTGTTAAGAGGACAACAATTCCTTTTCCGAAAGGGATGTTTAATGAACCAAATCGTGTATAGTTCGTGGTATGGTGGAAGAAATGAGTCTAGTGTTTTCTTGGTTTAGAGAACGACACGTCCTGCGAGGTGCGTTGCTCGTTGTGGAACATAAGCGTTGTCGAAGTTAATAGGCAATTGGTAGCCTTTCGATCGTACTTGTCTCAATGATGATGGTTTGGGCACGATTATGATGCTCGACGCAATAGCATCGTGGCATGTCTTCTTTCACCGGTTGCTCTTGTGTTTTTCTTCTTGCAGAGCTTTCCTCTGACCATACTTAATGTCCTTGCTCCAGTGTATTCAGTTGAGATGATGAAACCTGATTTGGAGCAACTCTTTCAACAAGAAGGGAGGTTGGGCGAGGTTTCGATCGGTGATCTATTCTACGAATCCGCTTTAGGTTTGGGTAATTGATCCTACACCGTCATCAGCTACTCTTGTATCAGTAGCTATCTGGGAAGTATGGTTAGCGAGCCGTCGATGCGTCACGGTAAACTGCCACGCCTCGCCTCGCCCTTCATTGAAGTCAGGGTCAACTATTCACGAAGCTCCTCGCTGCACTTTACATCCAATCATCTGTGCCATCTGTTGAAGAGTAGGTCATCATCCTGCTGCATTTTCCCCTCTCCATTGCGATGCCTCCCGAATCCATCTACCACGAACTTCTGCTTCGGCGGCCGCCAGTGCTTGCCACCAAGGCTGGCTGTGCATGCCTACAGCCTTCATTCGGTGCCCCGCTTCGTCTGTTCAAGATGTCTGCATCCTCTCGGCTCGGGCGAAGTATTTCTTCCATGAACCAGCGGGACATCGTTGCCTCCTGCCAAATTCCTCTATGGATGTTCGTCTTCATGTTTTGACCACCACGGCCGTCCACCATATTGCTCTGATCATCGTCCATGCACAGCATGCCTACTGTCTGACGCTCTCTCATGTAGAAGGCCGTACCGTTCTGCCAGGCTCGCGGCCATCGTCGTCATTATCGCCATCGTCGTTGTCATGGAATGTCGCTAACTGGTCGGCTATAGTTGACGACCCAGAGCCAATCGGGGGCTGGCAGGGTGGTCTCTGTTTTGACGCAGGTATCGTCCCTTGTGTAATGATTCGTTGCTGCCCGTGGTAGTGGTTGTCTCTCGACGCGCTTGACTTGGCGACTTACTCTCGCAATTCGCGTTTGCAAACTCGCTCGAGTAATCAACGGCGAGGATAGATCGCCTTCAGAAACGTGGGTTGGTGCGTACTCTATCGGTTTGATGCGGTTTTCCAAATTTGTCCAGGCTGCTGGTGAGGTTGTTTCCCCAGGAAGAATATTGGGTAAGCAGCCGGAGCTTACATAATCAGCATCTGCCACCACCTGGTCACATTAACCCCGCAGGTGAGCCGCACAAAATCAGCCGAGTCTGAATCTGAACGTTATTGGAGCAGACCATACTCCTATCATCAAGATGCCCTCAAGTACGTAGCTTGCGAAGCACAGACGACAGAAGCTTCGATGGCCGCGTTCACTCCTTCTCTCAGCTTTGTATCGCGTGCAACGCCTGTCGTGTACCATCGTTTTGAACTCGGTGAAGACAGACTGCAACTCGCAATAGACGCCGGGAAAGATCTCACTGGCGAAGTTCTAGTGCATCCACACGAAATCGGGGCCTGGTATCAAAATACAGGAAGACTGAGCAAGTTCGCGTGGCGAGAAATACACTCTAAATTATGGGATTATGCATCCGACGACGAGATAGTGAGGTGTGTTCAAAAAAGTCCTGGTGAATGCGCCACGCTGACATCCAAGAGACGTAAAATTAGAGGCAACGAGCCTGTCGACCTCGACGTGACTAAAGGCGTCGCCATGCTTGAGCCTGGACGCCGGCTCGTCGAGAGGTCGAAAGCCTTGATCATCCCCATAGGTGAACGGCATGCTACCAAAGTGCGCATGACAGCAAAGGGTAATGTCTACCCAGACCTGGAATGGGACACTGGCGTATATTACTTGCTAGAACCAGAGGTTTCTTTGACGCCGGTCGAAAAGCCGATCTTATTCGTCTTCGTAGTACTTAGGCCTTGCTAATATTGTATGCGCTGTCTTATGTCCCCCAAAGATGCCATGTTCGTTGTACACACCATTGAGGCAACATCAACTTCCTGGCTGTTTCTTTCTAATTGCCTGTGCAAGAAATATGTCTCGGGCTCCACAAATGCCACTGTGTAGTTCATCATGGCACTTTCGTCCACGTCAGACAGTGCGCTGCCGGTGCCGAATCCTGGACCCTGGAGTTGCGGACGGAGCCGGCTGAGGTTCGTCATAGTCGTGTTTGGAGTTATGGCATGTGGATGATAGCTATCTCGAGAGTCTTGGTTTTCAGCGCATTCCCACGGTACCTCTGCCACAGACTGCCCTCGAACATTCATCCTGAGGTGGGAGGGATCGTGGGCAGGTCTGCCGAATGTCGACAATGATGCCTGAGACTGGTACTGTTCATACCCAGCCATGTGAGGACTCGCGGTGGTCTGTTCCGCCAGTTGTGTCTGCATCCTCTCCGGATCTGTAGGCAAGGAGCCCAGCGAGCGGTGCTGGTGACCCGCCAGACAGATATCGTATGCAGGAAACGGAGTGTTCGTCACGGCATGTGTGGCGAAGTCCCATTGAGGCAAGTGACTGATATATTCTGGAGCCATCGGGATCGTGTTGGTTAAGGTCCAAGGCTGCACCACGAATGCCGGATGCGAAGACATTTCCGCTGTGCTTTCACTGTATTGGGGAGGAGTGGTTGGGTGGTGAACGGAGGACGATAGAGACTGTTGTGACTGCTGTGTTGGCGATTGTTGAGATATTGGAGTGTTGTAAAGCATTCTGGCACGCTCATCTGACTGGGCTATCGCGCAAGTAGTTGGCTGTTGATCGACCAAGGCCGACTGCCCGTCAACGGGATCGCTTCGATCTGTGTTCTGGAGCGGAAGGTCTTTGGCCAAGCTGTCGAAGACAACTTGATGTGGCTCATCAGAGAGTAAAGTATTGCATGAATGGTTGTGATGGGCCCCATGAGGGCGGGAACGGCCTGTAGTGCGGTGCGAGCGGTGCGTGCGAATCTTATTTTTCAGACAGCTATAGTCTTTGACGATGTAGTCCCACAACGCCTTTTCAAGGGCTGCAAATTCTTCCGCATATTGTTTGGCTTCTGGCGCATCAAGCTGTTCGAAAAACTCCCTGTGCTTGGGATGGTCTTCCGCTTGAGGGACAGAGCGAAAACTATTCATAGTCAATGAATTGTCCTTGCCCGTGAGAATGAGAGAGCTGACGTTGCATCTGTAATTACCAGGCAGCTCGCCACGATGGTACCGGCGGCATGTCTTCGAAGAATCATGTCCGTAGTCCTCCCGAACTCCAGCCACCTGGCGTGGTCAATCGAGGATAACGCTGTTTTGCAACGGGCCACATGAGCCTTGAAGGCGCTTAGCCCGCGGTATCCCCATGTCTTTCGACACTGAAAGAACTCTCCAGCTCGAATCCTGAACGCGATCGTCCCTCGTATGAAGTGCACCGGGCTGTGGCGGTCGAACTTGGTTACACTATCCGGTACAGCTGCGAAGAATTCCTTGGGAGACTCTTGCCAATTTCCACTTTCTTGTCTCAAGGCGGACAAGGCTGACAATGCAGGGGATGCATTCAACTCGGGTCTATCTTCGTGGAGCGTCGGGTTGTGATTGTCGGAGGGCGGAGTCGGGTTCGGCGGAGGGAGCTCTTGGGACCGCGGAAGAGAGACCCGCATCGTCCGGGGGCGTAGGGCATGTCTCTTGAACCAAGGCGTCGGCGCGGCGAGCTGTCAATGGCTGGCAGGCTCGGATTTTGCGGTCAGGCTGGCGTACTGCGTCGATGCTGGTCTGACGTCGCTCGATTGTTGTCAGGATGCGGATCGATTGTGTGGAAAGACGAGTTGACAGGAGACAGAGAGACGCGGGCGCCTGCTTCAGGACCGAGCTCAGTGGCACCAGCCGACTTGACGCTTAGTTTGCGAGTTCGGCAAAACAGGCTAGCGCAGTTGACTGCCCCACTGGGTCCTCTGATCCCCTGTTCAGATTTGATGGGCCTCACGCCTACCTATTTTACCGAACTCCCAACTTTTTGCGAGTTCGGCCAAATAGGTAAAGCCTCGCCGGGGGGTGTTCATCTGCTGCAGCTTCTTATCCACTCCCATCCTCCCATGTCCACCCCACCCTGCACAATACTTACACGTGTAGTGTGCGCATAGTTCCAAGCCGGCTAGCTTGGGTTCTGTCTTCGACACCCTCTCCGCTCAGCGATACCGTGCGCCGCATTATCGACCCTGGTACGGTGATGTGCACCCTTGCCTTACGCTTACCGTTTTCGCCGAACTCGCAACTTTTTTCGAGTTCGGCCAAAAGAGTAAAGCGTCACCGTGGGGTGTGCATCTGCTGCTACATCGTCTCCGACACACCCCAGCATGTGCCTAGCCCATCTCGATACTACCTACCATCCTCGCCAATGTAGTGTGCTAAAGCTAACCAGGCTAGCTTCAAGTCTTGGCCCTGATTGCACACGTCGAGTTCTGAACCCTGGTATCATGATATGCACGCCCTTACTTCACGCTTACCGGATTCAACGAACTCGCAATCTTTTGCGAGTTCGGCCAAAAGAGTAAAGCGTGATGCAACGGCGTGCGTTTGCTCACGCTGGATCTCCGCCCCAGCCAATCTACTGAGTACATCATGGACTCCAACTGAGACTTGGAAGTCGGCAGCCTTTGGCGGGCCACGGAACTCTCAGCTTGTAGGTACTCCTACCAACGCCCGCCACTAGTGTCCCGGCTGCGTGCACCCAGAACCTGGGTCTACCTTTCAGGAGCTGTGGGAAATCATTCACTTACCAGGGCGAAAGATCTTCTAGCTGATATCGGTACATCCACGGGCCACAAACTGAAATTGGGTGTCCCAGGCGGCTCTCGCGGGTGAGATCGACGAGATTGTTGTACCGGCGCGTTGTCCCAAGTCTCTCGACTCCTCGATTGTCGAAGGCTTTTTCCAGCCCCCACATCTATCGCATGGCACGAGCCCGACCCCGCATTCGCAGCTCCCAACCCCGGCGATTGGCCAACCCATTCAGTCATGTTTCAATCACCGCAGAGGGCCATCTGTTGAGCAGTCCGGATTTGTGCCATCGCTCTTGAGTATGAGATCAAAGGCGCTTGCCATTAGAAAGATGGTCTAGCTGCGAGGACGCCCTTTTTTCTGTCCGCGGCGTGCTCATGGAGATATAGCAACGCCTTCTACAGCCTATTCATGTGAGTGGAGTCGGATGACTCTTCACAGGACCCTGGCCTTTCCCATCAAGAACAGCAATCGCAAGACGGCTAGTTGAAGTGCGACAAAGGGACAGCAACTGAAAGGGCATTCCAGTCGTGTAGTACATTATATGACCCCCGACTCTGACTCCGCGAGCCCAGCATAGCTAGGCCCGAACGCAACCGTCCATGCTTCATGAAATACCGACCTTGTAGTGCCCGTGGTAATGCGTCAGGGCCAAGCTCGGCGGCGGAGTCCCGCGGACCTGAGGTACCTTGTCGTAACTTCCCAGAAAGGGGCCAACGGTGATACGATTGATCCATCAATGCAAAGGTGATGTGCTTTTCGCGCCACTCTTTGTGTGGAGTGCACCAGACAGTCATCTCGGGGGGGAGGCTTTACGGCCGTTGGACCAACAAGGGGAGATGTCCGCGACCCTGCCCTTGGCCCGCCGATAGCGTGAACAGCATCCTAGTGTACTTTCCTCTCTGATTCTATAGTGCGACGGAGGCCAGGAATGGCCGTTCAGATCGATGCCGGCTCTGTCGAGTCCAGAGTGTGCATCGCTTCAACACTAGCATGCAGGTCAGATGCGCTATTGGACCACCAAAGGCAATGGCGACCTCTATCCATTAACTTGAAGCAGTCACACAGGACCATCCAGAGTGTGTGTCGGTTGCTTGAATAGGCATTTCGGTCTTCTTCTGTTCTCACCTTGGCGAACCTGCCAGGACTTCAGTGGGGTTTGTGACTGCCGCCCCATCATCATTCTCTCGAGCCGCGCGGAGCGCTGGCAGACTTGCTGCAATGTGATATGGCCTTGTCAAGAACTTGGTTAGAGAAAGCTCTTCATAGCACCATCATCTATTTACATCTGAGCTGTAGCATGTGGAGCTAAAATCATTCAACGGAGGCGATCTGTTCCCGTGGTCGGCATGCACGTTCGTATCATTAGGGCGCGATCGTCCGTCACTTTGACCGTACGATACTTTAGCTCCTTACAAGAACCCAGACCACGATACAAGCTGACAGCCAATCATTGGAAAGATGAACCTGCGGACGATCGAACGTGCCCGAGGGTAACCCCACCCTCGCGTATGTTATATTAAACTTGTGCATCATACGCTCCCTTCACAGCAATTTAGCAGCCATCGATTCAGTCCCGCTGAACTCGACATGATGTGCAATTATACAAAGCGTGAACTTCACTGCGGCCACGTCCGATATATTGTGTCGGAATGGTGCGTCGTCTATTCCAGCACCCACCGACCATGCCCGCCTCTCGTTACGTTTCACGAAGTCCGCGGCGATGGAATCTGTGGTGACTGTAAACCATCCACTCCGGTTGCATGGGAATCTATGATTAACCGGTAAGAACAGTCCCTCGTCGTGAATGTGGCTTGTCTGAACAAAATAGCAACGCCAAACCATGTCCACTGCAATTTTAAGGTGCAATCGACGGTGATGGGGAGGCTTCGTAGACAAGGAGTCGATCTCGTTCCGGAAGGCTTTGCGCGTACTCGGGTGCAAATGGCCCATCTTCAAAGCCAGTGGAACGCAGAATGGTAATCCAAAAACTTTGTACATATCATGGCTGTGAGAGCAGGGGCTTCAAAACTCTTTGGGAAGAAGCTTTGTGCGTCACCTCTGTCGTTGGTCTTGCGTCTGAAGCTTCATAACAGAGCTGTGATCGACGGTCGGGAGTTTCTGCCAGATTGTCAATCGTCCATCAATACTATCAGATGGCTGTGGAGAAATAATTCAATACGCTTATCCTCACGCTAGGGCGGCCAACATTGGTGTCTCATCACAATCCGCGCGGGGCCGAGGCAAGTCCTTCCATGGTTAAACTCAATTCACAGGACACCAGAGTACTGTTTGCGGACAGCTAGGCTGTTATGGCGATCAGTTTGCTCATTCTTATGAGGCCCTTTACCCGCTTCGAAACTGGGAGCTGAGCCACCGCTTCCCTCCGTCAACGGAAGACTTCTAAATTTCATACGAGCAGGTTCTTGCCGATACCCATGGACGCCAATACTCTCAGTCTATTTCGCTGGCTTGAGCATGACAGCAAAAGCCCCGAGAAAGAATCAGACTCGATCCTATTCGTAAAAACAACCAAGGTAACGTTCAGAGTCCTATCCTTCATCACTTGAAGTTTCTCTAATACACGCAGGTCGTCGTCCTTCGCCATAACTCGCTTAGCGAAAGGGTGGTGTCGGTCGAATATCGCAATGTAGCACGCTCATCCTGTCCCGGTTGGTTGCATGTCATAGGAAGGGCATCGCTGGCCTGGCAAAAGCTGCGGACTCGCTGGGTCTCGAAACCACAGGCGTTTTCGAAACAGCACAACACAGTGTCGAATGAGATTCAGGATTCGGTACTTTCAGCTATCATAAAGTCTGGATAGATTAAGAGCGCGGCTTCCCCCACCACGGGCATGGTGGTTCGCATCCTAAGCAATTCAGAGTCGAAGGCGAAGTTTATTGGGGCCCAACGCTTCCTGGGCCCGACTTTCGTGGTAACTGGTGGATGGTGGCCATAGGAATGACTGGAAAGCCAGACCGAAGAGAATGATGTGACTGGTTTCGTGGTGGCACCGCTCATGGTCCCCTCAGTCACCATTTTTACCATATCTCGCTGCGGTTCGTGAAGGCGACGTGCCAAACCGGCGACTTTTATGAGCTGGGATTTGGAGTGTTTGACCAAAGTGACCAAGCTGTGCCATAACCATGAGGAGTTGGACCAATGAAGAGGCATGCATGCAGTGAGGCAAGGTGCTTTGTTGTGGACAACTTCCCACCGTGACTCTAATTCGGCTGTTCCAGCTGCTCCAGGGCGCGTTCAGTATGCATCAATATTTTGCCTGTCTCAAATCCACGTTCGTGATTGGCTCTAGCTAAGACTTGCTGTCAGGGTGGCTGTAAACGTAGCTCGTTGGGGGGGGGGGGCGGACTGCTGTATTGGTCTTCATCATTCTCAGCCATCGTTTGAGAGATAACCCAATGACGGATAGCGTCTCCAATGGCAGCCACTTTGAGAAGGTGGACAAGATTATCTACTGAGAAGCGATCTTACCACTGCTGGGAAACGCGGTATAATTGCTTTCACTCAGTGGCTAGCGACTCAGATCTCTCTACGTTTGCGCGTACCACTGGGCGCAGTGTCGTCATGACCTAGATCTCTCCCTGACAGTCTACGTCTGGCCACACAGCAATCCAGGCTGCCTGTAGTGACATCAACGATTGGATTCATTATCAGGAGCAGACTTCAGCCAAGGATCTGTGGCCCTCGGCAAATGAAGGCATGATGCGTTCGACGATGCGGGTCTATGCACGCATTGTGAAAGAAAGCTGTAGTGCATAGTGCTTTTGTGATGCGCTCCGAAGATCGTGCCCTAGCCGCCATGTGTACAAAGCCATCGTCAGCTACAACCCATAAGACATCTCACTGGAGCTGGAGTATACTGTGCCGCCGCATCTGCGCAGGATCTTCGGGTCCCCGCGCAAAATTCCACACCCCAATTTCCCGCCCCTTTTCTTTCCGCCAGATACTGGACTACCTAACCCAACTTTACAAACCTGTTTATGATCCACGTTTGCTCATCGCTTCCGCCATATCTCCGGTCAGGCGATGGTGCGAACAGCATGTCGAGACGACCAAAGTCCGCCCACTCATCCACTTGAAGTCTCAGTCGGTGTCACAACGGAACGTCAACGGCGACGGGAACGGCGAAGAATGCGCCTCGTGCAGGAAGTAATAAAGTAGATAAAAAGCCAGGCTGTCATATATGCATGCGACTTCCGTGTGCTGTGTGGATGCCCAGTGATTGACTTGTATGGGCCGTCCATCAACAACCCGATAAGTTTGAAGGAGGTCGCCGTTCCTGCTCACGCCTGTTGGCGGACTGTACTACCCTGGTGCGCGGGACGTATCAGGCGGTCTCGAGCGCAACTTCCGGACATGATGCTGTGCGATTTTCTCAGCAATAAGTTTGGCATGCCCAAGGCAAAGCCCAATGCTCTGAGCTGGCAGACCTGTCACTGCTATACTCTGTGGGCTGTCACAAATTGACTTCCCACGCTATAGGTTGTCTCTTCAGCGCGATAGGCTCATCGTGAAGAGCCAGAGTCAGAGCTACTAGCGGAAAGAGGGAGAGAGTGCTGCATTCGTGGACGATGAGTGGGGACCTCCAAATTCTGTTGAAGATTGCGCACCAGAGCTTTGTGGAAAGCCACGTCTTGCTCTTTTCGACTCTTACGTCCATGGCGGCCGGTCTCCTCGCTACAACTAAGCCTTAGAGAGTCAATAAACCTGTCGCTAACGATTCACACGGAGCGAGCGCCAAGGACGTCTGTAGACTGATTGGGCTCTCTGACCATTTCGAGACCCAGGCGTGGCCAAAGGCAGCCAACAAAATTTCGAGCGAAAGCCTGGAATGCTCTAGCTGGACTGGTGCAGGGGAAAACCCCTGCTGGCTGCCGCACCTCGTACAAGAAAACAACATCACTATCCGAATGAGAGCTTGGAAGGAATTCAGCAAGACCGAGACTAGCCCGACGGCGGAAGCCCCTCTCTTATTACTACGACTCATGAACCAGAAAGTCCGCGTGCGACTGCGAACGCCCAAACAGTCTCCTCCATCCGTTGAGTCGCAACAGGGGCGCGTATGGGAACTTGGTGGAGAGATCGGGGCAGTCGAACAGGCACGTACATGGCAGGCATCCTGGATCTTCCAGATGTGATATTCTGGTCCTTTGGCCATGGGCCTCCGCGAAGGTCTTGGAGATACGTGAAATACCGTGAATGAGTGCCGTTATGGAGGCAATTTAGAGTAAGTTCACAGATTCATTCAGCTGCCAGGAAGGATATGGGATGAGATCCAGCCAAAAGCTTGACAGAGAGGGGAGGAAGGGAAAGATAATTGGCGTCGCACCGCACCCGCTGCCGACGCTTGCCTTGGGTTAGTCAGGCATGCTCAAGTGACACACGTCCTTTGCTGTCCAAAATTTCACTGCAATGCGCTACAACCCACAATGATTGGAACTGCTGCGGTCGGCCTGGGGCATTGGATCACTCAGCTGAATATAGTAAGTGCATACCAGGATGGCACACAGGCGGATTGTGCCTTTCCCAGCTGTGAGAGTTTTCAAAGCGGAAATGGTCCTCGGACTTGAGCCATTTTGTTCAAAGCCTGATTGTCGTTTGGCTCTAGAAGTACTTTGCTCGTGTTCGATTTCTGCCGTCGAGACGATGCTTCGTCCATTCATGATTAGATCCGCGCCCAAGCAAGAGTCGGCGAGCGCATGACTATACAGACGGCTTCGCCGCTTCGACTCAGCGACTCGCACCATTTCAAACCGAGGGCTGTAGCTGTGACCAGACACGTTCCTCACCTTCTGAATGCCCCAAGGGTAGCTTTCCAACAACAGGCGGAACCCCCGGGTTGCGAGATCCGAGATTGCGACGGAGTCCATGCGTAGGCCGACCTCGAGCAAAGAGCGATGAACCTGATTACTAGGCCTTCGACGCATCCCCTGTAGAAAGCCTCATCAATCAGGGAAAGCGTTGTAATTTTCATCACATGACGCCAAACACATGTGGGAACGCCTGCAAGGGTCTGAAGAGTCCGATGGGTCATGTTTTGCCTACTGTTCATCAAGGAGGAGTGTCTGGCTTGTCGCGTCCACAACCCAGACAAAGCTTTGCACAACACGGCTGTGAGCAAGACGCCTTGTCCTTTTTTTCTTACTCCCTTTAGTTCAAACAGCTCAGCGCCAGACTTCGCAATGGCTGTACCATCCGCTATACAGCAGTACCCGAAAAATGTGCGATCCATTGCGGGCACCCCTACTCCCTTCGCGCTCGCGCTGACAGCTGTGGCAGGACACCCTCGCGAAAGCATGGGACATGCTACAACATACTCTAGAGATTGCTTTTGGACCTCAGTCTTGGCATTTAGTGACAGAAGTCAAACTTGTCGCAGACTTCCCAACGAACAGCGCGATTTGGCTAACTCGAGCCGCCGAAATGAGGGCTTTGAACGGACTTGCGAATGCACAATTTATAGGAAATCGTGACCCTCAGCTCCATCCTCGGCTGTACGTTGAAAATGTCCGCCAAAAGACAAGAACTGACGATCCTGTAGAGACTCGCTCAACGATAACATCTGTCTTGAAGTCGACCCGAACATGATGTGGAAGGAGCGAAAGTACGATCTGATCCATTCTCGAGTGATCGAGTACATAGAAAACTGGCCAGAATATCTCAGGAACGTGCAAACTTGCCTTGCACCTGCAGGTATGCTCAACATAGAAGTAGTTGAGATGATTCCTTTCACCGACGAGGGTAGCCTGCCCGAAACATCCCCTCTCCTGCAACTATCTCGGATCTTGTACGAACCTTCAGAAACATCAAAGATTGGTCGCGTTTCCTCCAATATCGGGCGGGATCTGAACAGAATCGGGATACAATCGAAACTTGTGCAATACAGGCTCCCCGTCGAAGATTGTCAGGATGAGGGAGAAATTCCAGTGGGGGATTGGCTTGTATCGACGATGGTCAAGTTCATAGAAGCACATGTAGCAATCGCACGCGAAGGGCCTGAACAGCCTCAATTGGATGATAGGCTTGTGGAAGCAGCGAAATTGGAAATTTCAAATCCTGCTTTTCGTGCCTATTACAATTAGTCAGTTTCCCCTGGTACGTCGGCGAATACCTGACACTGACCGTTTTCAAGCTATTCGATATCGGCAGGATGGTTACCTCAGTGAGATGGTACATTGCGTTCGGAGGGAGAACCTGTGAGCAGGCTTTATGTCGAGAGGATCTGGAATTCGATGCGGGGCAGAGATCAGCCGTTGCTCGCCGGTGAGTCCACAAAGTAGGGCATATAGCACCCGCACGGGTAGAAAGGTGGTTGAGGACGAACGCTGCGCACTTCTTTCAATCATGAAACCGCCATGATCGTTTTCACATGCAAGTGACATGAATCTCGTTGTGGTATGTGCGGATGTCATTGTCCCTTGTGAGTATATTGTTCGCTTGTATTAAATTCTCTCCTCAGTTACGTTCCTGGATTTCGCGATAGACATGGGGCGAGCAGCCTTGCTTGGAAAACAGGATCTTTCCAAACATTTCGCTGACAAAGCGGGGGAGCGACGACAAAATGACAGCGGCAGGACTTCAATCGTCTCGAGCATAATTCCATAGTCGTTGGAGCAGCCATGGGCATCGGGTGTAGGATGTCAGCGGCGTCGGGACAACAAGACGCAATCCGAGAGACGATAATGCAGCGACCTATCAAGAGACGATCCCCCTGTAGCCGAAATCAATGAAATGGACCCAAGATATGAGGCGGTCGGTGTCTCGTACCTCGTCAGTGGACTATACTTCGCTTGAGATAATACCATTGCGGTCAAACGTGGCGTTGAATGATGGCAATTTCCTCTGAATGCGTCATGTCTTCTTTACCGGGATAGTTTTGGCTCCGAAGACCCTTGAAGGTAGCTGGAATCGACCAAGGCGTTGTTGTTCTCCTGAGAACGATTCGAGACCCACCGCCGCTCGTTAGCCTCTCGGGGGCGAGACGGATATCGAGACCGTGCACCACTGCCAGCATCCCTTCGGAACGAGGCGTCAAGGATACACGTCCCCCTTCCATGTCTTATAAGACCGTCGCGTCCTTGACAAGAGTTGAACAGGTATTAATTGAGACCACGTTGATTCCAAGAGGACACTATTCTTGACTGCTAACATGGCAGAGTGGACCCAATTCCAAGACGACGAAGCATGCTCTGCATCCGACGACTCTGACGCCGATTCCGTCTTCGACCACCCTGCCTTCTCATTCATCGAACCTGACACCGATTCCTCAGTCGGCGACACTGATGAAGATACTGATGAAGATACTGACGAAGATACTGATGAGGATACTGACGAAGATACTGATGAGGATACCGATATCGACAATGATGTCGACACTTATGTCGACCCTGATGTCGGCCCTGATGTCTACCCTGATGTCGACCCCGACGACGAACCCGATGGCGACTTCGATGAGGACTCCGATGACGGTGAACCTGATCCCGTTCAAATGGTGCTCGATGCGGTGATACGACACATGAGATATTGGAAATTCCCGTCGGTCACCCACGGAAGGTTCATCATCAGCGACATTTTCTCCAGATTTTCGTCGGCAGATTTCAGTGTAAACACGGAAAACGAGGAGTGCTCAACCGTGGTGGGATCGCTGTCACCTCAAACCGACGAAGGCGGCATTCGTTACGAAGGATACAGGTAGGTCGACCGATCCGTCATACATCTTGCTTTCTTACAAGTTCAGTTACGGAGACGATCCCGGTGTGCAGCCTTTTCATGATCACGTTTCCATTTGCGTTGCCGGAACTACAATCCCATCCCACATCTTCGAAGAGCTCTATAGGTACTATTCGCACTAAACTATGTGCTGAGCCAATGACTAAGCGAAACTAGATCCGTGAAGGCTGGGGTCTTCGTTGACGTTCAGATCGTCGAACATGTCACGTTGCAGCCGGAATCCCTTTGCCCTATCCAAAGGAGCGAAAGAACGCCTGAGAAACATAAGAGTACAGTCGATAGAGTCAAGCGCATGCTATTTGATGCCGGGTTCAATATCAAGCACATCAGAGAACTATCCATCCCCAGCGGATCGAGAGTGGCGCACGAAGTCGAGACTGGAGATCTCTACAGAGACCGTCACCGGTATGCAAATCGACAGGGAATGTATGATGAACTTCTTGCCTGGCAAACAGCGCAGATAAGAACAGGCGGATACATAAAACTGTACGTTTCCTCTCACCGACTGATAGATGATGGTTAACCAATGTAGGCCCCTTGTTCGAGCCTATAAAAGGCAGAAGAAAAGGGTCAGAAGCGATCTAGGTGACGGCCGTGCATTGAAACGAATTCGCTCATGAACTAGACATCAGCTCGATTTTGTATACGACCTCACGGGCGACATGTTGCGATTGAACTTGTAAATAGGTTGACTGTCCAAAGTCTCGGTAATCAATGGTCTATCTTCATGTCGTTGCGCCCACACTCTCGTCTGTGCTTGTCTTACCTCATTCACAGGCGGGGATGGAGCAAGAGAGGGCGCCAGCTTCAGGGCTTTACACGAGGTCAACTTGTTTGCCTGGTATTACGGAGGCCATATGCCATGGCAAACCGAAGGCTTCGTTTCGGAACATCGGGATGGAGCTGCAAGCAGACGGCGAAATGATTGCGCTGACCACAACCTAGGGCGGCTCCGACCTTGACAGCGTCACCGTCGTGGCCGAGCGGACAACTTCCGTAGGCCATGTGCCCGCCCAAGCGTTGCTCTACATGACTTTCACGATCAATTGGTGGCGGTGCGGTCTGACACTGGTGTCTTTCTCAAGAAAAGCGCTGCGTGCATCAAAAATCCTATCACAGCATCAAACGTACATGCTAGTGTCACCGTCACGGGGCAGTTCCGTATGGAGACAACCGTAAAGGGTGAGCTTTTTCCCGCACGTAGTGCTCGAACTCAAGAAAACGAAATGATTGCGCCGACAGTGGACGTTCTGCGGACGCAGTAGCGGAAGGCCTGGCGCACTCGCAACAGCGCCGAAGCCCGGACTAGGGCATCTCGAGCCAAGGCCCAATCGGGGCAGCCCTGCGGGGTGGGTTGAGCAGGCGTTGGCAGCCGGAGCGAGTGACATTGGCCGACGGGCGCTCGAGCCTCTCTGCAGAGTGATGGACATCAGATGTGTGGGGCTTGAGGACCAGGAAGGAGGGGGTGTGCGACCAAGGGTGCGCATGCTGAGATAGTGGGGTGTGGGCGACGACAGGGATGTGGGGGTGAGTTGGTCAAAAAAAGTTGGAGGGGAGTGGGAACGCCAAATCTTGCATCGTCCTTGCAGCCTCCCCGGTGCCACGGCACAGACGACGTGGGGCGCTCATCTCACGTTTTAGCGTCCCTAGGACGGCCCGCTTTTGGCATGCACATGGAGACGTCAGCCCAACCAATCAGGGCTGCATCCCCCGACTTCATGTCTTGCGCAGCGACGGCCAGCGCAGAACCCGACAACATTCGTGTTGGCTACCCGTCGAGAGACTCGCAGACCAGGGAAAGGGCCAATCGCGGACAAGCCGTGCAGTACCCGCTGGTTGCCGCCGGCATGGGAGGTCCGTTGGGCATCGAACCGTGGCTCCTTGCGAATGGAGGCATTGGCTCTGCAGTCGTGTCCATTTGAGGCAGCTGCGGCACGGTCTGGAAATCTGGGAGGAAGACATATAAAGGACTGTTGCTGATGGCGAGATTCTCGGATCCGAAGACCATCAAACCTCACTTCTACCACAAACGGCATACCATACACTCTACCCGCGAGCCGGCACAAGATCGAAGGCGAACGAAGCCGAAAGGATGGACCGCTACCCCTGCGTCAACAGATACAAGCACGGCGTCGACTGCCCCGGCTGGGTGAACGTCCACGATGCGCGGTGCGAAGACTGTGTCATCGTAAGTCACACGCCCAATGATACCCAAGGCTTACTGACCCTTGACAGTACAACCGGTAGACGTGAGGGGCCTTAGGTGGTGGTGTAAGGCGATCGACGAAGCCAAGGGATGGGCGTAAAGCACCTGCAGCAACATGCTTAGACAGAACGGAGATGATTCTCCCTTGAATCGACCCTGTATACCCCTATTGTGTGTTTGATGTTCCCTCTGCCAGATCCATGCCCCTGGGGGTGCTACGCGCGAGTGACTGTTCTCAGGTCTCCCAATGCTGCCTGACTGTAGTCCGCCTCACAGCCTGCCTCGTAGTCTGCCTTGTAGCCTGCTCGTTGCCTGCGCGTTGCCTGCTCGCAGCGATGTCGGACGTGCGAACCATCGCGGACGCCTCTCACGGGAAGCATAAAACCGTGCCGTGCCCAGACGATGTCCAAAGAGTCGTTGTCCTTCTAGTTCACACAACAAGCACAGAACCGAACACCGCGAAACGTTACGAAAGAACGACAGCCAATTTCTCACGATGCTCACGGGAGCCCGTAGAAGCGCTGGAGTCGAGCACCATGCTAGGAGCCCTGAGGTGGCGGAGCTGAGATGGCGGACCAACCTCAACGCCCGAGGGAGCAGAACGTTCGTGACGAGGGCCTACTCATGGAACCAGATGCTGGTCGGATCAACGTAACTTTACAAGGTGTCGACCCCCACGACACCACCGCCCTTGCCCATCGGCTAAGGAACCTATCTGTCGATAGTGCCATGCCTCGTTGGATACAATAGGAAACCGGGATGGGCCCGCACGTAAGTCCCCACTCTTGACCGGTCTCCACACCGTTCGCGCAGGCCCGTCGGGAGATGACAGAATGCGCGCCATCCTCGGCTGGAACTCGTGTTCCCACTGTTACTGAGCCTTTGCACACCATTGAGACGCGAGATCTAGCAAGTATCCTCCTCCGGTGTTCCTTCAAACTTCGGAGCGGTGATGACGAGCTGTTTCTCGGCCTCCTTCACTCCTTTAGATAAAGAAGCCCGATCGATCCTCCTCTACATATTCAACATCAACTACTGTCGAAAGTATCCAGACGCGACTCTATCGACATCTCTCTTGTGATTGACGAATCCAAGGTCCAAGATAACGGACGAAGAGATAGGGAAGAGAACAGGCTTTTATTTTGGTCGAGGACTCACTTCTATTTTCGTTAACTTCCTTTGCCTTGTTGACATCCTCTACATAAGACTAAGCCATGACGTTCAATGAGTTAGATGATATTGCCCTTACAGCACCGATAACAGGGAGAGGACCTTCACCAGTCAAAGTCCCCTCCGATAAGAAGCTCTCAAGCAGGGAAAAGAAGCGCGCGTTCGACCGTATGGCCCAGAAAAAGCATCGTGAGCGGACACGCAACCGCATCGCCAAGCTCGAGGCCCAGGTTGAGGAGTCCCAGAGGGATGAATCAATGAAGCTATCGTCTTCTCGGAAGCGGGTGCAAGATCTCGAGCTTATAATAATAAAACAGGCCAAGACTATCAACGACATTCAGGCGATCATACACCCTATTTCGACAAGCGGCTCATCTTCAGCGTCGGCTCGGCGTCGCCCTCCTTCTCCGACCATGAAAACAGCAACGCCACTTCCACTAGAGAAGCTTTCATCGCCACCCCATGGCAACCACACGGATACGTCGCAGGATGGCACCGCTGTCGACCATGAGAACGGTGAGGAGGATAATGCCCCGACCGACCTCATCGTTCCACCGCCGAATGGGCATTGTGCTTGCATCCCCATCAACGCGTCGGCTGATCCTGAACTTTTGGAAGTCAATGTTTGGCAGGCTGTCAACGAGGTCTTGTCCGTGCCGTGGCGCACTTCAACAGAAGCCCATGTGACCGAAGATGCTAAAGGAAAAGACACAATCGTGCGGGCTCTGATCGAGGGCTGGGATGTCGCTGCCAAGTTCCAGCCGTTGTCCGATTTGTGGATCAAACTTCGAAGGGTTGATGAATTATGCTTCCAGGCATGTCCTCGGACTGAACGGTTGGCAATCCTTTGGATGGTGAGTCTACAACTGCGGTACCATTCCAATCCCACCACCAAGCGCAGGGACAAGCTGCCTCCCTGGTACTGGAAGAGGTACGTGAAATAAAAGGTCTGGCATAGTGCTTGATGAATGCTGACTCGAGACTTACTGTAGACCGTCTCAAAAGATTCCTCACTCCTATGCGATCAATCTTTTCGTCTGGTACTCAACCACAATCCTTTGCTCATCGCATCTAGTACTGAAGTCACTAACGAGACGTCAGGCCTGGAGTACGAGAACGTTTCGTTTTTGAACAACACAAATATTGCGACAACCAGTTTTGGAAGAGCTTCGCCCGTAACTTTCGTCTGCTGTGGCCTTCCGATTTCCAGCACACGTATGCCAAGAACTTTACCACAGGCTTGTACGAAATGTTGCAGTCGTTCGAGCAAAGTATATCAGACATCAATATCTGGACCATGACGGAGGACTTCTTCAACCGCTACCCCGAGTTCCGGGCCGATATCCCGCCGTTCCGCCTTGTTGCCCAACATCTCGATCGGCCTCCGACGCCGGCCGTTGTTGATCCCATCCAACCCCAATCATTGTCTCAGCAAGCATCTCCTTCGCAGCTCGAGGTGTACGAGGAATCTCTGCTCCTCAAGCCGCAGGCTTCGGCGGTGACGAACAAATTCGACCGTTCTGACCATGGACAATGCTCCTGCTCCCTCGGCGAATGCCAGCTCGAGATCTCTCACCATTCGGAATGGTCAAGACGCCGCCCTTGCGTCGTTGAGATAGACACGGCCGCCACCGAGATTTCGTGCCCCGAACGCTCCGCGCTCAGTGGCCTGAAGCGAGAGGCAAACAGTTCTCTCGCTCTACACGGACCGGACGCCTCAGCCGTGCCGCAGCACATGACGGCCGACTTCTGCAAAGAAGGTCATAGGCCCTGGACATCGAATGCAGAAGAGTTCGGTCGCCAGGTCTATGGCGCTGTGGGTATGTCGGAAGGAGGGACACAGCAGCTCTCCGGGCAGCCCATTGTCATGGCTCATTCTTTTTCACCAACGGCCTTCTCTGGACACCCTGTACATTACGAGCGTGAGTTTCTCAACACCGACCACAGACCTCCAGAACAGCTTTTAGAGCCACCAGGTATCCATTACTTCGCCGATTATACGCAGATCACTGGAGATATTGACGTCGCCGTGGCTTGCGACGGTTTCGGCAGATTGAGTGGGGACTCGGCCGGCGTCGCGGACATCGAGTTCACCGGAGATACGACACAGGCCTGGACTTCTGAGGAATTTTCCAACCAATACCCGAGGTACACGGGCGCTTTGAGATATGGTGAGGATCCATGTTACAAGTGGTGACGCCGTGCATGTCATCTCAATTTCTTGGTTAGCGCTACTCGTCGTAGCCAGGCGTTGATCTAAAAGGCAAATCACCTAGTCTGAGGCCGAGGACGCGCACGACCTTCAGGAAAAACGTCAGAAATGAGCCAACCCAGCGCGGGGGTTTGGCCGTGGATCCAACATCAGAGGAAATGGCGCAATTAGCTCGCTCAAGCCGTACATAGACGAGAATATTGCCAATTCACAACCCATGAAAATAAGCAGACCAAGTAATAGACACGATACATTCATACCGGACTGAAAAGACCGTAATGCAATATTTGCTTGCTTGAACTAGTCGCCATCCAACTTGAGCATGCCTCAACGCTTCAACTGATGAAATGAAATTATTTCATGAGCAGCCTTACATTACGATCGCAGAATCTTTATCCCCTCTTTCTCCCGATGCAAAGGTTGTAAGCAGCTGAGGAATCAGCCCAGAGGGTTTCCCCATCCACCATTGAAACCGCTTCAGCTTGTTTGGCCCTCAGCCCTGACATACCACGTGCTTCTACCACTGCTTCGTGAACATCTCAAGCTTTCTTATGATCCTCACCACCATGGTTATCAGGTGTGTTCATTTGAAAATATACCGACTTTTTTCACGTACAGATTCGGTTCAAGAGACAGACTGCAGGAAATCTGGAGCACCTGCAAGGTCGAATTCGCATTGATTGCGCACAACAAATGGTATCATACTTGCAACGTCGCTGAGCTAGCTGCTTACGATAATGGAAAGCGGCAAGGAGACCAAATCACAGCCGTGGTGACGACTTACGTCTTGGTATAGATGCTGGCTGGATCAACGTGACTTTCCGAGGTCTCGACCCCCACGAAATTACCGCACTTCATCCATTAGCTAAGGGACCAGGGAAACTGTCCGTCGATAGTGCCATCCCTTTTCGACCCAGGCCGCGTGGACTGCACCTGAGCAATCGGGAGATCGGGATGGGCCCATTTGAGATGGTGAGTCCTCACCCTTGTCCGCCCTTCCACACCCTTCCACACAAGACCGTCGAGCGGTGTCACAAAGCGTGCCATACCCGGCTGGCGATTAGCCGTGTTTCCGCTTCTAGTCAATCCCCGCGCATGAATGAGACTAGAACCCTGGCTAACTTCGGCACACGACGCCTGATTTCGCGAACGGGTCTTCGATTGCCACGACCAATTGGAACTCTGGCCGTCGATCAGCGCACTAGCTTGGGGCGACTCACCCGATGGGTCTCGTATTCTTATAAATCATCAAGTCGTTCTTATGATAGCTGGTGTCGAGCTCTCGCAAGCCACCTCGAGCCCTTCTTCTGTCTCCATCTCCCGTCCCGCACGTCCTTCCGGCAATTTTTGACGCTACCTAGACCGACAAGTTCATGAGTTCTCAGAATATCGAAGATCATACTGGCAGCTGACGCATCCAATCTGTCTTAATGAGGCTACTGAGGTGTACTGGCGGAGAAGTCAGGTCCCGGTATATATTGTCTTCCTGCCGTCCATCGCCGCCAATAGCTGACCGATACACTCAATAGCCATCCCTCGGCTCGCTCGCAGCGTCAATCCCGACTGCAAAGAGAGCGCCCAAATAAGTGCCCCAGGTCCGTTCCGGGTGCTGCTGCTCCTAGGTCAAGCGAGAGGTGCATGCCGAACTCGGCCGGTCTTGACCCCGAAACGGTGGCTCAGGACGATGGGCAAAAACCTTCACAGCCATTAGCAGGATGGTACGAGATACAACCTGATGACCCAGATTCCGACTACGATGACGAATGCGCGATCCATGATGATGACAGCGCCGATAAGTCTAGCGTCAGCGAAGAGACTTCAAACTCGCGTTACTCTCTTATCATTCTCTTGTTCAAGAAGAAGACACGCGACAGAGGTATGGGCAATGTTGTCCCTCATTCCACCCCAGCACTGCCTTGGAATCTTCCCAGCCAGCCTGCTCCGCCTATCTTGGATGTCTCTTTCGACGATTTTGACGATGCTCCGTTAATTATGAGCCGCGGTAAAAGCTCGGTGCCGCTCAAGCCCATCACTGAGGCACCGCCGTGCTCCGCTATCTGAGTGCCTCTAGAAGGTCTCTACTGCCAATACAGTCCTCGAGCACCTCCATACTTCCCACAACGTTGCGAACCTGAAGTAGTACCCCGAGAGGGTCTGCGCCAACACAATTGAGGATCTTCCGAGCCCTGTGAAGCACCACGTTACCGAACAATATGAAAGTTACCATTCTAATGGCTGGTGAAAGTATTAATTGTGAGCTATCAATGACGGCCATGGGGGAAGCAATGCATCGGAAAAGTTTTCACGCGGCATGCAGACATCGAGTGCCGGTTTGACTTGCGACTGGCCGCGCGGGTTTGCGGAAATCTAGCATGGGTTGTTCAATGGTTCAAGCTTCAGCCATGGGATCTAACAGCTTTGTTAAGATGCATAATTCAGCGCAGGCATGACAGGTACATACAGATACGAGTACTCAGCAATCCCAAACTCTCGAGCAGATCGTTGCTTGCTAGGCTCAATAAAGGGATATCTTCAGCAGCCGTGTGTACGAATACTCGTTACAGAGAAACCTAGTGCTGTACAATTTAGAGCCTTGATCACATCCTATCAATGTCCATGGAATGATTCAAGGACGGAGCTTACGTTTGCCGATATACTGAGTGGCTCTTAGAACTCTGACTCCTTGCCTGGCAATCATGCCGATTGTTACAAAGGCGTATGGTTTTGTTTTGAGCCTCGATGAAGCATATACTCGAAAACCCGACCTCCTAATTGGGGAGATAGAGATACAGTTTGAGGGACTTTTGTTGTGAGGGAAATCGCAGGTATTTATAGCCGACGTCGATCGAGCAGGAGATATCTATGTTGTAGGGTTTTAAAAGCGTTCTGCCATTTTCTGCGAGCAGTGTCACGTTGGAGCCACACATTTAACGGTACGTCAAGGGGAGATTTTCAATGCCATATCCACGTTATTTGGTTTCTCATCTTTCTACTCGGTGTCGATTAAGTGAACGGAAGGATCCATTCTAAGTACCGCTGATTGAGTACAACAGTAAATACGACTTCGATCGACTTTGTAAACCATATTCCAGTTTACCAAATGCTTAAAAGGATTGGGAGGGCGAAAATCTAAGTAAGCCACATAGTAAATTCGACTAATTTCTCACAATTAGAGCAGGACGATGGTATGAGGCAGCATACTTACATCACTATGTCTCGGGACAACATCGTCAGGGCATTTGAGTACTCCCCATAATAACCACGGTCGGAAAGCAGACATTGGTGTTGCTCCATAGCTCGAAGCATCATCTTATCGAGACCACGCACACAATCGAGGGAGACACAACAGGATTCCCCCAGACCGCTGTAAACCAATTTGCCTGAGTCGAATCGTTCGTAGACTACCCAATGGGCCATTCGAGGTTTAGGCTTGAATTCTGGTTGCAGCATATCGTTTCTCCCTGGAGCTGTGATAGGTGCAATGTATTCATTGGTCATTGCCGATACCCGTCTCAAGTGGCCTGTGATAGATTAGAGACTGATCTTCGTGGTTCTGAGATGAAGTGAATATTCTGACCTGAGAACATTGGATTCATTGCGCTTTCGGAATAGTTGACCCCCCCACACGAAGTTGAGCTCTGCGCGGAATTCGAAGACTCGTCTACTTTTTGGTAATTTGTTGGAAGAGAGCACTCGACCATCCGCCGCTGACAGGTCTCACATGGCCCAGTCATGCTGCATTTGGTTTTCGATTTACGGCATTCATCGCATGCCTGGAAAGAATTGGTTAGCTATTTGATGCCAATGTTGCTTGATTTCCTGTTTGTTTGAACGCGAGAGAAAGTCTGGCTTCACAAAGCAGCGAGAGAATTTCAGGACTTCGGCTTACTCTTGGGCGGCAGGTTTTCTTTGCAATCGCTGACCGGCCGCCTGATAGGTATCCTTTACCAGGCCTTCTGTGTTCAGAGTAGTGCCGGCCACTCCTGACAACGGATTAGATCGTATATAAAGAGGGTAGCAGCACTCACTGACATCATGTGGTTCGGTTGTGTTTGACAAGATTGATGGTGAGAACGGCGATCAAAAAGTGTCCCAGAACAAGGAGAAAGCCGCCTTTTTATACCAGAGCCGTCAAGCTTACGGACGGCCAGATAGTAGCACGTGAATGCCCTCAGGGATAAGACCATCAACCCAGAATCCCTGCCCAGGACCCCTTTTATTATAGTGACACGTCTTCAGGGGAGGGCGTGAAGCCTCGGGCTATGCCACTCACCGGGCGAAATGAGGTATGCGGATTGGATAGTTATCGATTCGTCTTGAAGCTGATCTATTGAGGCCGATGGTCCAGCTTCATACGAGCCGAGTTCGTCGAGGACTGATCAACCATGTCATGATGTGATGTTCTTGGTTAGTTCAGGTCTCAAGAGTTCGAAGCGGTGCTGAGGTTGATAGTAGGCAGGAAAACGAATCAGAATATGGTAGGTAGATTTCTGCGAGTGCGATCAGAAGCGTAGTCGTAGTTCTCCGGCCGTCTGATATGGTTTGTTTCTCTTCCTGTTCATGAGCTTGAACACTTCTCGATTCGAGCGATCTCGATTGATCTTAGCCATTTGCGGTCCCGTCACCTCGTGATATCCGCGGTCCAGCGGCTTGTTGGCCAACACCCAAAAGCGTGCCATGCGAGGTGTTTCCCGAACTGAGGTCGCCTTCCGCCAACAAGCGCCTTCACGTAAGCGGCAAGCGCAAGTCATGTATGGAAAATCGGAACTCCGAGGAGGAGAATCAGACTACCGACTGAATTAATCCTTTCTCGCCTCTCATGCATAGATGTAAGATGTTCTCAACCTGAAAGAACCCAGAATGGAGGTTCCCTTGTCGCTGTTATCCTCCTCTGCCAAACAAGAATCTATCACTGTACGGATCAGTACTTGGAGTTTCGCTAATAAAAAATGGCATGACGTTGGCTCGCAGACTCAACATAAGGGCATTAAAACTGACTGCGTCAACGGGAAAGCGGTCGTCGACAAGGCCGCCTTCCAGGTTTGGGTAGCGTCGTTGACATACGGTTACGAGTGAGAATTCTTTCTGTCTGAATCCCATAACGAAGCACCGCCCAAGCGCCAGTTTCGGCCGGCCGGTTTTGGGACCAAACAAGAAGAATACGGAACCGTGGACGTATTGCCCCGGAACCCGACTCCGCTCCGAGAACATTTGATGGGACAATACCGGCCCGAGGACCAAAGTCCGGCTTGGCGGTAAGTGTGTGCTTGTCGCTAGGTACCATCTGAGCGACTCACCTATGTCAGGCTGGTTTCGATGTGGCTGGTAGCGCAATGCAGGTACATATTGCCCGCATTAGAAAAACTACCTCAAAGTCACTAGCCTTGTTATAGGCACCGTTGAGCACGAGAAATACGAGAGCAAACGCGTGTCGAATGTGACAAGTCATGATGGCAGATTTGGAATTTCGACAGGCGCAGACCCACATGAGCCCAACGCGGGCGTACAGATACGATCAATGGGGTGGGATTTCAGTGCGCTGATATCCAGTCCACGGTGCTGCACTCTTCCGAGGCCTGGGCGTACATCCCTGGCTCCTTGTCCGCGTTGTTGATGTCTTCTCGCTTAGTCCTCCCGGTTCTAGATGGGCCTGATCGCAGGTGTGCATAGCGCGAGTATGCAGAGAGCTCGCTGTCGCATGCTCTAATGCTTTTACAGAATGGTAAGCGCGGTACTTATGCTAATAAGTCGACACGGAAGCATTCCGTAGCTGAAGGCGATTGAGAGAGAGGCAACAGCCGCCAAATTTGGCAATTGGACAACCTGTGCAAGCAATGACACATATCATGTTGGGAAGCTCTTTCTTGCACCGAGGGGCTGCTGACTGTCACATTCATCATGGTCTTTCGGGTTCCGTTGTTCTTACCTGTCGCCTGGCAAACAAGGGGCGGCGCAGGCATCAAAGGTGCGCCCAAGTCACCTAAAGCTGCATTCGACCGCGAAGGCCAGGCTTGTAAAGCAGCCTATAATACTTCATTTCCCTGTCTCTCCACTGTAAACATGTGTCACGCCGCGTTCAATCCAGTTCACATCGTCGGGGGCTCACAATAATCATGTTAGGTAAGACTTATTCGGCTAGTACTGTGCTGGAATTGATTGGCTTCATTGGTTCACGACCTACGGGTTAGCTGAAATCTACCGTCGCTACTTCCACCACTTCCATCCGTGTGCATATCTCATCAACTCTCTACAACTATGGGAATATATCACTCTACGATTTCTCATGCGGCACTAAGTCTAGCGTTCGGTATTGAAATATCGTTCTGGTAGAAGGGCGTTTTCTCCTCGTAGTAGCTATGCTGACCCGTCATATCGGCGGAAAGTGACGAGAGCCAGTTTCCTCGCATTTGTGTCCAGGTTTCCTTCTTCATGCCGACTCACCGGCAGTACGATATGCTCGAGACGTCGCCTTCTTTGACCGCTCTGGCGCCTAAGGAGAGCTGGATCTGTCTTCTCTGTCGCTGAAGAATGAAGCGTGAACATCGTAAATGGCACCCATTCTCCTTTTACAGTGAACCATGAATAGAGACGCCTTTCGGCACCTATTGAAGCGAAAGCAGCAATGCTATCTATCGCTTTTAGTTGTGTTGACGATGGCAAAATTAGGAACTGGTGCGCAGCTCGATGATACAGTGTCAATGCCATGCGCTTGCGCTCGCCCCATAGTCCTGCCTACGGCGTGGTGTGTTTTCCATCAACTATGACTCATTCGAAACTCGGTTCGTGTGTCTGACTGCCTTCGGGGGCGGTGTGCTTGATCAAGGGGCTGCGGATTGAGGCGTTGTTGATAACTTTACACCAGATGCAGGGACAGCTCGTCCGCCTGCGGGAAAACGTGTCCGCACGTCAAGCTAGCCAGGATCATAGACAAGGGCAGCGAGTTGCTTCGTGAATCAGGTAACTAGGGGGGGAAGGTGACGAGCAATGGAACTTATCAGCCTCTGGATTTCCGCTTCAGGCCGCAACTGGCAGGGTACAGTATCAGAGATTGACACAGAGTAGCACTTGCTAGGCAGCCTGCCTCGAGCTGACATGGGCCTACATATGGGACCCTAACCTACGATTGGTCCTCCTTGTCCCTGTAGCTTCGCCTTGGACCATGTCCATACACACCGCTTGAACTTTCTCGCCTCGACTAGGGCGTTCTACTGTCTCTATCCCAGGTATATTGCGATGGAAGCCGATTGTGATACAACAGGGGTCCAATGGCACAGATTTCAAAGGACGTGCAACGATTGGATACGGTGTCGAACTTTATTGGGAGACTCAGCGGCTGGATATAGGCTTCAATGATTATAAAATACGCGAGCTGCCCGCCGATGCCTTGGGTCCCCGACTTTACCACACATTGCATCTCATTAAACGACCCGAACAGCTGTAGTTGATCAATCAACTGGCCTTTCTTTGGAGCCATGGAGGAGATTATACCTCGTTACATATCTGACGAAGACTTTGTCAAAAGCTTCAAGAAGGCGACGTAAGCTCATCGCCAACTCAGCTAGACTGTTATGACTAATACTTGCCCAGGACCTCTACAGCCTACGACCAAAATGTCCGAGACCTGGTTTCCCAAGCACTGTCTGCATTCTCCGACCAGAACTGGGACGAGTTGCACGAGACTGCATGGAAACTCCGTGTTGCGCAGAGGTTGAACTTTGCTCTCGAGGCGTTTACCGTTGTCACTCGAGGCAAATTGAACGTGTTCGGCAAGACCAATCCAACATTCAAAAGCACCGTCAACTTGGCGGACGCTCTTCGAGTCACCGCACGCAACATGGATCAAGAAAGCTGCCAACAACGTCTGAACGATGCCCACTCGCTATTCCAGGAAGTCCTAAGTGGAGCCCAAGATGAGTCGCTGCTCCAACAAGCTCTCATGAGACTTGGAAGTTTCTTCACGGATATCGGAGATTATGATGAGGCACGAAGGTTTCTTGGACGCGCAGAAGGGTACAAGAACACCAGCAAATATCAACTTGCTGAACTCCGAATGTCTTGGATAGACATCCAGACCAATGAGAGGCAGTTCGACGAAGCCTCAAAGGCCTATGAAAACTTCCTTAGAGATCCTCCGGAGTCTGGTGAGGACAAGGTCATTCGAAAAACTGTCTTAGTTAGGTACGCCAACTTCCTTACGAATATCAAATGGGAGGCGGCTGGGAAGGCAGAGGATTCCATTTTGGAGGGGGCCGACTTGCAGAGGGCACACAACATATACCGCGAATTATGTGATGTCTTCGGTGGCATCAGCGACAACGCCGACTCGAAGCTCGCCTATCTTCCGATCCAGGTCGAAGGCTACCGCGATCGAATGCGGGTTGCGGAAGAGAGAATGGAGCAGCTCAAGACAAGATGAGGAACGGTGCTAGTCATGATGTAGGCGGTTTTTCATGGAAGGTGAAGGATCCCATCGCAGTCGTGGAACGGTTTATCTTGTATCTGCCCAAAGATTCGATCGATGGGAACAAGGAAATGAAGGCTACCAATCCAGGTAAATGGATTGAGTGAGATGGGGAATACCCCAGTCACGTCTAGCCGCATCAATCAAGACACCAAATCTCTCGCATATGACATAGCGCAACCTTTTGAATCAAATCCGCCTCACCGGACAGATGCGCAGTATGTTCTGTCAAATGGAAGGCTCGCCTCCGATCCTACCTCACTGGAGAGATCGCAGCGAAGTGCTCAAACGATTTACGGCTCGGGTGGTACGCGCCGGGTATAAGAAGATAGTGCTTCGCTATGAAGCAGCTTAATAGTGTTTTCAACATGTGCTTGAATGGGACAAACATGCATCACTGCCAACTTAGCACTAGCCGCGCCACCAACCTCGACTCCTGCACTGGCCTCGGGGCGTCACAGGCGCATACACGTCACTGCTGGCCACCCTCACTTTGGCCCCCTTCTATGTGTAGGGAGGCTACGACACAACCTGTCCAGTCGAACCGTCGGTGTACACTACGCAGCATAATCGAACGTGAGGAGTTCTGGAGCCGAGGAAGGTGTAGCAAGAAGGCCAATTTCGGACGAGGATGACGCCCGTTCGGGCACCCGAACGTATCCGCCGAAAGGAAGTGGACCACGGTGGGGCCGGTGTGCCGGGGTCAATCCCTTTGCTGAGAGTCGAGTGGGGCGTCCTTAAATACACTACCAAGTACAGCATACGTGACACTGTGCCGGGCAGTCGCGACACGCCTCCGACTTTCCGCGGACAAGGGTGTCGGTACCGCCTGCTCGCCTTCCAAGCACCCCAAATAATGGCCTTTGCGCCGCAACATGGGCCGCCGCGCGTGGCAGATCATCAATCACACACTGCCAAGCGAGCCCCGATCGAACTCATTCATGTGGTTATTTGCCAGCGACGCGCAAATCCCTGTCAGGTCACCTTCCCTGCCCTCCGCCGGAACGAGCCTGCCAGGGTCTGGCGGCTTCTTTACAGCCCGTGAGTGATTCATCTTCCCCACATCAGCTACCTCTTCTGTGCAGCTCCGCTGTAGTCGACCTGTCAAGTGTCGCTGCAGCGGGAAACACGCGAAACCACTGCCTGTCTTGGAGAGTGCTTGATCCCGGGAAGCTTCTCCCCTTCCTTATCCCTACGTTAACCGCACTATGTAATGAACACCGCCGGGTGACTACGGCTGCCAGACCGCATGGAAGTGGGTCGATACCTTTGGGAGTGTCGGGGCTTCGTGAAGTCGACAAGGGACCGTTCCCTGTTCCGAGGCCTGGCTCAGGGCCGCCCTTCAGGCCACTCCTAGTGATTCGTCGTCGGTGTATACGGAGCCGCCATGCCGTGATCCTTGCTGGGAACGTGAGAATGCGGGCGAACTTCGAAAATATCCCAAACTTGATGCCTCTAACCTCCGACCTTTCATTGAGTCGTCCTTCGAGCTAGAAGGGTCTCTGAGAGCTCCTTGCAGCATCCTCCTTCGCTGTGTGAGGGCCCCTCAGGCCTGAACCGTCCCAACAGGAACTCCACAAACGGCCACTGGGATGCGTAGTCCAGGCCTAATCTCGCTATTCGTGACCAGTCGCGGGACATCCGTTGATTTGAAAAGCAAGCCTCTCAGCCGGGACCGCAGAGAAGGTGGGCCGTCGGCGTCAGCTAAGCAGGCACTGTCCCCAGGGAATTTCCTACAATCCCCCGCCTGATACATGCAAGGATTACAATCAGCTTCATAGCTATAGTTGTAATAGGAGTAATGGGTCTCATCACGCGGATGGTTGGCTATACCCGGAAACATACGCATAGCAATAGCGAACCAAACCAATACGAGACCGAGATCTCTCAAAATTTGTGACTGGGGTAATCAAAAGGCGTCCAAGCTAAGGGACTTCATGTTTATCCCTCTCATCCACTGCTAGCTCTCATCTCATATGCGTATGAATGATGTAGGTGGTCCGGGATGCTCAAAAGAAGGACATCTCCCCAGTTGTGAATTCCCGCAAACCTCCTGGCAGTCAGCGTGTCAGCTCACTCGCCCTCTTGTCCTTCATGGCAACTCCAATCCAGCAGGCTGGGCTACCGCTCTTTCTGCCTGTTGAACTTCTAATTAAAATTTGTTGCCGGCCAGATCTTTCCATTAACGACCTGAAATGCGTTCGGCTAGCCAACCGAGCCTTTTACACCAACTCGACTTCCCTAATATTCCATCGTGTCTTCATTTCGAACTTGCGAAGGGACCTTGAGGCCTTCAAACATATCACGTCTACGCCTCAAATCGCTTCTGTTGTCAGAGAAGTTGTCTTCCTCGAAGTTCCTGATTTCATCACCTACGAACATGAGCTTCAATACAGCAGGACAGGCCTGGACGCAACACCCAACCAGTTCGCTTTATGCCATAAAATCGCCGACAATTTCTGCAAGCCTAACGAGCCATACTTCGCGTCGAATGATCCTGACCGACACACCAGGCCCCTTATAGATGCGGTATCAGTCTACCGCCATCTGTTAGGGTCGATGTCAAAACTCACCACGTTAGCCTCAGAGCCAATCAGCACTACTCGATTGCTAGTCTTTGGAGCCGATATCGAAGACCCAACCGAGACGAACCGAAATGACTGTGAAGCTCTTATTAAAGATGCGACAGTGGACTATACCTCGTTTCCTGTTGTTGGATTCCGGGCCGTCTTCCCTCCCCTTCTTTCTTGCCCAAAGCTGGGGGTTTCAAGCCTGGTCTGCCGAGGGATGGGCATGAAGCTGTTTGAAGAGTACGGAACTGAGGGCCCACAAGCTCTCCTTCCCAGCCTTGCTCATAAAGGCCATATGGGTGTGAATAGTTTCGCGAGGCTCACATCCCTCGACCTGGATTTCCCCTGGCTTATACCTGGGGATCTCTCCGAATGCCTTGCTGCCGCCGCTGGGCTACGTCAATTGCTCCTACGTGTGCAAAGGATGCAAGGACCTGAGGCCCCCGGAATTCATGCTAGTCAAAAGGACGAGTTCCATTTCAGAAAGCTGTTCTGTACAAATTTTCCCTGGAACAGACTCGAGGACATGCGGATCACCAATATCCCATTTTCCGATGGAGATCTATCCGCTTTTGTATTGCGTCATCCAAACCTGCGACAGATGCATGTAGACGACCAATCCATCGATCTTTCTGAGACCGAGCACCGGATGAAGTGTTTGTGGAGTGTATAACAATGATAGATAATGGAAGTAAGAGTTCGGAGGGCCATGCTCTGATATTCAACACCAGCCTCCGAGCCTACAGATAATATGTCGTGTACTCTACAGAGCAGCATTATTCAGAAGTACAAAAGTCTCAGATCATTCTCTTCATCACTGAAACGTCCGTCTCGCGCGCAATGTCTTTATCGAAAGCCGCCCCGTGTTTAAGCAACGTGTTGGCTATACCCATATCTCCGCGCCGAATCGCTCATGACAGAGGCTTCCTACCTTCTCCCCCCCTTGGTTTCAGGATCAGCCCCGTTAGCGAGCAGAAACTCTACGCATCCATCAAAGAGTTGGCACAAGCAATAGCGTGTTTTCAACATCGTTTCCAAAGTCAATCGAGTCAAACTCTTGGAGAGAACTAACGACCATCTGCCCCAGTTGCAGCCCGAGAACCATGACTCTAACCGACCCAGTAAAGGCTTCTCCGGAAGCGATAGTAAAATACTTAGGAATTATTGGCTTGCTAGACTCAAACTGGACGTGTCCAAATTGGTGCAGAGTTGCATCTATCAGAAAGGTCAACGCACCGGGAAACACCCGCAGCCTTCCGTGGCAAGTAATCAAGGAAATGGGACAAGATTTTCCGAATGTTTTCAATGTTGAAGTGAGAACCTACCATCGAATAGTATGGCCCTAATCAGCGCGAGGACACAATGGCCTGGTCCGACGGTGGGTGTTTGGCATAGTATGAGGTGTCCTAGAGGCAAAAAGCAGGCGAGGCAGCGTAAAGCGGGGGACACCCTGAAAATCACTTTTGAAAACCACATTTTTGAGAACAACCTCTAATCTCAGACTTCAGTCGTTCGAGGCTGAGCATTCACGCCGCTGTGCAAGATGTCTTAATACCTGACGGGGTGAGTCAGGCTTTTCCCTGTCCTCGAAATCAGGATCTCGCCTGGGTGCTTGAACGTGTCCCGCACCTCAGCCGTGGCTCCTACCGCTACCTCAAAGCCTAACTAAACACCGAGGATCCTATCGTGGAAGCCCTCAAGTCCAACGGTCCCTCGTGGTTGTTGTATTACCCGATTAAGGAAGCCGTTGAGGGCAAGGCCAACTTTCAGAGAAGGGCCGCTTTGCGTTAGCGGCTCGACGACTTGAACGAGCTGGACCCCGAGGAACTTGAGGAACTTTCTCTTTGGTAAGAGAAAGAGTTTTCGCCTGGTGTTCACAGAGTTATCAGCCAATGCGCCTGGGTTGCTCTTGAAGTACCGACACACCGGGTTGGCCTGGATCGGCACTATCGGGTACGACTGACCGCCAACAATCAGTGCAAGATTTTGTTCGGCCTGGCCTCGGTAATTCTTGGTTGCGGTGATGAATGAACCTCATAGGTAACTGAACCTGTCACTTGCTGCGCGAGAAGCCAATGATCGATCTCGAGGTCACTCGATACATGTAGGCAAAACATGGAGAAAAACATGATTCTCTAGCTGCCAGCGATAATAAAAGGGGCAACTGGTAGCATTCTTGGGGGCCGAAGATGAACCAAGACCTCTGGTCTCGCTGAAAAACGAAACTAACGCGTACTGCGTCGTGATGCTCTCTATCGTGACCAAGCCGTAGAGTCTTTGTGCGAAGGGAGCAAGTCCTTGCCTTACACAGTTCATCAAGACATCACTTGCAGTGCGATAAGAATGCATTGGATACTGCTGTAGTCTGCAACTTAACCCAAGCAACTCGTCGCAGTGGGCTCGCACCATCTGGCAATCCTGGTATGATAGAATCTCTGTCAATCCCTCCGTGTTGTCTCTTACGCAGGGACGTGTAGTCAGTGCTTGGCCTTTCAGGAGCTCTTCCTTTTCGAGTCATAAAGCCTCGACACAAAATCCATCACACCGCCCTTGGCTTGATGCTTTTCCGCCCGTGCATAATCTTGCCCCACATAACGATGGCACTCACGAATCACAAGGCCTGGCAACTTCGGTCAAAGCTTGACTAACACACAAGACCGACATGGATGGAGCTTGAATTTGAGATGGTGCTCTTTCTAGGGCCGTCCACTGTTCGTATCTTGTTACAAGAGCCGTATTGGGGATGATAAATGCATGACTAATACTCCGTGGAATTTCCCAAGATGAATGTATCTAAACAACAACAACGTAGGAGCGAAAAAATCCCCGTGACACCGTAAATATCCTTTGTACTATGAATTTCAACCAAGTGAGTCACATGCCGAGAACACCTTACAACTTCCACGGCTTCCGTTTGAAACTCATTTCGCTCGCTTCGCAAGTAGCCCGAAAGTGCCCCTCTCTGTAAGTCAACCACTTGCCCGATGTTGCAAGTCGACAACCTAGCCAAAGGCAGCGGATCGAGCGCTCGCTCATCATTGACGAGGATTCGAGATACTTCTCATCGTCATCCACCTTTGTGGTCGAAAACCAATCGTCGGGATAGTACTCATCAACCCATAGGAGGCCTCGCTGCGCGAAGTCGTCCGGCAGGGGACGAGGGTCACCCTTATCCGGCCGGGGGAAGTCTTCCGACTCGATGATCTTGTATGCTTCAGCAGGCATATTCGTGTGCATGATAGTATTCAGGAGTAAAGCGATGAGCTTCCAAGGCATCTTCTTTTCTACCAGTTCCATCGCTGCAGGGAAGTGAGATAAGTGTTGAAGGAGTGAGAGGGTGACGTGTAGGTAGGGTCGAATACTCTCATCGCCGAATCGTCTCAACACAACGTTATGAGTACGAGCGGCAAAGTCCAGAGCGTCCAGGAACTTCTGTGTCGGAGCGCCGACAGTCTCAGTCCCTTTCATTGGGACGTCTGCGTCGTCGGCTCGGCCTGATTGGATGGCTCTCATAATTGGATTGCTCTCGCTACCGTACTCAAGGAGTGAGCAACTCAACGCGATAGAAATGTGGTATGCGCTTTCTAGCCAGCGACAAGTGTGATGTGCGATGTGGTTGTTCAAGCTGTCGATGAACACGTTGATAGACGATGAGAGTTGCTCGGTGTTCTTGCCCGAAAAAAGTATTGCATGAGCGCGTACAAAGGCTGCGTCAATCTCCTGCAGCCTGGTCTGTGTGCCATTGAGATGCGGGTCGAACAGAGTCATGATTGACTCGCGAGCAGACAGGAAGGGAAGTGGCACGCAGAGAGACTTCGTGTAGTAAAAGAGCTGCTGCAGAGCATTTGGACGAGCCAAAATAGCGAGGTGGTGGTAAAGACGACCCGTCTGAGGAGCCTTATCACTAGCTTTTGAATACCAATGGCGAGAGACTGAGGTCCAGACCTCTCTATCCTTAAGATCATCATCTTCAATAGCCATCCTGTAACAAAGGTCAACACGTATGGAACAAGAATATTGGTCACAATCTCTTGTCTTAAGTTTACTGACCGATAGCGGCTCAAGTCGCCGAGGCATTCAATCCAAATGTTTTGGAACGTTGGAACAGTCTCATACAGCAGAGTCATCATAGAGTACGCCAAATAAATGAACGTAAGCATATGTTCGAGCGAGGCGGGCAGACGATGACGCAAAAGCTCCAAGAATGAATGAATCCCATGCCTCCACATGCGCTCCGGCATTGCGTGCTTGCTCGCGAGCCGTCGCAATGCCGGACTGGCCAAAGGATGCTGAGAGGCAAGGAAGAAATCGTGGTGTTCATGTAGCAAAGTTCGGTGTAGACCGATCAATGCCTGCCACTGCTCATTGTTCAGCTTGGGATTGGTCTCGTTGTTTGAACTTTGAGCGTTGTCGACCTCGATGCACTGTGACTCGATCATTTCGAGTCCAGCGTAGATGCCCTTCACCTCAGCAACAAGTTGTTCTTGGCTAATAGGGCGCGTCTCTGGCTGCTTGATTAGTACCTCAGCGTTATCAAAGTTCGAGGAACGCGGATGCTCGAACGACCGATCACAAGCTGCTCTGGGGAGATCGGACCCGTCTCTCTCCTTGAATCGCCCGCCGTCGGACCGTCGAGGCGCAGATTCTCCTTCCTTAGGAGTCCATAATCTACCAGCCTTGTGTGCCGGGTCTCTTTGGAAGTCAGTGTCCTCAGCATAGCTGGCATCAGAAGCCTGCGGTTGCTGTCGAGCACGGCTACGCTTTGGATGCGAAGACCCATGAACCCCATCCTTCCTCTTATTCTTTTCCGAAGATGGGCTGCTGGCCTCTTGACTGTCATGACCAGCCACAGATTTATGAGAACTCGGGTCGTCTTGGTCTATAGGCTCCTGTTTTGAGGCAGTTGATTCGAGCGGAGGTTGCGGCTGGTTTGGCTTGGCACGCGTTCGCTGGCGGTCCTTGATCCTAAGATAGTGAACGTCAGCGTTGAAACAAACGGCTCTGCGAATAATGATATTACTGTAACCATGTTCTCTCTACTAAATCGGTTTGCTCGTTGTCGTGCCTGTCGTGACCGCGGTCCGTGAAATGTTGCTCCACATCGCTTTTCGTGGGGCTTACAGGAAACGTATGATCATTGCAATATGTGCATTTTCGTAGGTTCGAGTCGTTGGCACGCTCGTCATTGGTACTTCGCTTCGAAAGATTGAGACCCATCCTATGCGAGTTTTTCGTC